CATTTATCTAACTGCCCACACGGTTCCCCCACTCTGCACTGCTAGCCTTTAATACTTCCTTCACCACGTCCTCCGTCGTGGGGATTATTTCCTTGCCTTCTCATAGCATTTTAGGATCGAAGATACATTAATCTAACTGTCACAGACGATTCTCACACTATGCTCATACTTTACGTTTTCCTAGGCCACTTCCTACGTCATGGACCTGTTTTCATCACTTTCCATATCATTTTAGTATTTTAGATACGTTAATCTAATTGCCACAAACATTCCCCACACTCTGCACTGCTAGCCTTTACTACTTCTTTCACCATTTTCTGTGTCGTTGGGATGCTTCCATCCCTTCTCATGGCATTTCAGCTTTGCAGATACATTAATATAACTGCTACAAACGGTTTCTAGTTCCCACACTCCACACTGCTCACCTTACTACTTCATTCACCTCTTCCTACGTCGCGGACCTGTTTTCCTCCGTTCCCATAGCATTTTAGGATTGCAGATCTCTTAATCTACCCGTCATAAACAGTTCCCACACTCCGGACGGCTCGCCTTTACTACTTCCTTCACCACTTCCTACGTCACGGACTTGTTTTCCCTCCCTTCCCATAGCATTTTAGGATTGCAGATACCTTAATCTAATCGTCATAAACAGTTCCCACGGTCCGAGATGTTTGCCTTTACTACTTCCTTCACCACTTCCTACGTCACGGACCTGTTTCCCTCCCTTCCCATAGAATTTTAGGATTGCAGATACCTTAATCTAATCGTCATAAACAGTTCCAACACTCCGGACAGCTCGCCTTGACTACTTCCTTCACCACTTCCTACGTCGCGGACCTGTTTCCCTCCCTTCCCATAGCATTTTAGGATTGCAGATACCTTAATCTAATCGTCATAAACAGTTCCCACGGTCCGAGATGCTTGCCTTTACTACTTCCTTCACCACTTCCTACGTCACGGACCTGTTTCCCTCCCTTCCCATAGCATCATATGATTGCAAATACCTTAATCTAATCGTCATAAACAGTTTCCACACTCCGGACAGCTCACCTTGACTACTTTCTTCACCACTTCCTACGACGTGGACCTGTTTTCCTCCCTTCCCATAGCATTTTAGGATTGTAGATACCTTAATGTAATCGTCATAAACAGTTTCCACATTCCGGACAGCTCGCCTTTACTACTTCCTTACCACTTCCTACGTCGTGTACCTGTTTCCCTCCATTCCCAAAGCATCATGGGATTGTAGATACCTTAATCTAATCGTCATAAACAGTTTCCACACTCCGGACAGCTCGCCTTGACTACTTTCTTCACCACTTCCTACGACGTGGACCTGTTTTCGTCCCTTTCCATAGCATTTTAGGATTGCAGATACCTTAATCTAATCGTCATAAACAGTTCCCACGGTCCGAGATGCTTGCCTTTACTACTTCCTTCACCACTTCCTACGTCACGGACCTGTTTCCCTCCCTTCCCATAGCATCATAGGATTGCAAATACCTTAATCTAATGGTAATAAACAGATCCCACGCCCCGAACAGCTCGCGTTTACTACTTCCTTCACCACTTCCCACGTCGTGGACCTGTTTTCCTCCCTTCCCATAGCATTTTAGGATTGTAGATACCTTAATCTAATCGTCATAAACAGTTTCCACACTTCGGACAGCTCACCTTTACTACTTCCTTCACCACTTCCTACGTCACGGACCTGTTTCTCTCCCTTCCCAAAGCATCATAGGATTGCAAATACCTTAATCTAATCGTCATAAACAGTTTCCACACTCCGGACAGCTCGCCTTGACTACTTCCTTCGCCACTTCCTACGTCATGGGCCTGTTTCCCTCCCTTCCCAAAGCATCATAGGATTGCAAATACCTTTATCTAATCGTCATAAACAGTTTCCACACTCCGGACAGCTCGCCTTTACTACTTCCTTCACCACTTCCTACGTCACGGACATGTTTCCCTCCCTTCCCAAAGAATTTTAGGATTGCAAATACCTTAATCTAATCGTCATAAACAGTTTCCACACTCCGGACAGCTCGCCTTGACTACTTCCTTCACCACTTCCTACGACGTGGACCTGTTCTCATCCCTTCCCATAGCATTTTAGGATTGCAGATGCCTCAATCTAATCATCATAAACAGTTTCCACACTCCGGACAGCTCGCCTTGACTACTTTCTTCACCACTTCCTACGACGTGGACCTGTTTTCCTCCCTTCCCATAGCATTTTAGGATTGTAGATACCTTAATCTAATCGTCATAAACAGTTTCCACACTCCGGAGAGCTCGCCTTTACTACTTCCTTCGCCACTTCCTACGTCGTGGACCTGTTTCCCTCCATTCCCAAAGCATCATAGGATTGTAGATACCTTAATCTAATCGTCATAAACAGTTTCCACACTCCGGACAGCTCGCCTTGACTACTTTCTTCACCACTTCCTACGACGTGGACCTGTTTTCGCCCCTTCCCATAGCATTTTAGGATTGCAGATGCCTCAATCTAATTGTCATAAACAGTTCCCACACTCCGGACAGCTCGCCTTTACTACTTCCTTCACCACTTCCTACGTCACGGACCTGTTTTGCACCCTTTCCAAAGCATTTTAGGATTGTAGATACCTTAATCTAATCGTCATAAACAGTTTCCACACTCCGGACAGCTCGCCTTGACTACTTCCCTCGCCACTTCCTACGTTGCGGACCTGTTTCCTCCCCTTCCCATAGCATTTTAGGATTGCAGATACCTTAATCTAATGGTAATTTAAAAAATGGTAATAAACAGATCCCACGCCCCGAACAGCTCGCTTTTACTACTTCCTTCACCACTTCCTACGTCGCGGAACTGTTTCCTTCCCTTCCAATAGCATTTTAGGATTGCAGATGCCTCAATTTAATCGTCATAACCTGTTCCCACACTCTGGACAGCTCGCCTTGATTACTTCCTTCACCACTTCCTACGTCGTGGACCTGTTTTCATCCCTTCCCATAGAATTGTAGGAATGCATATACCTTAATCTAATCGTCATGAAAAGTTTCCACACTCCAGACTGCTAACCTTTACTACTTCCTTCACCACTTCCTACGTCACGGACCTGAAGCTAGTGTCGTCATTTGATCATATTTATGATCCATACCGTTTCTGTTCTAATATCTGTGGAATAATGCTATCAGCTATTTCTTTATTTGCTGCATTCAAAACAGCTGATCATATGTCTTTGTTTATGTGTCAAATACTGCTTCCATAAGGATTACATTGAAACTTTGAGACCCAGTGGGGCGGATTCCTGAGAGACTTTTTTAACGCCATATAGATGTTGGCACTCACCGATATGGTCTTTATCACCATGCAAAATTTGAAAACGATTGATTCAGCCGTCTAGGAGGAGTTTGCGTATTACGAAATGCATAAGAGTCGACGTATAAGAGCTTCGCTCGCTTCGCTCGCTCCGCTCAATTAATGAAACAGCTGTTAATATTTAAATTGTGATTTTACTGAATTTGTCCAAATGGAGTAGGTGTTTTCTGATTTTAAAATCGATTTTCTTCTGCATCGTGTCATGTTTTGCAATATAATGTTCTGTTGCCATATCAGTGGAAAATCCTAATATCACAGTAACTATTAAAATTATTTCTCATGGAGTTAACTTATGTATATTTTCAGGGTTAGGGGCCTAGTTTCTTCCTTTTTTTACCACTTCTTGGAGATTGTACGTAGGCGTGTTATACGTAGATGATATTCTTTGGCGTATTGCATCTGTGGACGATACTTGGGTTGGTGTAATTATTACAATGGAAAAAAGCGAGAAATCCTGGACGATTTGATATAGGCCTACTAAAAATAAAACTGAATTAACACTTGACAACACTGTGCTATATTTCTTGAGCAATCACTGAAAGAGCCAACTTGCAAACAATGGAAACATAAGAAAGTCATAGAACACAACCAAGTAGAAGAAATATAAATAATGTTTTTTTTTTAAATTTATAATCGTTATTATAGAGAACCTAATGCGGCTATGAGTAGGAAACATTTGTAGAAAACTTGTAAAATTTGTAAAAAACAAGATCAGCTTTTGAAAAAGACAAGATAATTTACAAACAATTTCGATTATATCTAACTGTGGTGTAGGCCCTACATCGTGAGTATTTCCATAATCTTTGAGTCGACTTTTATAAAGTCGTCGGAAATTATGACCGTTATTCGTTTTAAAATAACGCCTGTAATGCTTCGCAATTGCTCGAATTCGAGCAACAGGTACACTAGTAAATAATAAATTTAGCTTGTGCCGCATCAACTTCCTTGTTTCTGGGCTCTCCTTTTACGTTTTTCTGCACCACTTAAATGTCCATAACGTTTCATAATGAAACAGTTTAATCTCTCTTGTGTTAAAAAAAAATGTCAGGAGAGAAAAACATCCGTAAACAAAGGAACGGTTTTAGGAGAAAAGAGTATCTCAACATCACAGGCCCCTAAACCTCGCAGGCCCCCCCGCACCGTGGGGTCTGCGGGGCCTGCTGTTACGCCACTGCGAAATGAAAATGCCCTAAGGGAAATTTGGTTTTGATAAGTTAAGACTTATCAAAACCAAATTAGAACTGCATGATTTTCTTAGAGCATTTGTTTCATCCTCGACAATACTGAAATTAATAGCCTATCAGTAATCTACGTAACTTACTTTTAAGGAAGGAAGTTTTTCTTCAAAATGTACAACTATTGAAGTTTTTAAGGTTCCCTGTTAATTACATAATTTATTCATGTCGACCTTACACCGTTTGTTATACCCCCTAGGCTTTAAGCATAACCTGCCGTCATAATTTTGGTTTAGATAACTTATTCATAGACTTTGTTCATACATCCAAGTATTTTGGTCTCCTAAGGTGAACACAGACTTTAATTCAAAAAAAGGTAAGTTAAAGATAGTTTGGTTTTCATCAGCTTACCCTATATTTTTTGTTTGGTAAATAACAAGAAATTATTACTTTTGTTCTAGGCTAGTATAAGTTAAATCATGGATCAACTACAGAATGACCTGAGACAGTGTTTGGATTTATTGGACTCTACTAAAGTGACAGAAAGACGGGTGAGATTTAAAATAAGTTAAAACTTACTAAATTCTTTTTGGCAGAGCTTTGATATTCGACTCCATCAGTTAAGCTTAGGGCCTAGGCCTAACTATTGTTGTAGTCGATTTTCTTTGTATATTGAACTTAAGAATTATTGATTGGATTTTATTCTATAAAAAATGGTAATGCAAGCTATGTAATAATTTATTATGATTATTTCTATTTAATCATATGATTATCATCATAGGCTGGTCTTAGATTGAGGACCTACGACTGAAAATACTGAGTCTTGATTTGATATTACAATGGAATCGGATGTCAGAGTTTTGCCTCCTTTTCAATATAAGTTGAATGATTATGTAAATTTAAATATCTTGGTAATTTAAATTAATTAATGGTGTCGTCAAACTCAATATGAATTTATTTTGTGATGTGTAAAATGAACTTAAGTAGCTTACAGTAAGTTAACTTATTTTTTTAATTGATTTTGTAATGTTATAGCCTATTCATGTTTAAAAATATAGGCCTTCTTCGTTTTTATGTACCACTATCTACAGTACACTTGATAAAGTAAACTTGCTGATTGACAGAATTTCCAGCTGGTTTGTTAAGTTAAGTTCAAAAATTATCAGATGTAAAATTGTAATTAGATTGTTAAATATTAAACAAAATATATATATGGCTCTAAAGGTAGACTTTTTCCTTGGTTTGAAAACTAATCAGCATTAACTTATATATTTTTGTTGTCTTAGAAAAAATGTTCAGAACTACAAGACTACCTTCAGCGGCAGGATGTCACAAAGTTGTTGAACGAAAACACAAAGATCAGGGAGGGAATCACCTGGGATGCCATTCTATCCACTGCCCATAGAGGATTACTCAAAGTAAGTCGAGACATTGATCGGGATCCAGATTTTTTGGAAAATAAAGAATTTGTATGCAAGTTTAACAGAATATTCTTGACCCTGAGAGAAGCAAGTTCATACACTATGGGGCCATACACATATTACCTAACGCACTTTTTTGTCGATTTAAACCCCTGACCCTCCCCGATGTAACACACCGTAAAGCAACCCCCCCCCCCACTCCCCTTGCGTTACGTAACTCGATCATAGTAGACTTTAATAACAGCTTAAGCACAATTTTACTAGTGGAATATGGATTTAAATAAATAATTAAACATGTAATCACTTTTTTTATAGGCCTAAACCTTTTTATAATCCAAACAAAATTGATAAAATTAAACAAGATTGTTATTGGTACTAATAATATAATCAAAAAAACAAAATAAATTATCCCAATAAAATGTAACAAATTTAATTTATAACTAATAAAAACATCAGATAAATGAATAAATAAATAAGAGTTATTTCATTGTTAAGGACCGAACAACAAAATAAAAGATAAAAACAAAACAAATGTAAAATTTAAGTAAAAACTGACATGGACATATCTTTTTAACTAACTGATTTAGATATCAATTTGATTATTTTTAAAGAGGAATGTGTTGTTACGTATCTTTGAGTCAAACCCCCCCCCCCCCCCTCCAACATATAACGCAGCGTAACGCTATTCCATACCCCCTCCCCACCCTAAGTGCGTTACGTAATATGTGTATGGCCCCTATAGACCTCAGTAGAATAATTAGTTTGCACAGTAGTCTACACTGTCTTTAAGTAAAACAAAAAAAAAACAAAAAAAAAACAACACCCCAATTTAGTTTGAATTCATAGTAGAGATTAAAACAATTTAGTTTTACAAAATGATTTTTTTCTGCTCGTAGGAGGCTGATAAAATCAGGGATGAAGAACAAAAAGGCAAAGGATCTGCTAAGCTGGATGGTCCTAAAGTTTCCTTCTGTGGACTGATATCAACCATAACCAATAAAGCCAACACAGGTAGGAAGACAAAATTTTTTAATTAAAGAAAACCATATATCTCGTATATAAAGAAGGTCTATTCAAAAAGTATCCAGTCTTCAAGGTAGGTTACAGCCAGAAGTCACAGTACCATACAGTATCCCATGAGTAGGGGGCCTGGCGTAGCACAGGAATTCCATGTTTTTCCAAGAAGCCGTGAACAAGATTGGAAGAAGCGCTGGAGCATTGTCCTGAGGAAGTCAGCATGAAGCCCACAAATCGGGACGCATTGCATCGTGCATGTGTGGTGTACTGTAAGCTATTTAAGTTCAAAACGAAGCTATGTGTTCTAAAAAACTAAGATATGCAACCGACCAAGGAAACCAAAAATTTTATTTGAATTCTGGTTACTGGGAAATAGCCTGTTCTATGTGAATTTTGTGTGGAAGAAAACCAAAAAATTCAAGTGTTCATTCATTAACGGGGAGCCGTCGTTTCTCTTGTGAGAACACAATTGCAGGAGACGATCACAGTGTTGTGATTAACAGGAAAAGAATTCATCGTTTTAATTTGTTATTCAATTTAACAGCATTTCCTGCTAATCCAACAGAGATGCTTGTGTATCGAGTTTTCCATTACCTGTGGTAAGATATGACATGGCGAGTCGGTGCCTCAGTAGGTAGCGCCACGGACTTCAGGCCCAAGGTAGCGATGTCGTGAGTTCGGATCCTAATACCTGCCACTTTATTTTATCAGTACAGTTCACCCTTGTACTGTATCGGCTCACCCTTGCTTTGCTTGATACGTTCCAAGCACAGACCTCTTTGGCCCATATGAAACAAGACCTTACCGTCAGACCGCTACCGCGGCAAAGCAGAACACATCATACCGTGCATAGCCGAACTGTTCGTCGGAAATCGTTAGCTCCATCACTGTAGCTGTCAAAATGTGTCGTTTGTAGGTTAAATTTAAATTAATTTAACTGTCATAACCTAACCAAACTAACCAAACTTGCTGATAATGAAAATTTTGAATGAAGGTTTAACTTACCAAGAACAAAAATAGTTCTATTCGTAAAATAAAATTATAAATGTCTCAAAATTAATTATATAATTTTTTAATTATAAAATTAAACCATCACAACCTAACCAAACCAACCAAACTTGCTGATAATGAAAAAAATTCGAGTCAAAAAGTTAATGCCTCCAGTAGGTTTCGAACCGGCTACCTCCGAATCATCAGCCCGGTGCGCTATCCACTACACCGAGACCTACGGCTGTTCAACATATCGTTGCGGTAATGGTGTTCGCTCGAGCAGCGGTGGGTGGTGGTGGGCGGTGGCGGTCTGTCGGCAAGGGTTAATCATATTAATGGGCAAGCGCAAGGTAAAAGAGCCCTCCAACCTCTAATTTAAAAAAAATTAAAAACTGAAATATTTAATTTTTGTATCAAAATTTATAAAAGAATAATCACAAATTATACCATAGGTTATTTAATATGAAAACTCAAGTTCTGTGAATAACAACGATTTACTTAACCACAGAGAAGTAAGATACAGAGGAAACATTAAATGGTACACTAGTAATGTCTAGCACCAGTTGCTTGCGTCTAGTACCAATTCTATTGGTCGTCCCCTTCTGCTCTCCTTTCCCCCCTTTCCGCACTCACGCTTTAGGAAGAACCTCTGCGCTACAACTGCTGTTGTAAATAATACCGTTCGGGCTCTTCCTTGATCAGTACTAGTATATTTTAGTACTTTGGTATTATCTAGAGGCCACCCTTATATAGTGCGCTGGTTATGTTAGATTGGGTTATCATATATTGTATGTAGGACTTTCCTCGTTTCTTCTTTTTGTTGTAAATCGAACGATACCAGATAAGTCATGCTTTCGGCTGCCAAATCCCCTCCAAGTAGGCCAAGGTCAGGTAGTTGACTGGAGCGTGCGCATCACCTGTCACCGCCTGTATCTGGGTCAGTGTCAGGGCCGTCCCTAGGGTTGACGGTGCCCCCTCCCCACCAGTAGTAGTAGCATTCGCATATTAGCCGCTGCGCGGCGCCCCCTCAGCCACGGCGCCCGAGGCAGCTTGCCCCCCCCCCCTTCGGACGGCCCTGGTCAGTGTCCTGAGTGATGACTCATCTGGTATCGTTCGATTCATAACAAAACAAGGAAAGTCCTACAAAAATAGCTATGATGATAACCCAACCAGACATAACCGCCACAGCGCACTGTATAACTTGTGCGCACTGTTATCTTGTGACGCTATTATACAGTTTTTTTCTGTGCAAAATAAAGATGATTTTGATTTGTATACCTACTTAGCAGAGTACATGTGGCAGCTAGCGGCGGCACCGCATTCAGCTCAATCCTAATCGACATCGCTGCCTTCTGGGTGACAAAAATCAAAGCCCGCCAATTTTAATCGTGTCAAATTTGTACAGTAAGTCAATTAACCCTCTAGGTGTCAATGGACGTAATTACGGCGACTATTTTTTTTGCCACAAGTGTCAATCTCCCTTATTACGGCGACTTGAACGGCCTACGGTTTTAGTTGATATAATCCCACAAGATCGGACAAACCTGGTCATTGGGCATACTAACGTGTTCAGGAGATTCTGGCCTTCATGGTGAGTATAAAAGACGGCCGTTTCCCGAACTATTTATCTTGTTCTGTGATAGTTTTTCCATATGTCATTGTGTGTCTTGATTTTTAGAGTCATTATAAAGAAAAACAGGGTGAAACTATATACGGTATTTTCTTTTTCCTTATTACATTTAGAATAAAATGTATATCTCAGTTTTTGTAAATATAGTGGTTTTTTTTTACATGTGCGGTTATATAAAAAATTAAAAACTTTTTTGGAACATCTGGATTTGAACCAACAACAAATTGCTATACTTTAAGACACAAATATCATACATTTTTAGATAGACAATTTTATTTGCTTTAAGAAAATATACAAGTTTGCAGTTGAGGGAGGGGCCTATTTACCATATGGTTTTGAATGAACCAATAAGAACCGTGCGGTGTTGCCAAATCTAATAATACCAGCTGATTTGAAAATATTACTTTGTATATTTAATAAGTTGTCAATGGGCGATGTGGCAACGTCGCACTAGACTTGTCTTGTGATTGGCTGCTACCAACTGCAAACTTACGTGGTCCCGACAATAGGCTATCTCATAATTTAGATTTTTTATTAATTTTTTAATCAAACTCCACAAAAGTCTCGAAAATTGAGTGACACTTAAAGGTGTTCAATGCGACACCTAGAGGGTTAAAGTATGTTCTTTCCAATTAAGCAGTTATTTTTGGTCTCCGGTAAAAAAATCCCTCTAAAATAAGTGGCCTCCGGATAATACCAAAATACCTATAATTCTGCCCCACCATTCCAGAGCTAAAAGTGAACGGTTGTTCCTCTGCATCTTACTTCTCTGTGACAACTTAAAATTAACTTTGGTCTTTTGAGAAACCAATTTGTTGAAGTTTATTTTCGTGCTGGTATGTTTAAGTATTATTCAGATAGTTTATATGGCATTTCCATCACACATAGTGATGGATCAAACAAGAAAAAAGGGTTTTACCTCCATGCTTTCTCTGAAAATTGCAACAACACACTAAACTACACTTTCTCAAATATGTGATTTCAGTACTTATGTACTTTTCTTCTGTAGTTATTGCAACTTGGTTATCAGGACTGTGACTTTGCGGCGGATATGCTCCAGTGGTTTCGAAACTATTGCGTGAGATATGTAAATGGTCTGAGAAAGGATGAGATTATCACATAGCTCATATCTTGAAATTAAATGTCAAAAATCAATCAATATAATGTTGTTAGTTTTTTAGTTTTGAAAGCATTTCCTACAATTTTTTTTAGCTAATTAAACTTTTTTTTAAGGTAGTCTCAATATATGTATAAAAAAAAAGATTAAAATTTTACGATAGGATGAGAAGTCTACTTGTACCGTTCAAAGTCAATCATGTAGCCTAATGCTGCAACCTATGTGATTAAAATAATCTTCCGTTGGTAAAGGGAATCAAACTGTACTAAAGGAATACAGCTGATAAATAAATATCCCCGCCGCAGAAAAGCTACAGGCCAAGCGAACTTCCAATTGATTTTTAAAAGATTTTCCCTAAATTTTTAAGGTTTATTCCAAATTTAACAAGTTCAAAGGATAGTTTTGCTGTCAAAGGGAAGGAAATAAAGTGTGTTTTTGAAATTGTGTAGTCCCTAGTTTTACTCCTAGGTTTTGAGGGACAAAATTGGGAAAAATCAATAATTTATACTCCATAAAACCCTGTTTTAATACATGCTGGTTAGCAAATTCGTTTAAATAAATTTAGGGTTACAGGTTTGTACCAAATTTCGTAAAAATCAGACAATTTTTATTTTAAGTTACCGAGTTTACGGTCACAGTAACTTATGTAGGCTTGGGCATAGGCTATTTTTTTGTGTTTTTCGCCTTAAACAGACATAAATACCCCCGCCGCAGCAAACCTGCAGACTAAGCGAATTTCCATTTGACTGATTGGATTTACACTGAAATGTCTACCTACTTAAAAATATAACATTCATTCCCTATTTAAATAGAATTAGTTAAACAAGTACTTAGGTTTGCTGCATCAGGGAGGGTAAAACTGTTTTTTTTTTTTGTAAAATGTTAATAGTTAGTAAGAAATAAAAACCATTTTCCAAATTTGATCAAAATATGTTCATAAACAAGCAAACTACAACAGTTTACTTATTCTCCATAAGAATAACATAGGAATTTTAAATTTACAGTTTTTTGGAATTTTCTCCGTAACCATTAGGTGCATAATAACGCTTCAATATACTAAATTATTTGTTTTTTTAAGCTCTACAAAATGGTTTAGAAAGAAATTGCTAAATTTTATTTTTTTGGGGTCAAAAATGGGAAAAACCTATTTTTACCCCATAAACCCCCGTTACCATGGTCCGATCATGCTGGATCGCGAACTCGTTTGAATAAACGTAGGTTTACACGTTTGTACCAAATTTCATCAAAATCGGATCATTTTTGCTCGAGTTATTGTGCTAACGGACACATATATATATATATAAATATATAAACATATAAATATATTTATATATATATATATGAATTTGAACGGATGGTGTTTTTGGCCTCTAGGGACCTCAAAACGAAAAAAAAATCGGTCCCGCGTCCAGGTCTTACCATGAGTACTACGGTAATAGCTTATTCCCTATATGGAAAATTCGCTAAAAAGAATTGTAAATAATGGTCCTAGGTCTAGATGTTACCATGTCATCTATGGTAAATAGCCCACTCCCTAAAGGGGAAATTGGCTTAAAAGATAAGCAGAATTTAAAATCAACATCATTAGATTTTATGTACGGTACATACCTTTAAATTGAGAAACATACTGGTTTCATAGTCGCGTAGCTCCTAATCTCAAGCAAGGTTTTAAAAATCTACACTAACATCATATCATGATGGATACCATAATGGTATATTTTTCAGTTTAGCTTCAGAAAACATCCAGCCTACTTTTGATTTGAGATAAGTTACTGAAATAAGTTAAGCCTTTGTTACTTGCTTATATTTAGGCCAACCATAAATTTTCCAATAGATAGGCCTATGTTCCATCATAAACCTTTGTAAACTCAATCAAAAATAAAGTAGATACTGGTAGACTAAGTGAATGTCATACTGTACATGGGTACACAACTTTGTCACATTACATACCAACTGGACCACATTTTATTCATATAACTTAGTAAGTTATGTTTCTTAAGGGATAATCTTGTACCCATAGGCCTAGTTCTTGGAGATGTTTAAGACAAATAAAAGACAATATATATAGATGCTAGGAGAAAAAAAGGCTAAGGCCTATCAACAATCTGTTCGCATTTGAAAATGCACTACAGTAATTTATTAATAGCCCACAAACAAAACTATGTAATGCTTAGTTTGATGCAAAGTATAAGTTACATCGTTTTTTGAAGAAGCGAATTTACTTTAATTCAACATCATCGTCAATAAGAAACATTTTGACACTCTTTAAATAGTCTTCTTGTAAAATATTAAGTTCCTTTTGACTTAACCATTGATATTCTTGACACACATCTTTTGACACATTTCCCTTGATCAGCTGAGCCTTAAAGAAGAATATTTTAGCACCAACTGCTTCCTTTACCTTGGCACCTTTTGGGTATCTGTATTTGTAGTACCCGCAAGGTGCGTTACCCATAAATCTTGTCTGCAAGTTTGGACCACAATTTTCCTTTAATACTCTTTCAGCAGCTTGTCGCATGGTTTCACCTTCTTGACGTACACCCTGGGGAAGAAGCCAATAGGAGTTATTTCCCAGTTTTTGCTTTGTAACTAATAACAGACTATTAATCAGCTGCCGCTCGGTTGAAGTTGTGTCATTCCTACTATCTGCAGGCGTTGTTCGTTCAGCCAATTTAAATTGATCCAACTCTATTTTACATGCATCTTCAAATTCTTGAGCTGTCTGCATGGGTGCCTCCTCAACAAAACTATCTTTTTTCTTTAATTCTTCAGCATACATTTTGTCTGTTATCTTCCGAATTTCATGGTCAGATCTAAAACTAGATTCATATTCTACTTTTCTTAAAGTTTCAGCATATTTCAATTCCATTTCAGTTAGATCTTTGGTTAACTTTGGCTTTCTTTCTAAACATATCGAACTAACCAAATCCCATTTTTCTTTGACACCGACAGTGGCAGTAGAAAATGTTAATTTTAGGTGTGGTTTAGGCAAGAGCCCAAAACTAGATTTTAGAAAAGTTGGTAACATTTTAAATTAAAAAGCACACTTATCTTTTTCACCTAATACACGTAGGCTAAGTTAATTCACTTACACTTCACAATTAAGTTCATGAGGATGGACTTGAAAATAACTTCTACGCCTGTTTCATAAAAATACTTTAACTAGGCCTAATATCTTCTTAAAAGTGTTCTTTTCAATAATCGATTTCGAACTAACCTACCTAATTCAATTCTATCTATGAATCTAACATAACCATACCACCAATACCAATCTAAATACTATCCGTCTGTAAATCTGACTATTTTTGTTTTTGTTGTGGTTTAAGATTGCGATCTTCTTTTCTTTTTACAGCTGTTAGGCAACGGCAAGGCAGCTAGGTTGTATGTATGTAACTGTTCGTTGCACTGCTGACCTTTGAATATGGAAAACTGATGTTATATATATATTTTATATCGACAAATATGTTAGTTTATGGACCTTTACCCTAAATAAAGTAAAAAAAGGAAATGTATTAATAAATATTCAAATTAAATCCTTGTTGTAACTTTCAAAAGCTATTGTTAATAAATTCCTCATCAGAAGCCTATAAACATTAAAATTATGCTATTAAATCCCTATCTATAGGTCCTTAGATCTTCCCAAGAGAACAATTTTCTTAATCAGTTTATAATCTTAACACAGGCCTACCTGTTTCTTCTGGTTTGAGAAATTTCAAATAAGTTAATACCCTGTTTTATCTTACATTTTTAGTAATAAAAAGTGTTATACTGCTTAGTTGAATGCATGTGTTATGATCTTTAACTTCAATATAGGTGACGTCGTCGTCATAGCACTGAAAACTATGGTAGGAATGAAGTGGTCATTAGACCAACCCTCACCACACCAGTCACCACCGACAAATTGCTAATGCACCGTAGCGTCTCCTTTTACACCGTACAATTTCAGCGGGGCATGAATCTTGCTTGCACCAGTTGAGTAAAAAAGAGGAAATAGCTGTCTGCTAGGCCAGCTCACTGTTCTCCCAGAACGACTACTCTGCACCGGGCCTGTACAAGTAGTCGCAGTTAGTCTGGGCTAGAGATGTGTCCAAGTAACTGTAACGGTTACTTTGTAACGGGTACTGGCTTTTACGGAGAGTAACGGTTACTCTAAATCTTAAATACCCGTTACAAAAGTACCCGGGTACTTCTAATATCTATCTACGGAGTTAGGATAGTGTGTACAGGTAATGGTAGCCGTACCCGTTACAGTCAGTAGGTACCCGTTTAAAAGTAACTTAGACGTGACGTGAACAGTTTATTGCTGAGCTTGAGCTGACACAGCAGCAGCGCTCTTGTTAGCTGTGGGGGCACTTTTAGGAAATACGTTTTTTAATTTAGGCCTAACCACAACTAACTGTAACCAGGTATAAAATAATGTTAGGTAATTAATTCCTGAATATAGGCCTATTTTTTTCAGTTCGATATTTTACTCAATTTAGGTTACTGCAATAAAGTAAATTTACCGTTGGGTTTATATTTTGTGCGATATTTTTTTTTTATAAATAGGTTAGTAACTTAGACTGTAAGGTTAGTAAAAGTAAGGTTAGCCTTTTCATACAACCACTTTTGAATACACATTTGAATAAACATAACAGACACAAAAGGAGGTAAAGAGGTACTCAGTTACTCAGTATCAGTACCGATTTCATGGGCGCGCGGACCCTTGTGTACCCGACCGTATCCGAGTGAAAATTTAAAAACGTACGTTTTCAAGAAAAGCACTTTGCAATTTTTTTTCTCCTTTTTTCAAAACTTTTATTATTTTTTTTATTTCATTAACATTTGAAGTTTTATAAAATGTCCATGGTAACGCAATATCTTTGGTAGTTTCTTTTTAAAAGAGCATCTTTAGTGGAAAAACACAAAATCCTGTCACGACCATAACGGACGTTTAAATGAATATTAAAAATAGTTAGTATTATTTTTATAGATATGTTTTGCTATAAACTAATTTACTTTTATGACCACTATACAATAAAAAGGTCACTGAGCTTTTGGTATATTTAGTCTTTCTAGAAAAAAATAAAAAAAACTCAAAAAATTGAAAAAAGCCAATAAAATCTTTTTAAGTTTGTATAACTCCGAAAAAACTTACCTGAGACCCGAAAAATCGTTATGTTTGTATAGAGGTGTGCTTCTTTTGTGTATAAAACATTGAAATATGACGATAATATAATTTTTGAAATTTTTATGATAGAAATCATAAACGTGATGGTCAGGGACAAGCGGTACGGTCGTGAATTGTCTGGAATAATCTAAATCTTTCTAAACAATCCTTCAATTATCCTGTTAGTTATAATAAAAATATGTGTTTCAATTGCACTAAACTGTTCAATTTACAATTATATTAAAGTTCTTGTCACGACCAAACACACTATAATCCATAAGGCTGGATTGGTCGTGAAAAAACCCGCGATGGTCGTGAAACTTTGGTCGTGAAATTACGTGTTATTTGGCTCTGTTCTGGTGGTAGCCCTGCACCTCATGTTCGAGGATACAAAGTGGACTTCTAGGTTAATCTAGCAATTGAAATAACTTATAAACAAAAATTAACACCATGTCTACTTCATCGAATGACTACGTACGGTCATGGACACACCAAAATTACAAAAAACACAATCTTTCCTTTATTAATCTTGTAATTCCTCCTTTCAACTCGAAACGACCGGCACTACAATCCTGACGTACACCCCGAACTAGTCTCTAAAACCAACTGACTCCATCGACGCCAGGCTTGCCACTGTCGTGCTCCAAAGTTGAAAATTTTTCCCAAATGGTCGTGACGCCAAATCGAGGGACAGACTTATTTTGTCATGGTAGTCAGTTTGTGATGACAATAAAATTATAATATGCTCCTTTTTTGTAAGTTTAATAACCATTGATGACATAAAAATATGGCTTTATATATTTCGGCATGAATAATTAGTCTAAAAACAGCGTGAAAGTTGGAAAATGTACCCTAGGGACACGTCATGGTCGTGAATTTCGAGACTTTAAAAATACGAAAAAAATACCTAGAACCTATTTAAAACCAAATAAATGTGTGTAACATGTTGCCCCCGTCCCAAAAAATATTAAAACACATAATAATAAACTACAAATCCAGTATCTACGAAGTAAAAGGCCAGGGACATGAAAACGTACGTTTTTAAATTTTCACTCATCCCACGCCAAAGCCATGAAGACAGCGCTGAGACGCTGAACAACCCCAGAGAGCCGTGTGGGCCAGATGTTTTTGGAAATGAGCATAACACTCCCCTCTACACCCCCCGCCCTAAAGCGGCCGCGCGCCCAGACTAGCTGCGACTACTGTTCTCAGAACGCGCTCACTGACATTATCTGTATTGCGCGATTACATTTTTAGATATTCAATAAGATTTATTTGATTTTTTATATATTCAAATCACATTGGTTTCTATAGGAAAGTAGCTATTACCGTAGGTGGGACGGTAAGACTTAGGCCCGGGACCGATTTACTTTTTCATTTTGATTTCCCCAGAGGCAAAAACATCATATTTATATACAGGGTGTCCCAGACCACCAATACTGCTTCGAATATGAAAGCAAATAGAAACACAATTGCAACTGGAACCCCCTATTTTGACCACAAGGAATTCAGCTAAATTATTTTTAAAACCCAAAAAAGCACCCCAAAGGACAGATTTTGGGGGGTGGGGGTGGTTTTTGGGAAATTTTCAAAAGTAAAGGGTGGTCGTGTTATACCTCATTTTAAAGGGCTTTGAGTCCTGAGTATTTTAGTGGAAAATGTTTTAAAATATATTCATCCCTATATACAGGGTGTTCAAAAACGTACAAAAAATGGACTTTTGAACTACTTTTCACTGCAAAGAGGTAGAATCTCGTGGGGGGGGGGTTCAAATTTTGATAACACTTTAATTGCTAAATGAGCTTTCAAAACTCTGGTTTCAACCCTTTTCCCAACTTTTTACTTATGTTGTGCATTTTCAAACTTCTTAAAAGTTTCAAAAGCAGTTATCTAAAAAATTTCAAAAGGCAACATGGGTTTCATTACAAACCTTTAATGACAAATTTTTACATTAGGGTGATGACCATGTCACACCCTATTACATTAATGAATCAATTTTGAAATTAGGCGACATCAGAAAAATACAAATACGTTTCATTACTCATTCTGCCATCAATCTTGGAATTCCAAATTATCTTGCAAAGAATTTTAAATTTTTGAATGAAAGAGGCGCAAGGGATACCCGCTCTGGCTCGTCCACGCTTCGCATTCCTCATCACAGAACAACTGTTTATAACAAATCATTTTTAGTAACAGCATGCCGCGTATGGAACTCCATACCGTTTCACATTAAATCCATAGAAAACCGATCCCGACTGATGGTGACGCTGAAAGGATATTACCTTGACCGGATGGCCGTGGCTTGGTGGGATGGCATGCGTTAGGCCTACAGCAACAGAGGGTGTACTTGTGTGTGTGAATGTATGTTAGGGAAGATTAAATAAATTATGATATTTTATAACTTGTTTTGTTACAAACTGTGTTGTATTTTTTGTTAATATTTTGTTGTTATCATAAGTTTTTTAGAGGTTAACTGTAAGAAAGGACCATGAGGTCCTAAGTTCGCCTCAATAATCATTCATTCATTCAAACCACATTCTAGCCCTTAAAATTAGCTACAATTTTTGTATTTCATGTTTTTTTGTATCTTTATTGGTTAAAGAGCTGTAGCGAAATTAGTGTATTTTAATGTTTTATTAAATGGTATTCAAAGTGTTTGCTGTTGTAAATGTACATGTCTAGGTTTCGATTAAAACTAATTATGTCTAAAAACAAATTCTACCCAGATTGTTGATCTTGGAAGATTAATAAAGGAAAGAACACAACTGCAAATATTCTTAGTTATTTTACAATTCCATAGCTCTAATAGTGTTTTGAATGAATAATGTGTTACTTGTAAATAAAAAATAAAAAAAATCATGAAATCAATGAGCGTGTGCGTGAAACTGGTCACGTTTGATTAGATAAAACAAATTATAAGGAACTTACTCGCGAAAGACGATCACGATGTCACTATGGCTGCCCGTGATCACGATGTCGACGTAATTCACTTTGTTTGTGACGTCAAGAGATGCTTGTGTGTATATCTTCACTTCTTCAGTCTCGAGAGACGATTACAATGTCGCTGTGACTGCAAGTATTTCTTGAGGATGTGTCCACAATCGTGGGAGATGATCACGATGTCATCCTGACTGTCGCAATACATGTTCATGTCTAACTGTTGTGTTGCAGGAGGTGTACAGAGACTGAGTGCAGGACTGCTTCTGCAGTGTGTCCTCAGCATAATACAGGAGAGATTTCACTGTAAACACTTTGGCTTCACCTACCTGCAGGTGTTGCGTCACCAGATACTTACTTGCCATAACTACTGTGCCAATGTTGGGGAAGACAATTGGAAAGGTATACGATTTTGATTTCATTTACATTAGTTTTACTTTCTCCTCCTATACATAGTATGTAGAGAGACTACTGTGTTTGTAAAAATTTTTGAGTTTTACATAATATAAAAATCAGATTTGCACTAAAATGGTTTTAACGGTTAAAAAAAAAATTAGTATCTTATAGTCCTTTTTATTCTAAACAGAATGGTACAGCCCCTAACTCTGTAAAAAGGTTCAAAAGTCACTGAGATGTTTGTTGTTTTCCCCTTAAAACCTCATAGTTACTCCCCCCACCACCCATAACAATTTCTAGTCAGGCTAATGGTAGAGGTCAAAATGCTCCTTTATAATTCTAAATTGCACAACACTATTAGGACCAATATTCAAACTAAAGGCAATGTTTTATATTATGGTTATTTTCTAATGTAGATTTTCATTTTTTCAGATTTACTACGATTGTGTGAGCATCTTTACAGAAACCCACCTCCGAGAGTTGATAAGATTCTGATTCTCTCCACTCTAAACCTCATTGTGAAAAAAGGTGGAAAGCATTCATTTGTGGCCTTAGAAATCAAGAAGAAGTGAGTAATTTTGTAATTCATCTTACTTTCAGACTAAAGCTTAGAACTTTTATATTTAACAAACTAAATTGGTGTTAGGCAGCTGTTTCAACCCGCTTAGTATATATTTAACAGTTATGTGAAGGCAGCTTGTTTGTGGTTGAGAAACGGTATCTTCACCTAACACTCTTATAGCTTCACAAGCATTCATGAACCAATAACTGTGAAATATTTCAAGAATAGTCTGATCAGTCAGCTCAAACCAAGCACTGTGGTTGTGGCCTGTGAAGAGCATTTAGAAAGGTTTATAAAAAAAGATGACATTCTGTCTTGAAGAAGCCAATAGACAGTAAAATGTGAGAAGAGGAAGTAGATGAAACCCTTGCTAAGTAACGTTTTAATGTTATTTTGGTTTGTTTTTTAGGTTTCCGTTTATCACAGAGTGTATAAAGAGTGATGCCAGAACACTTAACCTACAAGAACACCTGGCTAGGTTGGCTCTATCAATGTGTGAAACCGTAAGTAACTTTTGCAAAGTTTTTGAAAAGATAGCTTTTCTAATACAAAGTTCAGCTTGGATTTTTTGTAAAAATTTACTTTGGACACTTTCTAATACAAGAGAAAGTTTTTGAATTGTGCATGCACTGGGTAACTACAGATGTAAAGGGAGCCATTTGAATTTTTCCATTTTTGAACATCTCCCTCTGCCAAAATTTCTTGTTTTGATTCTTGTTTGTCCTGTGACTTAATCGTAGACAGCCTTAACTTAAAACTAGCAGTGTTGAAATATTCAAAATGGTAATGGAAAAAGATAATAATTCAGTATGAAACTTCAAGATCGATTTTTAAAATAGTTGAACATGTTTCAGTTGCAATATGAATGCCGAATGTCAATCTGTAAATTTGGAGAAGAAGTTATGTCAGACCTCAGAAACATGTATGACTACCGAGAAACTGGAGCTTCTAGAAAAAAGGTTAAGTATTCATAATAATTTCGAAATATTTTTTGTAGATTATTTTTTTGATCATAAATGTATCATTGATGTTGCATTTGGCTTATTATTGCCTACTGATGACATGTCTTCTTTTGCGGAGTGAATATTAGTTACAAGATTGGTTGGTTGCTATAACAATCTTTGGTTACTCAGTAAGGGGGGAGGCTACTGTGTAAATAATAAGTCAAGTAAGTTAAGTACCGTCATCAGGCCTTCAGTTAACTGATCGGTGAACAGTGAATTGCTGTGTTATTATTTAAAAAGGGTTAGGTTAGGTTACAGGCGAAATAACAAAAAATAACTTATAAACCTAAATTCAATTCAAGCTTTAACAGTTGTGTCTGTTAATATTTTACTTCTTGTGAGAGCATAAAAATGTGCATCAGGTGAAATAACGTGATAGATAATGTTTTCAATTTTCATGATATCAACACAATCAACAACTGCACGCTAGTAAAACATCATATTATTTGGGGTTGTTTATATTTTTTGTGACTTTCGGTTTTCTGTAGCATTTAATTAAAATTAGGTCTTTGTTGTTGATAAAAATTTTGTAGTTCAATTAACTCTTGCTACAGAACTTCATTGAAAAATGGCAGTGTTAAGCTAAACACTGTGAAAACCTTGAGTAAAAACTTGAATTCACATGGGTAGCTAAGTAGTTTAATGTTTGCATTCAAATCTAAGGGTTCTGAGAATGTTCTAATCTGGACCTAGATGCCATTCGTCATTGTGTTATCAATGGTATCTAACGGTCAAATGTTAGATAGTATCGAGCACAATGATTGTACGTTTACATTTATCGTAAAAATGTCCACTACCATAAACTTTACACACTATATTTCAATATTTAACAGAAATTTATTTGTTTGCCAGGATATTCTTCTGGAGTGGTTCCTGGTGCAGGTTAGGGCTCATCATCCGGGTGGTGCGAGACGCGGGTGTCCGGGTGCCTACGCTCACGAGTGGGATATCTGGGTGAAACAGCTCGGATGGCTCTACCAGCTGGTAACTGCTGAGGTCACATCGCTGTTGAGACACAGAAGTGTTTGCCGGACGTTGAAGCCTGCGTTTATTAGTCTGGCGGTTTGTGTTTGCAAACAGGTAGGTTTTAGACAAACACTTGGGAGAATAGAACAAAAAATGAATAATGAAAATAGTAAAAGATCAAATTAAGAACAAAATATTCAATCCAATAGTGTTGCGCTTTTGTATGATTTTTTCTTCCTAAATAAATATATATATACCTCCCAATGCAGAACAAGATAGAGTAAATTCTATTTTTTTCAATCTAGGCCTTGTTAACTGATGTCCTGTATTTGGTTTCTGTTACTTGCTTTTTGGGCCAATAAGGTTGCAGATTGATTGGAGTGTTAAGTTGAGAATTATTGCTTCTAAACTCAGTTGATTAACTATTGGTACTTGATGTAAACAGATGTATTGTTTATACATCTATAACCTATTCCATCTACACAAAATGTTTCAAGTGGTCTCTTGTGTGAAAATACACGAATCAGTTTATTTTGTTTAGGTGAGAAGAAAGTCATGTGCCTTATGACGTTTTTAGACTGTCGAATCATCACACATCATTACTAATTAGCTATAAGCTATGTATTCCTCCTGAGTTCTTACATATTTACCTGGTGGGCTGGTGGCTTAGCCAGTAAAGCTAATAATGCTTATACTGCACCCGCCCACTCCTTATGCTTGATATTTTCCACACAGCCTCAAGTCCTTTGTGGACGGACAAATGAAAGGTTAAAAGACGTTACCACCTTCTAACGAATCTAGGGTTCCTCAAGGTAGCCATTTTGGTCCACAACTTTTTGCTGTTGCAGGTGTTTGAGACTGACAGTAGACGACTTTTGGACATGAGCCTCATTTCCAACCTGGAGGACACGTCCATGGTGGAGGCCCACGGCAGCGGCAGCGCTCCCAAACGGATCAAACTTGAAACTGGAGTTGCGGCTGTGGTGGACAAACTGGCAACGACCCCTCAACAAGACATGTGGCCGTGGTCAGTAGAGTATTATAATGTGTAACATAGTCAAAATATTGAGCCATCAAATTATACAATACAGCAATACAAAGTGCTGCATATTTGTCCTGAGTATGAGTGAAGGATGAGTGCAAAATGCAGTAAGAAGCACTGTGTACCTTTGTTACTGGCTAAGATCAATTGTTTAATCGGCTAGGACCCTTATTAAAAGCCTTATGATCAGTGTCAGCTGGCCACAGTTTCAAACAATTATGAGAAAAGTTAATATAGGCTACTTATTAAAATCAAGTGAGACATTGGTAAAGATAAACATTGTAGAAAATCAAGGTAAAGTGCCAAAAGATTTTATGAGAACCAGAGATGGAGGCAATGATGTTTTCTAAATTGTAAAAGATGGACGTACAAATCCTGCCAATAACCAATGGATTTGATCTAAGTCATAGCCTAATGCTATGACCCCCTCTAAACCTAAAAAAAAATTTATGTGAGATAATGTGGCGGTGGCAGGTTATAATTCCAATATGCTACATCACAATTGGGGATATGATCCCGATCGTGCGGAACTTATTGAGATTTTATTCTTTATAATTTGCCTTGTAATACTCTTCTTGTGTATCTCAGGTTGTCGCTGCTGACAGCCTTGTGTTTCCATCACCCAGATCTGGTGACGGAAAGTGACTTATCCTCTTTGCTACAAATCTGCTCAGAGAATCTCCAGACTTGTAAAGATATATCGACCACTGAGAACTTGTACAGGTACATGTATTGTTATTTAGATAAATAGATTTTTTTATGGATTTAGTTTCTTACGGACTCTTAAATTCCATAAAACGTTTTGGACTTATATTAATGGTGCAGCTTTGTTTCTGAAATGTTGTTCCTGAAGTAGCGAAGAAACAGAATAAGATATATGCCATGTTTCCCCAACTTGGGGGGCATTGTCCCTTGTGAGCTTGTTATACGTTGCACCATAATGTTGTTACATTTTGTTTCCCTGAAGACAATGTTACACATTCCCTTGTTCATCATGTTGGTAAACGCTTGAGTCTTTATTTCAAACTTCTGTTGTGAACAAAGCTGCAATGTATATATAAATGAATTCTTATTCTAAAAAGTCAACATCTCTTGGCAATCACTGATTTATTAGTAAACGGTGAATTTCCTTTTCTTAAATTCCTTCTTCTGAATTCTTAAACTTTTACAGATGCTGTGAAGCACTGTTGTTTGTGGAGAGCAAGAAAGATGTCAAACTTCTAGACACGAAGAGGTTAACACAGTTATGGGAGAGCATTTGGGACACTTCATTGAGGTAAGGTTTCTTAATTTATCTTAAAACTAGGCTTTTAATAAAAACAATAGGCTAAATGTCGCTAAAACTGTTAAACGACCAATTTAAATTACTTAATTGCTGCAGCTGATCCATAGGAATGTCTACTCTCGTATCAAAAAGTCAATGGTTATTAGTTATTACTATTAGAAAAACCTGTTTACCGTGAAAATGCATTCTTTGTCTTAGTTATGACAGGATTTTATTTACCACACATTGTCTTGTTCACAGAGCCTTAGGCCTTAACCTGTGTGAGGAGAGGTCACATAGCCTGGTGTGTAGATTGGTTCACAGCAGCAAACAGCTGACTGTTGATCGTCTGCTACAACTGTTTGTCTCTGGTGCGATCCACAGGTCGTCCCACAGTCTGCAGACGTTGTTGACCATCGCTACCAACTACTGTATCTCCGATTTGGTTGGGGTCAAGGTGAAAACAAGTGAAAATCTTTACAGCTGTGTTTTGAACCTTATTGAATGATTTATTACAATCTAGTTAAAAAGCTGCAAAGGAAAGTTTTATTTCAGGGATGTAACAGATACTGTAGTCATGGTAAGACTTATAGCAAACCGTAGGTGTATAGAAACAAAACTATTTTTTGCATAAGTAGTTAGTAATGAAACCAAAAACGTAAAAGCCAAAAGTTAGTAAAGTCCAGAACCAAAAATGGACCTTATCATTCCATCTGAAATGCCCAACCTGACAGCAGCTGAAGAAATCAAACATCTAGGTGTCATAATTGATGAAAATTTATCGTGAGATCGTCATGTAGCTTGCCTTTGCCAAAAAAGGTATTCCAGGGTCTCTACCGGTCACTGGAGTCAAGGAAGTCACTGAAAAGTAATGGATTTTACTGTCCCAAAAGGCACGGAAAAAATTGGACCTAACTAATATAATTTTTTCCAGACCTGCCTCCTGTTTTGCACCTTGCTGCAGGCAATGATTAAATTAAATTCATGGAGCATAAACAGAGACAGGATATATTTTGAGAGCAGGCAACCATCCAAAATCGTTATGGGATTGTATGCCTGACTATCTCATGTTCAACTCGCTCAAAAGTATTGTTTTATCGCCAGAAAAAAAGATTGTACGTTAACGTTGTTGCCCCCCCCCCCCAATTCACTGAAAATAATAATTTAAGTTTTGTTTAATCTAATAAAAATTGTTGCCTCTGGAGTAAAATTTTTCCACATAAAGCTCAAACAATCTTATTGCTCACGTTAACAAAAGGCGATCTTCACAGGAATGCAAGACGCTGATGGACTGGGTGTTGCCTTGTAGAGAGGAAGGATCAGACGACCACACTAGCAGTATCTCTGTACTGAACTGCACTGATCTGGTGGCTAAAGCACTGGTAGCTCTGACAATCAAGTCCACCGCCCCTGCTGGTGAGATTGAACAGCCTACTACGACAGTCTCTGGCGTAGAGCAACACTACCTTTACACGACATTTGAAGGAGGACTTGTAACCAAAGCGAGTACCAAGGCAACAGTAAAGAAGAAAGCTAAGGAGAGTAAGTAGTATGTTTGGAATAACGTTAAGGTTTTTTTTTTTTTAGGAATATTTCCTAATATTAACACATCAAGTATTAATTATATCTTTCGGACAATCCTATTTGCTGCTAGGTTTTGATGCTTTTCGTCAACATGCTGACACCTTCAGGCTTCCACTTAGCTGTGTCATAAATATTAATATAAAACAGCTATTACACACTATTTACAAAAAATAAGACGTTTAACAAATAGCTGGTATTGTCGTCACAACATTTTGTTGGTGGCAACATCTCATGTATGCACACAATTCTAGGCAACAACTGCAGGACGGAGTGTTGTCTATGGTTTACTTAGCCCTTTGACGGCCATGTTCATTTCCAGGTGCATCGCAGGGTCGAACAATGCATTCCCTCGAGAGTTTAATTTGTCATTCAGTTAATTACCTGGTTCACACTCTACTGTCTTATAAATTGTATGAATTCCATCTCAAGGTAATTGGAAATATTACTTTAGTGCAAGAAAAGCTATTTAATGTCCAGACTTGAGTGCCATGAGATTTATAAGGCAGAACAGTGTGAACACGGGGATTTGTGAGAGTCCATACCTCTTAGGTATTATGTTTCTGTATATAATTTTTTTTTGCTAGTCCCTTACTTTTAAATATGTTGATAACTAGCTGTTGTACCCGTGCTTTGCAACGGGAAGAGGACACAAAATACAAAAAAGTTAATAGTACTCAGTACTGCACCCTGTTGGTAAACCTTATAACTTTTTAATGCTATTTAATATCATAGAACCAACTTGTGTAGTTGAAACAGCTGACAAAATTCTTTTATTCCTTTTAAATATGATTACTCATATGGTTAACATGGGAAACTCCAGAGCCACTGGGGTGGAGCCCGAAAGGACTTTTGAGATAAGAATGCGTCTATATGGTAATCGGGAATGTGAACTATCATCACACCAAATTTCAGCCAGATCCGACCAGTATTTTTCGCGTTTACTTGTCACAAACATACATCCATACATCCAAACTTTCTCATTTATAATATTAGTAGGATTAGTAGGATGCTCCTGCATGTCCAATCATTAGATTTTAGATGTATCTTTAATTTTCTTCCACTACAAATAATGTACGAGATCAATTAAACCAGTAACTTGTATTATAAAATCAGATCATCCTCTTGGATGAGAACAGCTCCTAACATGTTTCACCTTGCGACACAGTTTTGACGGAGCCTGTGCTGGTGAGTCATTTGAGGCTGGTGGTAAACAGAGAGCACTTTGCTGTCAAGGAGGGTGTTAGACAAGTAGACACCCAACCTGTAGCTGCAGGTGTCTACAGTCTGGCTCTCAACACACAACTGCTGGCACACATCACCAGCGTACTTAGAGACTGGGGGCTAAACGTTGATAACAGGTAATGTATTTCAAATGATTTTACTTGAATTTTAAAGTGGGAATGGGGCGATGATAAATGTCAATTTAAAATTTTTAAACCCAAGTGCTATTACTCAGCCTTAAAATTTCTTGTAAATTTGTAAACAGATTTTTGTAATAACCGTTAACAATTATATGTGTGTATCTATACCTTAACAGCCTAAATGTAGATTTCACATTGGCACTGACTTTATTTTGAAATACCTAGAACAACTTTTTGAAAATCCTGCAAACCTAGCTAATGGAATTGATGATTTAGACTGGCATCACTCCTATCTGAGTCTTGTGACTTGACGGCTGACTCTATCAAAGACGTTTTGACGAACCAAAGCGACACAGCTACAATATCAAATGTGCTGGACCGGTTGTTACACCTGCTACAGCTGTTGGCCGACACACAATCACCTGATCTTGTGAGACGTCTGGCCACCGATTACATCACCAAAGCGTGCTACACGCTGGCACTGGTGTCGCAGCGTGCTCACCAGCCGACAGGTGAGAGAATTAGATCATTATTTGCGATTTGGTTCAGTGTTAGTTGAGTATAGCAAGAGTAGTTGTTGTGAGAGAATATTTTTTATGAACTAGCTTAACAACGGAGGATTGCTTCAGAAAATGTAATCAAAATATAGGTCGAGGGAGTATTACATGAAACTACCCATAATACAAGTGCAGTGAAAAAATGTGTGCTGTATTGTATGATACCAATTTAGATTTTTTAATATAATTTCCTGCTATTGGCATTTTTAACCTTTTTGTAAGGGAACTAGTCCTACCTTGGTTTTCTTACCATCCTTTGTCTACCTTCTGTTAAGCAGCATCACAATGATGATAGATATATCTAAATGACAAAAAAAGCAAATTAATTCAGAATCAACCCTGCTTGGGCTTCAAACTTGAAGGCGAGCAATAAAACCACTTGGCTACTAAGATAAACTGTTAAGTTGGATATATATGACAAGTTTTTGATTTCCAGTTTCTTGTATCCCTTTTACAGGAAATTAAATATTGTCATGTTACTAATGTTTAATTTTTAATCTGTTCTTGCAGGTGATTTTGATTTTGATGAGATGGATATTACTCCAGCCAATTGCTCAGGTAATTAAAAATAAATCTTTTAATTTTAATTTTTTAATAACATATATGGAAAGTAAATAAAAGAAACGTCTTAAAACACTTAAAACATATATTTATGCTTATACTGTTACTCACAAACCACGGTAAATATAGAAAAAAAATGGTAAGTGGTGATCGATTTCGATTGGACACTCCAATCATCATCAGACCCAATATGCGAATGTTCAAACTTTACTAATGTCCTAGTTTTTGGGTCTAGCCATCTCAATTTTCATCCTAATATTTATGTTTTTGTGGAGCAAGCTGGTCGTGTTAGAGCCCAGCTCAGGCTTTAGTTCCTGAGGTCTTAGGTTCAAATCCTTCCAATCAGTATTGCATTTAACTATGTGTTGAAATAGCATGTACTATTACAATACTGCGGCCCTCTAGGCTTAGCCTGAAACGATGTGTAAAACGGTTCTAGGCTGGAGCCTAGTGTTCTGAAATGTGAAGGTATGACATAAAATTTATGTTTTGCAGAGGACATTTCTCCGTTTGACGAAGAGAGTGTGCAAGGCTGGGCTAGTGTACAGTTGACAGCCTACAGAGCAGCACTACAAGCCAGTAGGGCTAACCTGGGCTTTATGATCAGGATACTCAAAGTGCCTTCCAACAACAACCCTGAAGTTTCCCCTACCACCAGTCTACACATGGTACGTGTATAGTGATTATTTAAACTTATATATATCTAATATATAAAATTCTCGTGTCACAGTGTTTGTCTGCAGACTCCTCCGGAACGACTTCACCGATCGTTATGAAATTTGGTGTGTAAATTCTGTAGGTATGCGAATCGGACGTAAACTATTTCCCGTTTCGAAATTCTTAAAAGGGCTCCGCCCCAGTGGCTCTGGAGTTTCCCATGTTAACCTTATGAGAAATGGAATTATTGAATCTTAACAGCTGTTTCAATTAAACAAGTTGGTTCTGTTCTATGATGTTCAATAGCATTAAAGTTACAAGGATTACCAACAGGGTGCAGCACTATTATTTCTTTTACATTTATGACAACAGCTAATTTGCAACCAAAAGGTGAGTGAGCGTAGCGAACGAGCTCCAACCTAAAGGTGAGTGAGCGTAGCGAACGAGCTCCAACCCAAAGGTGAGTGAGCGTAGCGAACGAACTTCAACCAGGACGTGATTGAGCGATGCGAACGAGATCATCTTGAAAATTAAACGTAACGGTACTTTCTTTCCATCGGTCTGTCTTAGGGGAAACCTATAACTTAGGCGATACGAAGTTCGCCGGGTCAGCTAGTATATATATATATATATCAATCAAATCAATCTTTCTTTATTCATAATGTGTACATGAGTAATCATACAACGGAATAGTGTAATTTCCTTATAACTAACAGGGCTTATAGCGTATAATACATATTTACAACTGGTTATACTCCTCAATTGAATAAATAGGATTTGATGTAATATAATTTTTTAACTTAATTTTAAATTTATTAACATCGTTTTTTTTATTTCTTTAGGGAAAGTTCTAAAAAACTTTGCTCCTGCAAATGATGTTTTTTTTTGTGTAGAGTTGCAATCTGTGATGAGTGGGTATGATTTCCGATTTATTTCTGGTATTGTATGGGTGAGTTGGATGGTTTATTAATGGCTTGCTTGAATTCAAAGTTTGATTATTTTGTCTTTGTGTACCGCCCAAATATTTTTAATATGAATAACAATGTATAAAGACATAAACAAAAGTAATAACTAAGGTTCATTGTAAAAAAATATAAATAATTACACTTTATTGACTTAGGTTTTTTAAATTTGTAGTATTTTACAAAAACATAGTATGTAACTGTAACATTTTAATTTATTTATCTATTTTTATTTTGTTTAGTATTTTTATGTAGGGAATTGTATTCAAAATAACATATGAGGTTTAAAAAAATATATATATATCAGCTTTTTAGGCAAATAAAGTTGTCATGCTTTCAAAAAGGTAAAATTTTTGTTCATACTTTTGACTTTTTATAATATTTTTAAATTTTATAATAATTATTGAAGGCAATTTTATTTTGAGTAAATAAACATAACTTGCTACAGTATCTTGTAACTTAAAAAATAAATGTTTCATTAATTTATAAAGAAACCCTGCATTTTGGCTAATTTTAATAGGCTAACTCAGTGACTGCAGGGGACCTAAATATTCATAGGCCAATGGGTTAAATGACAGTCCTCGTTCTTAGGATTTTGTCCAGCGTAAAATCCATAGTGATTTTTGGCAACAACTGCGTTATTAATTGGTACCTTGAATCTCCAATAGCTGGGCAGTCCCCCATTGAGGAATAATTTTCAAAGTAAAAGCAAATCTCCAAATTAAACAGCAATCTCCAATTAGCGACTTAGTTCACACTGAAAAACACTATGGATTGATAACTTAGTAACTAAATAATTGACAAGCAATGGAATCTTTACTATCAACTTGTTGCTCTGCATATTTTTTACAGTAGTATGCTCTTAATGTTGTAATTTTTTTAGTTAAAGTATCCATCTCTTTCTGAGCTTTGAAATTGGACCCATGTGTGTCCTTGATCATTGGGCTTTTGATAAATGGTCATGACTGATGAAACAGGTGGTCTTAGTCAGTAACAAAGTTACACAAGGCACGTCACTGTTACTGACTCCAACTGTAGCACCTTCAGATAGTAGTTCAAAAACATTTATTAAGTAAGAGTCGTCAGTTACATTGGGAACACAACACCAAACGTTACAGATACGTAAATAGATCAAAACCGAGAAGGCTTACCCCACACAACATGACTTCATGGCCCGAATCTAGAAGAGTCTCCACATTCTACAAAATAAAAAATAGAAATGCTGACTCATTAAAAGTTAGGCTTAAGTGTGATCAACAAGTATCAGTAAAAAACAAGCACTATTCAAAATACAAACTGATACCTCCGACTGCTGTACAGGCTCTGTCAGCTGCGAGATTGGTGTGCTCGCTGTCGTCCGTAGATGACAATGTGTTAACAAGTCTTCTGTTACTACTACAACATCTGTGTCGTCAGTGGCATGCCAACGACATCGCAACCATCACCATCCTCGACTTCTTGCAAGGTAAGTGTCACCTACTACGGATGGTTCAAAACCAAAAGAAAACGTAGGCCGACTCTGTGTATCTACTGTTACTGAAAACACCCACAGTCAAATAATAGCAAAAAAGTAAAATTAAATTGTTCACTATGTGAGAGTTGTTATCGGGTTTTGGTTTTTAGGTTTAGTCATCTGATTACAAGAAACCAAAAACAAGATTAGAATGTTGATGAAAAAATTTGAAAAAAAGGAAAAACTAAGTGTGATGATAACCTACCATAGGCTATAACAAACATACATAATACATCTTGATTTCTTGCATCTGATGTCATAAAGTGATGTAAAAATGTAATAAATTTTCATAGAGAAAGTTGTGTTTGTGTTAGCATAGTTCTATTTTGTATAAATCTGAATTTTTGTTCTATACATTTTTTACATTCCTACTTTTCATGTAAAGAAATTTCTTTTTCTCTGGTTTTGGCTGTCTCTCCTCAGCTAGGAAAAAAAACCCAAACCTAAAAAATCACCTTTAAATAATATTTGTATGAGAATTTTAGGACATGTTTAACTTACTTATGTCATTAACGTAATCGACAATTACTTTCATTTGCCACTTTAGCTATCAAATATCAATGTAGGTATGCATATTAAAAATATTCACCTACATATTTTTCAATCATCTACACTATACAGTAATTTTAACGAGAGGTCGTCCAGTGGTCGAAACTCGACCAAAATAATGTAATGTACTCACTTCTCTATTTTCACCCCACACTGTAAATAAAACATGTGATTGGAGTTTCTTCCATTTGTTTTGATTTCCTGTTTATATTTCGTTGTTATTTCGTCACCAGCATGGCAACGCATAAGATCCATGTTAATGTTTTCAAATCTTTAAACTAATTTTTTGTGCTTATCTTTGAGCCTATTTAAATTTCTAAAGGGATTCTGCACACCTACAGGAAAATAGCTTTCTAACGGTATGCGTAGATTTTCCCTACGATGCACACGAGCTGAGAAAAAAGGTTTTAAAGAAACATGCTTGCCTATTAATATATAGATAGATTTTACATTCTGATAATTGTTTTTGTTATTTTTTCTTGTTACAGACGTTTGTAACCATTTGGACCGATGCCCTGATGATGACAATCGCAGCAACTACATCGTTTTGGTAACGGGCATCCTGAAATTCAGCCGAAAAAGGAAATATGGAGCTCACGTTTGTGACAGATTTGTTCGTCTTCTAGGGCATATTGCTCAGGTACTGCAGAGTGTGGAAATAGCTATCGTCTTTTATGTTCAAAATGGTTGGGTGAAGTGGAGTTACCAAGTAAAATGGTAGCTTTAGTGTTAATCCTAGTATTGATTAAACATAAACTATAAATGCAATGGAGAGATCTAACTAACCTCTCAAGCCATTAATAGTAGTTTCAGTGGTTCGGCTGCGCATTGCTTGTAAAACATAATTGTGTACCAAAAAGAGCCACTTTCGCTCTGTGTAATAAACAACTATTCATTACACTGTGGAAATAACCTTCTAATCGTTATAAAATTAGACCACACAATTTGAGTTTATACAAAGTCGTCATCAATGTTTTTTACTATTCAGTTTTTTACAAACATAAATTTAAAAAAAATGGGTGATTAGCAGCGTTTCATAACATTTTGTAAAGTGCCATAAAAACAAATTTCGAGGTTAGGGAACCAAAAAGGTTACCTTATGTTTTTTTATTTTCCTAATTGAAGTTTCTCAAAAACTATGATTTTGTGTACAATTTAGAGAACTGAAAAGGGCTGTTTTCCAGACAGTATGATAAAAAATACATTTTTATGTATTGTTTTAGAATATTTTTAACAGTTTTACATGTGTGAATTTAAATTTGGTTGAAAATTAATGAGTTAGGGTTTACTTATTATAGGCCTAGTTGGTATAACTGCTTCAACAGGATAGTTTTATTTTTTTTTATTTTATCAGGATTTATTTAGTTATGCAGTCAGTGACCAAAATAGTAATAACTGTCTTAAAATCTACATAATTGTTAGGTTTCATGGTTTTTAGGAGAAATAAATTTATGATTCTTACCCCAAAACATGTTTTCACTTGAAAGCTGTAAAATGTAATAGACTGAATGAAAATAATTCATGGATACACAAATTTTGATGTACTGTTGTGCTGAAAAAACCACAACTTATACTGTATAGTATATTCTAGAGTTTATTTTACATATACCACTCTTAGCAGATGTGTATTTTGACAGGTGGATCCACTGGGGCTGTGGACGTCGAGGGAGACTAATGACGGGAGCTACAGAGCATTTGCACATGAGCTACTCTCCTTCCTCGAGTCTCCCTTCCATCAGGTATGTTAAACACCATCTTTATAACAAAGAAATGTGGGGTTGTAAGGGGTGATATGATTACCAGTAGAAAAACAGTATTAGCAATTAGTAATCATAAACTTTGTATTGTTTACGTACCACAATGTCTGACTATAATCTGAGATCTTGGTGCCATCATTCATTAACATCTCCTGCGATTGTATCACCATCATTAACTCATTAACATCATTAACCATCATTAATTGCGGTGCGGTGCCATCCTGAACTTCTCCTCCAATCACAACTCCATCAAGAACATCTCCCACGTTTGCATCGCCATCGTGAACATCTCCTGCGGTTTCGGAACATCTCCTGAGTTTGCGGCATTTAGTTTACATTGAGGACATCAAGGGAGGCAACAAACCTTTCCCACTTTTAATACACCTATATATGTCCATAACCAATTGGTAGAGAATAAAATGGTAAAATACTTATTTTTTTGTCTTTTCAATCCAATGTTACTGTAAAATTTATTTTTTAAATGTTAAAAAATTTTGGATCAAAAAGAAAAATAGTCTCCATAGTTAGATCTGGCTGGTTTCCAAACTCAATCAAAAAGTTGTTATAAATCAATAGTTTTTTTTTTTCTTTATGATATTTCCCCTTTTTCATACTTGAACTCCTTCCAGGTCAGAATGACGGCTTGTCAGAATCTATGGACATTGTTCTCATCTTCCACTGTTCAACAACAGCAAGCCATGTTAGATGAGTTGCTGACAGCAGTCAATGAAGTGTTCATCGTTCAGGTAATTGTTTTAGTTTCATTCAGAGCGACTAAAGTTAATTTAAGAGTTGATTTAGGTTAGTTATCCTATTCTTATTAAAGTAAATAAACTAGTGATGAGTCACGGCAAAATCATGAACATCTCCTACGGCCGTGTAGACATTATCACAACTCCCAGTTACGGAAATGTCATCGTCGTCTTGAGCAATCGCGGCCAAATCGTAAACATGTTTATCCTGTTTGCTGATGTCTTGTTTATAGTTGGCTATTTACGTGTTATTAATCTGTTTCCTTTTTCCAAACTCTCTATTTGTGTTCATAGTGTATTTTAATGTCTTGTTTCTTTCCCATCACATTTTTTTTTTTCACTGTTTTCTCATATTTATTTTTGTGTTACAGGGTGACTTGATAGCAGAGGAGCAGCAAGATGAAGGGGTGTTACGCACAGCCACAGCTCTACATGCGTTGGCGGCTCTGTTGGCCATGACATCACGCTGGCGAGCCCGAGCATTGCAGCACACCTGCCTGCTCACTGTCGAAAAAAACCTGAACACTGGTCAGTAATGGACGGGAGTGTGGAGCTTCGGTCCTTGAGGTCCAGGGTTCGAATCCTGCCTATCGCCAATGGATTTTATCCATGTGTGATAACTCTGCGACCGTCTAGGACTAGCCTGAAGTAACGTTTAAAATAGTCCCGGGCTAGAGCCCAGCGTCCTAGGATGTGTTCCCAAACTCAAAAGTAACCTGTACAGCTGCCATTTCTTTTTTCACAAAACTATTTTTATTTATTAACGGCCTTTTATAGTGAACTGAAATTTTGTACATAAATTAATAACGCAAAGGCCTTTTATAAGAAATAAATATAATTTGTTATCATGTTTAGTATCAAAATGGCAGTCATTTAAAATTATTAAATTTTTGAGTTTCTCTTTGGTCCAGGGATGATACCTTAGAGGTCAGCAGAGAGTTTTGGGAACACCCTGCAGATAAATAAGGGAATAAAGTACCGACCTTGATTACTCACTAAAAGTCACAAACAAGTTTCAAGTCCACTCTGTCACAGATCTAGTCAAGAAGATGCTGACAGTGGTAGCAGATCACCTGGGAGTGGCCAGCCTGGGTGGCCTGGTGCAGCCGATGTTGCCCTCAGTGTTGTGGGGCTGGCACGAACGGTTCAACAGTCTCGACCGGTTCCCCTGGCAGGCTCTAGGCTACCCAGATGAGAACCGGTTCTACCAGGCCAATCTGGCGGCTGTGGTGCCGGTTCTGGTGCACCGCCGGGACGAAAAATCACTCTCTCATGTTTCCTCTGTCATTGGGCAGAGTGTCATGCAAATAGTGCAGGTGAATTGGTTTCTGATTTGTTAGTAGAGTTAGTTGCATACTAGCATAGCCTATTCTAATACAAGGCCGTGGAAAGGCAAAAGGGAAAATACCGCCGTCACGACAGACCGAAACAGCTGTTGCACTAATTTACTACGGAGCATTTGCAAATTTTTACATTTACACATTTGTTATCACTGTTAACACCATGACAACAGGCTGGCTGGAGTTACGTTGTCACACACTAAAGCCGGGCCTCGTATTTGAGGAGGCTATGATAGTAGTCATCCTAAGGATATTTATATTACTTAAATGTCTATTAGAGTTGAATTATTCTAAGATTTAGTGTCCTTGTGAAATAAATTAAGATAAATTAAGTCAAATTAAGCTTTTTACGCTTGTGACCTAATAAACTCATGTCTTACTTCAGTTTTCTTTTAGGTAATTTCTTTAACAAATGTTGGTTTATTATTATATTACCCGAGAAAAATATTTTTTTATTGCCTGTTATTATTTGCATTAAAATTTGTTTGTTAATGTTACAAAAAGATTTTAATTGAAAAATATATATATGACTAGCTGTACCCGCGGGCTTTGCCCCGTTTCCCGTTCGCATGGCTCAATCACGTCCTGGTTGAAGTTCGTTCGCTACGCTCACTTGCCTTCAGGTTAGCTCGTTCGCTACGCTAACTCGCTTCCAGGTTGAAGTTCGTTCGCCACGCTCACTCACCTTTTGGTGGAAAATTGGCTGTAGTCATAAAATTAAAAAAATAATAGTGCTGCACCCTGTTGGTCATCCTTGTAACTTTAATGCTATTAAACATCATAGAACAGAACCAACTTGTTTAATTGAAACAGCTGTTAAGAAATTCCTTTTAAATATGAAAAATCGTTAACATGGGAAACTTCAGAGCCACTGGGGCGGAGCCCGAAAGCCCGATCAGAATGAAAACTACTTAGTCTTCCTATTTAATGCCCAAAGAATCGGTGTATCGAATTTCAGCCTCCTAGGTAAATGGGAAGTGGGAGAATTAGTGATGAGTGAGTGAGTCAGTCAGTGAGGGCTTTGCCTTTTATATATTTAGATGTCAGCATTTTGATTGATTTTTAAGGAGTCAATGACCCATTGACAGTGTAACAAACTACAAAGGCGTTGTCATGGGTTCAGGTTCTAGTGCAGCCAGAAATGCATATCAGCACAGTTAATTCTCATACCATGTAACAACTCACCCCTGGTGTTATTTGATTAGTTCTACCCTCTGCCCTATAAGGGCAATATGGACAGGCAATTACAAGGATAAGAGGTCACCAACTAACTGTTTGGAAAACAAATTTTCTGATGATGTAATGTAACAAATGAACTATTTTGTAAATCTTAGCAGGTCATAAAAAAGTAATTTTAAACGTTTTAAGAGTGCTTGAACTACAAAACCTGTCGATTATAAATGTTTTGTACAATCAATTCCTATGTCTCAGTCTCAATGATGAAAAATCAAAATCAAACAAAGTACATTTAGATAGATAAAATATACATTTGATAAATTTTACAATCAAAAGGTTGATTAGGGAATTCTGTTAAAAAAGGAGAGTGATTTTCTGCAATCAAATATTTTTTGTTTAATTCAAAAGTCAATTGATCTTTTCTTGCAGACGTGCTATCCTGTTCTTGTTGGAAGTATTTTGCCCCGGCTTGCAGACGAAAATCAACAACAGAGCGCCACCATTATCAGTGGAACAGTGGATAAATATCTGGGTAAGTAAAAGTACCCAAACCAAACTTACATTCTTAGTGAATTTCAGGTTATTCTCGTCCAATATGATAACTTCAGTCTCAACAAGTACCTACGTGTGCCTCCACAAAGAATATAATGTAAAATTGTTTTGGTTGAATTAAAAAATGTACAATAATCTATGAGTATTTGCTCAATTTTTTTAGTAGATTGTTCCAAGAAGACTTTCTAGTTTTACTTTTAAAGTAACAAACCTGAAGACCAATTTCATTATTTAATTTTTTCAGTAAAAGTTGATACTTTTTAAATTCATTGAAAGCACAGCTATACCTTATGTTGAGCAAGATGCACAGGTTTTGATTAGGGATGGACGGGATTGAATTTTTAGTTCGGGACGGGAAGGGACGGGAAATTTATTTCCTTCCCGATTTTCGGGACGGGATTTTTTCCTGTGCATATAAAGAAAGTCTTGAATATTGCAGTTACCTAAAAAGACAAACAAAATACATTTTTACCATTTGGCACTGATCTATAAAAACAAAAAAATTGGGCAAAATTTTACAGGTATAGAAACTTGTGACTCGCGGTCATGGCGCGATCGTCGGTATAACTCCGCGGTTACGGCGTGATTGTTGGTATGATTCCGCGGTCACGGCATGATCGTTGGTATGATTCTGCGGTCACGGCGGGATCGTCAGTATGACTCGCGGTCACGGTGTGATCATCGGTAAGACTCGCGATCACGGCAAGATCGTCGAAATGACTCGCGGTCACGGCACGATCGTCGAAATGACTCGCAGTCATGGCGCGATCGTCAGTATGACTCGCGATTACGGCATGATCGTCGGTATTATTCCGTGGTCACGGCGTGATCGTCGGTATGATTCCGCGGTCACGGCGTGATCGTCTGTATGACTCACGGTCACGGTGCGATAGTCGGTAAGACTCGCGATCATGGCATGATCGTCGAAATGACTCGCGGTCACGGTACGATCGTCGAAATGACTTGCGGTCACGGCACGATCGTCGAAATGACTAGTGGTCACCGCGCAATCGTCAAAATGATTTCGCCTCCTGCGTTCGCGGAACTATCGCGAACATCTCCTGCAATAGCGGCGTCATCGTCACTCGCGAAGCGGCAAAATCGCCGACGATCGTTAAAATCCTGTCCCAAAAAATTCCCGAATCAAATGTAATCCCGTCCCAAAAAACTGGAATATTTTTTTCCCGAAAATTTCCCGAAATTTCGGGACCCATCCATCCCTAGTTTTGATATTGTCGGAGCTTAAGTGAAAAACCATGTTTTTTAGTTGACTGTTGATTGTTTGTTTTACAGTGGATACCCTCTTAACCGACCCTAACGGGACTGGATCTAGGTCGAATAACTCAATGGTCGGTTAAAACGGACAATCCCTAAAAACTTAAAAACATGAAGTGCAATTAATTTGGAATTAATTAAATATAATCACTATTCAGAAATCATGTACGGTATGCATTATTTACAAAATAAACTACGCTTATCTCCTTTTTTTCTTAAGTATTGACGATAGAAAAGTCACAAATAAACCCAAACCATGGTAAAGTCAAATACTTTCAGTGGAAGTAAGATCCTGTAGAGTATAGCGTATTGTTCCCATCGCCGAGCATGGGAGCATAAATGCTGAGATTTTTAGAGAGCAGCGGTTAAACAGAACTGCCCTCAAAACAAGGTCGGTTAAAACAAACTGTAATATTTTACGAGCGAGGGTGGATAATCCGATTATCGGTTAATGCGGGGTCGGTAAACACATTCGGTACGGTATACAATCAATGTTTTTGTAACAGCACTGCATTGGTGAAATATAATATACAGGCATAGTGATTGTTTTAATTTTGTTATACGGTTGATTACTTTCGCCATTTGTAATTTAACTTTATTTAATATCCTACTGTGACCTACTGTGAAAAACTTTCTATTTTTGTAAACTTAACACTTGTATCTTTTATGTTGCAGGGGGAGAAAAATTCAACATGATGCTTGTAAGCAAGATGGGAAGTGTTATAACCAACATGTTGGCAACACTGTATGACCAGGATTGTCTCAGAGGTCTATGTGGAGATGAGCTGACTGTACTGCCGGAGCCTGGCAAGCTAATGTTCTCTACTGACCTTATACTGGGTGGTCTACGTTACATACAGGTATGTTGACCACTGACTAGTAACAAAAGCTGATGACTAGTAGTAAAGTACTTGCCCAACAATCACTAAGTCGCCAGTTCAATCCCAAGAAAAGTCAGTAGCTTTTTGATGCATAGAACTAGACCCAGCTGTCCTTGATCATTGGTCTTTTGAAGACACAAATGGACTCGGTTAGTCCTGGCTAAAGAATTGGCCAGAGCAAAGTCATTAACAAATCTATCACAAGAGTTTATTTTAATCACTTTGTAAACACTGTTTTTCAGGAAAATTCGCCCAAGAGTGGTGTTCCACTGCTAGTCTTCTTGTCTCTAGAGAAACCTAGATTCATCCAGAAATCACTTTTGAATCTGTATTCAAAAGTTCTACAAACGAAGATACCTGAATACAAGTGAGCTATAGTACACACTCTTAATCTTAATAACCATATTTATAATCTCAGTGCCGGATTTAAGGTGCTTGTGGCTTTTCACCAAAGTATTCTGGGTGGCCCCCAATCTTAAGGTGGATCTTCCCTGCAATCGCGGCCAAATCATGAACTTCTGCAATCACGGACATCTTCGTCACCCAGATTATTATCTAAACTACACATCTTGAAACATAGGCTTGAAACTGATGTATAGCACCCTCAGTGGTGCTACCTATCGGATAAACTCAAAACTAAGCGTTTGCAGTTCATTAGTTTATCACTAGGCTGTGTGCAATCTGTGGGGCAAAGTAGGCATCTGTGATGCAAAGTAAGTAATGGAACTAAGTTGAATGTTGAATGTTTAATTTAAATTATTGGTCACTACACTATTTAAACTGGACTGTCTACTTGGGTCAGTAATTACCAGAGATTATTAAATATTTAAAATACCAAACAAAACTTAAGTTTATTCTGATTTACAAACAATTTACTTTTGTTCAATACATGCATTACAATGTACTAACAGTTGCAATTGTGTTGCAGACTGTTGTATTTGCATCAGTTTGTCAGTTTGTGTGACATGGTGATCTCAGTCATTGGTCAGCCCCAGTTCAAGATGTCCTCTTTCAGCATTTCTTGGGTGGTAAGATATTTTTTCAGTTTTAGTTGTCGGTGTTAGGTTTGTATTTACAGTTTCCCAATACATTGACTTTTGTGTTTCCGCCGCCATACAATATAAACCAGTCTCACTAATCCCAACCTTGCCTAACCAAACGTCCGACTATTCAGACTGTCCGACTGACTTCTGTCACAATTGAATATTTCCGCCAAACAATGTTGCAAACAACATTTTTTGTAAATTGAGATTTTTAAAGAACAATGATGTAAATTGCATTCTCTACTGTGTGGGATATTTTGTTTTCAAACATACGTAGCAAGCTGGTTTAGCTGTAGAATACGGGACTTTGGTCCCTGAGGAACCGGTTTCAAATCCCACCAAATTACCAATGGATTTTATCTAAGTTATGATGTCTCAGCCCCTAGGTCTAACCAGAAGTAATGTGAACAACGATCCCAGGCAAGAGCCTAGTGTCCTAGGACAAGGAAAACACAAACAGTAGATTCCCTCTTAACTGACCCTAATGGGACCGGACTCAATCGGATAACTCAAAAGGTCGGTTAATACGGGCAATCCCTAAAATCATAACATAATGAAGTGCTATTCTTTTGGAATTAAATAATCATTATTTTGAAGAGTGTACTACCACTAATTTACTACTACTAGTTGAATGTGTAACTCTCAGTTTGATCTGTGCAGGTGAGGGTGCTGCTACACCTGGTGGAAGGAGACACACAGATGTTGGCTGTGTCTTACTACTTACTACTACTAGTTGAATGTGTAACTCTCAGTTTGATCTGTGCAGGTGAGGGTGCTGCTACACCTGGTGGAAGGAGACACACAGATGTTGGCTGTGTCTTACTACTTACTACTACTAGTTGAATGTGTAACTCTCAGTTTGATCTGTGCAGGTGAGGGTGCTGCTACACCTGGTGGAAGGAGACACACAGATGTTGGTTGTGTCTTACTACTTACTACTACTAGTTGAATGTGTAACTCTCAGTTTGATCTGTGCAGGTGAGGGTGCTGCTACACCTGGTGGAAGGAGACACACAGATGTTGGTTGTGTCTTACTACTTACTACTACTAGTTGAATGTGTAACTCTCAGTTTGATCTGTGCAGGTGAGGGTGCTGCTACACCTGGTGGAAGGAGACACACAGATGTTGGTTGTGTCTTACTACTTACTACTACTAGTTGAATGTGTAACTCTCAGTTTGATCTGTGCAGGTGAGGGTGCTGCTACACCTGGTGGAAGGAGACACACAGATGTTGGCTGTGTCTTACTACTTACTACTACTAGTTGAATGTGTAACTCTCAGTTTGATCTGTGCAGGTGAGGGTGCTGCTACACCTGGTGGAAGGAGACACACAGATGTTGGTTGTGTCTTACTACTTACTACTACTAGTTGAATGTGTAACTCTCAGTTTGATCTGTGCAGGTGAGGGTGCTGCTACACCTGGTGGAAGGAGACACACAGATGTTGGTTGTGTCTTACTACTTACTACTACTAGTTGAATGTGTAACTCTCAGTTTGATCTGTGCAGGTGAGGGTGCTGCTACACCTGGTGGAAGGAGACACACAGATGTTGGTTGTGTCTTACTACTTACTACTACTAGTTGAATGTGTAACTCTCAGTTTGATCTGTGCAGGTGAGGCTGCTGCTACACCTGGTGGAAGGAGACACACAGATGTTGGCTGTGTCTTACTACTTACTACTACTAGTTGAATGTGTAACTCTCAGTTTGATCTGTGCAGGTGAGGGTGCTGCTACACCTGGTGGAAGGAGACACACAGATGTTGGCTGTGTCTTACTACTTACTACTACTAGTTGAATGTGTAACTCTCAGTTTGATCTGTGCAGGTGAGGGTGCTGCTACACCTGGTGGAAGGAGACACACAGATGTTGGTTGTGTCTTACTACTTACTACTACTAGTTGAATGTGTAACTCTCAGTTTGATCTGTGCAGGTGAGGGTGCTGCTACACCTGGTGGAAGGAGACACACAGATGTTGGTTGTGTCTTACTACTTACTACTACTAGTTGAATGTGTAACTCTCAGTTTGATCTGTGCAGGTGAGGGTGCTGCTACACCTGGTGGAAGGAGACACACAGATGTTGGTTGTGTCTTACTACTTACTACTACTAGTTGAATGTGTAACTCTCAGTTTGATCTGTGCAGGTGAGGGTGCTGCTACACCTGGTGGAAGGAGACACACAGATGTTGGTTGTGTCTTACTACTTACTACTACTAGTTGAATGTGTAACTCTCAGTTTGATCTGTGCAGGTGAGGGTGCTGCTACACCTGGTGGAAGGAGACACACAGATGTTGGTTGTGTCTTACTACTTACTACTACTAGTTGAATGTGTAACTCTCAGTTTGATCTGTGCAGGTGAGGGTGCTGCTACACCTGGTGGAAGGAGACACACAGATGTTGGTTGTGTCTTACTACTTACTACCACTAGTTGAATGTGTAACTCTCAGTTTGATCTGTGCAGGTGAGGGTGCTGCTACACCTGGTGGAAGGAGACACACAGATGTTGGCTGTGTCTTACTACTTACTACTACTAGTTGAATGTGTAACTCTCAGTTTGATCTGTGCAGGTGAGGGTGCTGCTACACCTGGTGGAAGGAGACACACAGATGTTGGCTGTGTCTTACTACTTACTACTACTAGTTGAATGTGTAACTCTCAGTTTGATCTGTGCAGGTGAGGGTGCTGCTACACCTGGTGGAAGGAGACACACAGATGTTGGTTGTGTCTTACTACTTACTACTACTAGTTGAATGTGTAACTCTCAGTTTGATCTGTGCAGGTGAGGGTGCTGCTACACCTGGTGGAAGGAGACACACAGATGTTGGTTGTGTCTTACTACTTACTACTACTAGTTGAATGTGTAACTCTCAGTTTGATCTGTGCAGGTGAGGGTGCTGCTACACCTGGTGGAAGGAGACACACAGATGTTGGTTGTGTCTTACTACTTACTACTACTAGTTTAATGTGTAACTCTCAGTTTGATCTGTGCAGGTGAGGGTGCTGCTACACCTGGTGGAAGGAGACACACAGATGTTGGTTGTGTCTTACTACTTACTACTACTAGTTTAATGTGTAACTCTCAGTTTGATCTGTGCAGGTGAGGGTGCTGCTACACCTGGTGGAAGGAGACACACAGATGTTGGCTGTGTCTTACCTCTGCAAGTTTCTGTCAGCAGTTCTACCCTCTCATCATTCACTGTTGGATGGCTTACTGCCCATCATCACCTCTAGACTGGTGCCTCTCGCATCTCCGGATACCAGTGCTGGTAAGTACAATTCTTTGAAGTTCATTTTTAGGGATAAGTTTTTGTTTTTTAAAAGATTATAGTGGACATTTTCCATCACAATTAGTAAAAAAAAGTATTTTCAATGTTTTGGGATCTGGAAACAGATTTCCGTTGAGAAAGTACCTGAACATAACAAGGTTAGAACAAAAACCTTTAAATTAAACAATATAATAGTTAACAAAAATTGGAGAACACGAAGAAATGGTGGTGGCAAACAGGGTCCAAAAAGATTTCTGTTGTTGAATTTTCCTGGAGAGTATTTTACTGTTGGGGCAATAATGCTTAAAAAGCACATTAAAGTTTAGAAGTAACTGTTTGGTTCTTTATATTTTACCTATTGAAATTTTTACAAAAGCCCCAGTAATTTGGCAAATACAAATTTAATACTCTATTGTGGATGAAAATTGATATTAAACTATGTTTGAAATTGTAAAATTTGCAAGAGCATTAAAAAAAACCTGTTATTTTCTTGTAACTGTTACAACCTTACCTATTACTTTAAAGTCCCTAGTATCAATGTGTTTTGCCAGGTCGTAAGGTGCTCTCTGTTTTGGAGCTGTTGTTGGTCACTCACGCCTCAACACTGCCCAGTGTTGCCAACCTAGACCCTCTCCCGTCGGAGCCGATGTTTGCGCCCCTGTCACAACAGTACCAGACACTGCGCTACGCTGACCCCCTCTCCACCTCCCTGCAGGCTGAGATACAACATGTGTTGACTGCTGGGGAGGGCGATGGGACATGTCGACCGGAAGGATTGAGGCATCTTAGGAAACAGGTTAGTTAGTAGTTGTGTCGTTTGCAAACTGTTATACTAATGAAAGATTATATGGAATGGATTTGTTTGAACACTGGAAAGTCAAACCACTGGTCAGGGCTAACCATTGAACCTTGCCTAGTTGAACATTGCAAAGCTTCATTACTTGCCAGCCAATAAGTCGCCAGTTCCTGAGAAAAGTTAGTAGATTTTTATCGGATTGCAGCTGTCATTAATCATAAGGCTTGTAATAAAAAGTCCCAACCGCCTTTTTGGGTTCAAGGGGACCCTAAACGGATATTTCCACTTAAAACTCAAACTCTAAAATGTTAACAAAAGTAATACTTTCTCCATATACTAAGTAAAAGAGGAGAAAAGAATAAGAAGATATATCACTTTATTCTACACTCATCCTTCATTATGTGTTAAAATACAAATTAGTTGTGACCCCATGTTGTTAAGAATAGCAAAGGTCCCTTATTTACTAATACTAACTTTAAATCATATTGTATAACTCATAATTTAAGTTAAATCTAAATTTATTAAGTTTAATCATTAGCTTTGTTTGAGTTTAATCATCAATTTGCTAAATTGCACATTACCTGTCAATAAACTTCATTTAATCAAAATTGTTTACAAACTGGGATGATAAATTAAACCCTCTTTAAATTAACGGAATACTTAATTAAGTAAGAGAATGTGTTCTGAAACTAAAACTAAGGAACAAAATATGTCAAAAGCTTATCTCAACTTGTCTTAATTTTACAGTTGTCAGAGAAGAAGCCTGAGCTTGAACAGCTGTTCAGTGAGCTACGAGCCACGAGAGGCTTCACAGAAGACTGTGATCAGAGTCTCCTACATCAGCTGATCAGTCTACTTATTAGAATAATAGCAGGATCAGATCCTGAGGTAGCTATATCTCATAGTGAGCAGGTCTAAATTCAGTTAGATTTTTGTTTTACTTTACTTATTTTCAACATACAAACATACCAAACTATGTTCTATACATCCTAATTTGGTTAGATTTACTCAGAAAAAAATAGCAAATTAACTGAATAGGAAAGTGTCCAAACTAGCACAAGAAACAGAAAACATTAGGAAATTTCACTGTCACTGAAAGCATTTTCAACCAAGAAAAATGTGAGTTTAAGAGAGCTATTGACAGCTAGCTTTTCTTCATATATAAAAACTCTTTTTAGCTCATACATTCCCTAGTTGAAAATGCTGTCAGTGACAGTAGAATTTTAAAATTGTTTGTGTTTCTTGTGCCAGTTTGGTCTCTGACATTCAGCCAAGCCTGCTATCATCACTAAAAACTCCTAAAACCCTAGGCCCCCGTGTTCTATGTTACATCCTTGCTCAAAAATAGTTATGTATGATGCAAACCAAATTATTAATCACAGCTCTGAATCATATTTTCAGTGGATGACCGGTTTTCATCTTTCATCAAGCCCTAATCATATCCTTCATCAGAGCCGTAAAATTATCCGTCTTTTCTTGTCAAGCTATTTCAGTCCACTGTCACTGGTGTTCTCATAATGTTCCTGTTCAACTAAAATTACTAGTAAATCTATTGCCGAGTATTAGTTAATTTTGTTTAGTGTATACTGTATTTTTGTATAAAATCGCTTAGTATACTTAAGACGGATTGCACTGGTGTGGAAATTGAACCCGCACAAGTAAAATGACCTCAGAGCTACAAAATTCGCCAGTGCATCCGATTAGTAATTTCAGCCTCAATGTTGAGTATGATGAGTACTACTAAAGCCTGAATGCAACAGTGCTTGCAGGTGAGATGGTACTAATTACCCAACCACCAGTGGGCTATATGAGGGACTATGGCCTTGCAAAAAACCATTATGTACTAAGTATGTCAAATATGTTGAAGGAGACTTTCATCTAGCAAAACCGTATCACCAGGTTTTACCTAAGCTACAAAAGATTTTTTCTGATCCCCCAGGCTAGATACGAAGCGGCATGTTGTCTTGGGGAGATTGGCCCGGGAGACCTGACAACACTAGGTCTCAAGCCAGACGCCCCCAACTCATCAGATGTTCCCCTGGACCTGTTGCTTCAGACGATAGTCGGTCATCTGACCAAACATCTGTTTGACTCTGACATTCAGGTGGTTCTGGCAACTTCAGAAGCACTGTACGCCCTCTGCGGTAACTTCAGTCAACAACTAACAGGTGATTTAGATGAAGTTGTATTAAAAACCTTCAAAGTTCATGAATATAAGTTTTAGTGTGATTTAGACAACACATGTGGTTTTAGGAATTAGATAGACCTTTTTAGAAATACATGTTAGGAAATAGATATTAAATGAAGAAACACATTTTTTGAAAGAAAAATCACTTTCGCCTATTGGGTCTGATGATGATTGGAGTGTCCAATCGAAATCGATCACCACTTACCATCTTTTTTGTATATTTACCGTCTTGTGAGTAACAGTATAAGCGTAAATATATGTTTTAAGTGTTATAAGATGTTTCTTTTATTTACTTTCCGTAAAAATCACTTGTCTTGAAAATACACTCCGGGAAAATTGGAATAGAAATAAATAATTTATCAAAAAAGAGTTCCAGATAGATGATAGCTAAAGGAAAATTTAACATAAACTAGATATTTTTTAGATATTTTTCCACTTGAAGGAGGATTCTTACTTCATGCCTAACTTTTTGTAAAAGCCCCCTTAAAGGGACAAAATATCAAACTCTTTTGCTGCAGCTCTTGTGGAAGAATTCTCTTGTCTCTGTAGTGCTGTTGTTCTGTACTAAGAACGTCTGTTCCTCAATGTTTGATGTTACAGGTGTATTGACGACAGAACAGTCAGATCTGCTGTACCCGTTCATCAGCACTGCTACCAGGAGTGGTCACAAGAAGCCTTCAACAGTCAGTGTAGACGAGGACGCTCTTGTCCCTGTGGTGCCGTTGTTCTATCCTAAGAACGTCTGTTCCTCAATGTTTGATGTTACAGGTGTATTGACGACAGAACAGTCAGATCTGCTGTACCCGTTCATCAGCACTGCTACCAGGAGTGGTCATAAGAAGCCTTCAACAGTCAGTGTAGACGAGGACGCTTTGTCTCTGTAGTGCCATGGTTCTGTCCTAAGAACGTCTGTTCCTCAATGTTTGATGTTACAGGTGTATTGACGACAGAACAGTCAGATCTGCTGTACCCGTTCATCAGCACTGCTACCAGGAGTGGTCACAAGAAGCCTTCAACAGTCAGTGTAGACGAGGACGCTCTTGTCTCTGTGGTGCCGTTGTTCTGTCCGGAGAACGTCTGTTCTCACCAACATTGGGTCACTCAACTCGTCAATGCCATCTTGAACACAGCTCAGTTTGGCTTCATTACACCAGTTGTGGATCACAAGGTTTTTTTACTTTACAATTTTTCTATTGAAAATAAAGTTTGTGTATTCTTTATCTTTTTAGCCTTGCTACTTTATTTTGATTGATTTAGCCACTCAACTCAATAACTCAAGCTTAATATTAATATTATTATTGTTATTAATATTATTACTTAATATTAAGCCTAATTTTTTACATACATTGCAACAGCCGAGTCAAAATGGCTCAAATTAATTTACCATAATAAACATCGATTGCAAAACTAAAATTCATTGTGACCCTTCTTTAGGAAGAATAGAACAGACACAGCGGTAGCAATTTCTTGCAAGAAATAAATTGTATTGTGTTTGACACATCGCATGGTAATATGGATTTGTTTTGATGGTTGAAAGTCTTAAACAGTTTGATAAGCCTTTGAAATTTTTTAGATGGTCAAATGTAATGGTACTTTCAAACGAACATTAAAACTATAACAAAGCAAAAATGAATGGCTGGTTATGGTGTGAAAATGTGAAAGATTGATTGAAGTTTGTAATTCAAGTTAATTTGTTTTAAATTGCAGGAGGACTTTGCCAATGATCTGTTCCCTGTCACTGTAGACTTTGTGCTGGACGTTTCTAGAAGAGCTTCCACAACACAGATGTTTGTCGACCAAATAAATGAGTTTTTTGCCAGACATATAAATAACAGCTCTGCAGGTAAATAAATTTACAAATCAGAGACTTTACTAGTTTTGGATTAGTGAGAGGGATTGGTATATTTATGTGATAATTTAAATATGATTTAAGCTATTTTATTTTGAATATTAATGTTAGTAACTCACTTTGAACTCAATATTATTCTAGATGAAGTGTATGGTAACCGCAACTCTGTATCTGCAATGATAAGAGTCATCGGAGCAGTCAGGAAACATTACCATGAGGAAAGGTTAGTATGAACAGTTAATTTAATAACCACTATTTAACTGTAGTTATTGCTTAAACACACTTTGATGTTAGGTCAGTCTTACAATACACAACCCATTATTATCTGAACAGGGTGTCCACCGACCGGGAAAACCGGGAATTATGCGTGAATTTTGTATTTAACCGGGAATTTTTCGCCGCGATCGCGCATGACGACGATGACGTATCCTTGACCGCGGGAAACAACGATGACGTTTTCGTGACCGCGTGTGACGACGATAACGTTTCCGTGACTTCGGGAGACAGTGGGGATGTTTCTGTTACTGAGTCAGATATTCAGGATTTTTCAGTTATCGCAGAAAACGATGATGGTGTCTCTACGACTGTGTTAGATGATTACAATATAACCTCGAGTGTGGCTTGACCAAAAATTTAAAATGGCACACTTCTAGAAAGTTTTTTTTTATATTTTTTTATAATATTTTCATTTACCTTTAACGTGGTATTTATTTAATGTGTTTAGAAGGGTTTAAAACATAAATTGGCTACATGCATTTTTTGTAATTTCTGCATTATTATTTCTGCAGGCCACTTGGAAAACAACCCATTACTCCAAAGTTATAGTATATATATGAAAGTACATAAAGCCAGGGGTTGGTGTAGTACGGTAATCCTTCAGAAAATTTGGTAAAATTGAAATTATCAGTATGTATTAAGAATCTATTTTTCAGGTGTCTGTACAGAGATTCGATAAATTTTGGTATCGACATATCACTATTTTTAGGAAGTTATTAATAAATTGCAGGTTTAAGGATTAGTTTTTAATTTTTGGATTATTTAATCAGTAATATATAAAACATTGAATAATTGTGTCGTGCAATATTACAGCAATCATAATTTTTTTTTTTCTTACCTGAGAATCCTCTTTCTGATAACTAAAATAGCAAGCTGTGTTAGCGCTATAACAGCATTGCAGGAGTTGGCGCAAAACACGTTGGAAATTTTAGTATGAAAAGTACGACCTGAACTACCTGGATTTTTTTTTAATCATGAATTTTTTCTGGTTGGCCTGGTGGACACCCTGTCTGAACCTTCTTACAGGCTCTCAAGAATACAGTAGAACCTTGATAACAAGCCTCTCATGGGGATTATTAAATGAGACTTGTTATCAAGGTCAACTTCTTATCAAGGTTGTGTGAATAGGGGTAAAATAAATTCCAAGTGGATTTAAAAATGACCCTTGTTATCAAGAGTAACTTGTTATCGAGGGTCTTGTTATCAAAGTTCCACTGTAAAAAATACATTTCTGTGTGACACATTTTCTGAAGTCTCTAACCTCATAAAATTAAAACAAAATTCTTTTTCTTGATTGCCAATTGTTTTTGGGATTGCCGAAACATCAATGGTATTATCCAGGTTAGGTTTTATGGGTTTTAGTTATCTAAAAATATTTCTACTCCCTGTGTGGCCTACATAGAGATTTGAGGGTGTAAAATGGACCAAACCAACACCAACCAAACTCCATTGACCTTCAATATTCTATACTGCGGTTTCAAACGTTTTAAGTTTGTTTTTTTTTTCAAAAGGGCCTAGAGAAAGATTATTTAATCTATTGAACATTTCATTTTTGAAAGACATTATTTTAAATACACCATTTATTTAGTGTTTACATTTAGTTTGGCAGTGTAATTAACTTTATTGATTGTTTTGTTACTGAACTCAATTGAAGTCTAATTGTTACAGACAGATCAACTACCTCCATGTGTCGAAAGCAGCGTTGTTCTGTTCTGCTTACTTCACCTCTGTTATGTACGCAGAGCTGTGGGCCAGCGAGTTCAACAGGTAAAGTTTTTGTTGCAGAATTTATGATTATCAAAAAATGTTTGATACAGACTGAAGCTCTATGAAAAAAACCAACATATGTTGGTGAACAGTTTTTGAAATTAATCCCAGAAAATATTAACAGAGAAAAAAATTTAATTTAAAAGACAACTGAAAGCTTATTTAATTATCGAAGTAATTTACTCGCTGGATGAATTTCTAAACCTCCCTCTTAAATAAATAAACTAATATGAATGTATCAACAAAGCTTCTTTAGATGAGTTGTGAGAAGAAATGTCAATTTTTGCATTGATAATTTTAAGAAACCTTTGATTATACTTTTTCATACTTTTATTTGGACACTATTTATGTATGTATTATATGCTACTTACAAATAAAGATTATTTGAATTTGAGAAGAATTTACCTAATAAAAATAGTTCAGGTTGCCAAAAAACTGATTCCTTGCACCTTTTGCCTTAATCTTCCTAAGACTTTTTTTTATAGTTAATTTACAAAACGAGGAACTTATTTTTAGCTCTTAATGAAGAAACCAAAGAGCTATGGTAATTTCAAGTGTGGTTGTAATAGGAAAATTAGGGGTTGATAAATTGCATTATTGTAGGCTGCATTGGACGATTTGTCTCAGTGGCTACAGAATTGGAAAATTAAAGTAAATGAAACAAAATCCGTTCAAGTTACATTTACTATGTCTACAAGAACTTGTCCCCCTGTAACATTGAATAATGTGATGCTTCCACAATCCAACGAAGTTAAGTACCTTGGTATGCATCTCGACAGACGGCTTACATGGCATTCACACATTTGGAACAAACAACTTCATTTAAATTTAAAAACAAACAAACTAAATTGGCTCATTGGTCGAAATTCAAAATTATCTGTTGAAAATAAATTACTTTTATACAAAATTATATTGAAACCTATTTGGACCTACGGTATCCAACTCTGGGGAACCACTTCCAACTCAAACATAGAAATAGTTCAAAGGTTTCAATCGAAAACACTGAGAACAATTTTACAAGCACCTTGGTTTGTCACAAATAAAGTAATTCATCAAGATACGAAATTACCCTATGTTAAAAAAGAAATAAAGAAACGAAGTGAAAAATACCAAAGAAAATTAGAAACCCATCCAAATTTCCTGGCTGTTAACCTCCTCGATAATAGTGAAGCTACATATAGGCTCAAAAGAGTTAATCCAATAGACCTTCCAAATCGTTTTTAGTTAAACTTTTTAAAAGTTTTTGTATGTTAGTGCACTTGATGGAGTGTAACTAACCCATGTTAAAATGGTTATTGAATTTACTTATTATTCTAGTATTGAATAGATTGTAAATAAATACTTGTTAAAAAAAAAAATTGTAGTATAATTTGAATATTCCTGTTTATAGTAACCGGGAAGATTTAGACATTGAAGGTATTTCTCAGTTTGAATTCATTGAAGAAAAAGACAGTGAAAATGGACAGCTTCTACAAAGTCTACTGCGAGAGGTAAACACTATTTATGTAGATTTTTTAAACTCTTTGCAATCATATAAATTTCATATATACTGTCCGTGCTGATTGAATTGCCTGTTAGAGTGGTACTGATCAACATAAAATCTCTCAAACGCTTGGGAGGCCAGCAGTACTAACTAAACACTTTTTTAGTCTGAATACTAGAGGTTAAAATAAAATACCTTTTTTTGCCTGCTGAGTGGTGATACCTAGTGAGCACCTTTTGAACCATACAATCCTGAACTAGTGGGAAAAAGACGCTATGATGGTTGCAAACCTGATAGGCTGATACACAGAGGTGTCTAAGGGCTGGACTTGATCACTCTGGCTTTCGGGTTTTGGGCCAAAATCAGGTTGCTATGGAAAGTTTTTCGTTAAAAAAATATTAACAAATGGGATATTTTAAATCAAATACGTCTTCCAACACTACCCGATATATTTACACTTATAATGTTAACATTTATGAGACGGTAAATTATGTGAAAGATTTTAAAATGGTTGATTTGGACCAGTCACAATGGTCATTATCAGACATGGGAGTAGTTTCAGAGAGTAGATTGAAAAATGCTTTTGTGTTTTAAATGTAGCCTTTGGACTGACATTTTCTCTAATCATAAGCTAACTGAACTTTATTACTTAAAATCCCTATGTTATATTAAATTATACTGGAGTTTTGCTTGACAGGCCTACATGAGGATAGGTGAGCCAGACGCAGTATACGGTTGTGGCAACACACATCTACTGGACCCTCACAGCCAGATACAACATTACCAGTACGAGGGACAGTGGCTGAGAGCTGTGGAGGCTTGTGACCTGCAACTATCCTTGCAACCTTCTCTGCAACTGTCAGGTACTACACAACTAGCATTGATGCCTGCTCTAGATATTGATAAGCTTTTTTTAAAGGAACAGCAAGTGACTTGTCACCATAGACTTCATGTTGTACTGTCATCGGAAGACTGTGACGTACTGGTACAGTCAGATCAGTGGGGGCATGATGTGATGTCATAGGAAAAGCTACAAGCTCTGTTTATTTTAACTTTGAGTGATTTAGCATACGGCCAACAGGAACGAGTGATGATCAAACTGCTGTGTATTAATATAATACCATCATCGAAATATGATATATTATAGGTCGGCCGCTTAAAAAGCGACCTCTTTGTAGCATTGGTGCGAGAGAGAAATACCAAGCTGTGGGAGTAAGACAAACTATGGCTCTACCCCCACTCGGCTGCCGCCCGCGCCCCTCCCGTTGGCCGTTTTCACACTGCACGACACGACAACGGCACTTCCCCGACACGGCACCGCCCCGGTGTCGTGGGAGTTGGAATCCTGTGTTACCAAATGGAACTGCTTACACACACAGCAGTGCCGTGCCGCGGTGCCGAATCAAGCAGTGTGAAAACGGCCATTGGCGGAGAGGGGGAACATACCCTCCCTCGTCGTTACCTCCCCTAAATGCGCTAAAAATCCTTGCGCAGGTCGCTATCCATCCGGCCGACCTATAGTATAAGTCACAACATAGGTAAGGCTAATAGTGACTCACCAAGATTGTGTTGGTGGTGTCATATCTGCCCAAAACGTCACCACTGAACTACTGTTTACTCTAAGCACTAGTATTGCTTTTATCCTTGTGTTTAATCTTGCAGGATGAAAAAAACTTGTCTTTCACTTTGAACAATTTTTAAACTTTTACTATCGACATTAAGGAAGAAGGAATGGATACACTAATAACTTACTTAAGATAAAGAGTACCCGGTAGTTAAAAGTAGGGGTGTGCGAATAGTGATTTTCAACCTCGAGCCGAGCCGAGCCGAGCTTTTTAAAAAATGTTCGAGCTCGAGCTTTTTCGAGCCGAGCTTTTCCTAGCGTAACCTTATCTTAATTACTAAACTTTTTTTCTTAAAAAAGTGCATAATAATAATAATGTTCAGTCAATTTTTAAATAAACACAATGTTATTTTAATATGTTTAAAAACATTGAGAATTGTCAAGACATCAAATAGTAGATAATCACGATTAGAACTGAACTGAACTAAATGAAGATGCAAGAAATAAAAGGATATCGATTGAAGGCCTGAAGAGATATGCAGTGCAGACTGAGACAATCAGATTGTCTTTCATAACAGAACAGCAACGCGACCTTGAATGACGACAAAACAACTAACAAGTTGATTACATATGTATATTGTAACTACTATGAATATTTAATTCTATTTTGTATAAATAAATACAAAATAAATTTTAAAACACGTGATTATTCTTGTTGTTTTCCATGCACAAAATATTTTTGTTTTATGAATCCTATTAATCAAAAAAGAACATGGTTGGTTTGGATCCAAAAAGGTGGAGAGACAAGTTTTACTTATATATTAAAAAATATATAATTGACATATAGAGGAAATAGACCAAAGCACTAGAATTAATAGAATAACACACAAAGTAAACAAGAAATGAAATGCAGAACACGATGATTTAACACTGTCACTCAATTTTGTTATCTAGAAGGGTCGGCGAACTAATCAATAAATAGCCAAAACCAGTTTCCTCCCCTTCACACAGTCTCACCGCCCCCCCTACCCCCCCCCCCCCCCCAATCCGGGTGGCCCAACACTTTGTCCTTGAAACACCCTTGCGTCTGGAACAATAAACCCTTACACCCTCGTTGCTGTTTTGACAACAGGTTTATGAATGCGATCACTATTTTTCATTTCCAGAATTAACTATCAATTATTATTATTTGCAAGATACAAATAGGAAACTACATCACATTATGGTATTCAATGACCCATGTACTATCAAAAATTAATAACTCATTACTAATTTTGATAATAAAAAGCACTCATTACAGCACGCGCCACTTATTGATATATATATATAATCCTCAAAGTAACTGTTACTTTATACAAAATAAAATAGGTACAAAATTGTGTGGCCAGTCAAACTTTATAAACAAACATTTTATTCTATAAAATACAGATGGTAAATAGGGGTTGGTTTAAAGGAAATAAAGTACAAAACATATTAATTAATTATTTTGATAAACATTAGAAAGGTTATGGGATTGATTGAACTAAAATAACCGCAGGGAAACTTATAAGTAGAAAAGTCGTCAACCACTATCTGTTTAATCAGTACATTGTTAGAGAGAGAGAGAGAGAGAGAGAGAGAGAGAGAAAGAGAGATAGCAGATGGGGACGTTTGATAAGGAATCTGAAAAAGTAAACAAACAAGGAACAACGACACGACGATACTCGTTTACAGCCTTATTGTCTCGCCCACTACATTTGCACACGTGACCACTTTTTGTTTCTTCCTTATCTTTCATCCGTCCCAAAATAGAATTCCTGAAATAGTTTGTTGGTATAATCTCCCCTCCCACACAAGGCGCAGTGCTCAGTGCGCACTGTAGGTTGCCACGGCAACCGTGTGTCGTCATAGCTACTTAGCCAATCACGCACTCGCACTGCGTTGTATATTACGATACGAATAGTTGTGTTAGAAAGACAACGCGATAGGTGGTAGTTTCCTCAAAATTACGATCGATAATCATTGCGTCTTGACTGAGCTGAGGTTCGTGCTTATCAAGACACAATTATGAAACGGAGGAGAGTAAATTTAAATAAAAGTTAGTTCTTTATTTATTAATTTAATTTTTATTTGCTAGTTCAATAAGTATTCGGCTCGAACATTTCGAGCTTTTTGAAAATCACGAGCCGAGCCGAATAGCATCCTATTCGGCTCGAAAAAGATCGATGTTCGAATACTCGCACACCCCTAGTTAAAAGTACATAGAAAGTTCTGAATACAATAAACTTGATATTTCACCCCTACAAGCGGGTTCTCCATATGAAAGAAGCACTACTTGAACTGTCTTTTTGCTTTCAGTTGACCATGGTAGTTACCTGATACTATTTGCTGAGCTAAGTTAGTTGTGTGTCCATTACTTATTCCTTAATGTATTTCTAAGCCAAGTGCTTCTTCCTCCTAAAACCTAAACTTGTACTATTAACATTTTATAATCAAAATAAGATTCTATTTCATTCTGTTTTGATGTGTCAGGTTTTGAAAGATCCCTCCATCTGAGTGGGCTGCATCACTTGGCTGGACGAGTGAGTGAGAAGCAGAGTTATGAGGCAGCCTGGAGACTAGGCCAGTGGGACCTGCCTCAGCCCAGCCCTGGCGACCAATCACACGAGGCTGCTGTATACAAGAGTCTACGAGCTCTGCATGACAGTGACACAATACAAGCTCTCAGGTATTGGTTCAGGACAGTTTACCCATTTCAGGTTGTCTAGTAGTCGGGAAAAACGGGAAAGTCGGGAATTAGTATTGAAATTCAAAATGATCTTGAAAAGTTGGGATTTAGTCTTTATTTTTATATTAAAGTCAGGAGTTTTCATGATTTTGCCGTGATCGAGCAAGACGGCGATCACGTTTACGTGACCGCGAAAAACAATGATGATGATCTCTACACGCCTGTGGGAGATGTTGACGATTTTGCCACAATCGGGGACTATGACGATGACGTTTCCGGAATCGCGGGAAACGATAATGATGTCTAAACGGCCGCATAAAATGTTCATGATTTTCCGCGATCTCGGGAGATGACGATGACGTTTACGTGACCGCGGGCGACGACGGTGATATTTAAACGGCCGTGGAAAATGTTCATGATTTCCTCCGATTGCGGACGACGATGAAATTTCCGTGACCGTGGGAGATGACGGTGATGTCTAAACGGCCGCAGAAAATGTTCATGATTTTCCCGTGATCGCGGACGACGGCGATGACGTCTTCAAGACCGATGATGGAGGCGATGATTGGAGACGACGATGATGTCTACACGGCCGCGGGAAATGTTCATGATTTTGCCGTGATCGCGGACGACGACCATGACGCTTCTGTAACCACGGCAGTCAATGATGATGTCTAAACGAACGCGGATGTTTTCATGATAAAAATAACAAATTTGCTAGTTAGAATTTTTATTGCTGCATTATTTCGTTACATGAAAACACCACATTATCTTAATACTTCTTTATGATAAAGACAGGGGTTGGTGTAGTATAACCAAATAACCAAATTATTTAGTAAATTTATTTAAGCTATAAAAATTGGTATCGGTATCAAGAATCAAGAATCGATACATTTTGGTATCAACACTCACTAATTGTTGAAAAAACTAGTCTTGAAAAATCTGGAGTTAGTCTTGAAAAGTCTGGAATTAGTCTTGAATTTTATAATGGAAATAAACTAGACACCCTGTTTTTGTATTAATTTTCTTTTGTTTAAAGAGGTTTGCTGCCTCTTTTTCCTTGCATTTGCCTGTCCACATTGGCCACAGAGACCTGTGTGTGGAACGTATCCAGCAAAGCAAGGGGTGAGCCGGTACAGTACAAGGGTGAAATGTACTGATAAAAAGTAGTGGCAGGTACTAGGATCCAAACCCATGACATCATTGCCTTGGGCCCAAAGTTTGTGGGTGCTACTGACTTAGCCACCGACTCACCAACTCTAGTACTACTCCAGTGTTTTGGATTTGTACAATCCTGTAATTCATTTTTGTTTTGGAGTTGTGGTTGGAAACTTCTTCTTAATTGGATGATCAGAAGTAGAGCAGTCAAAAATATCTGTGTCAATGTTCTTTCCTTTTCTTTCAATATTTTACCAAAACGCAACCAATCTCAACTTCAAGTTTAAGTTGCACTTAAGTTGATTGGTTTCAAAGTTGGAAGAGCTTTAGTTGCCGGAAGATCAGACAACTGGACAAACAGTGTGGGACACCATCAGTTCATTGCTTTACGGTAGTTTGATCTTTTAATTTATCATTCGAGACTCTCACAGTAAACGTTGGTGTAAAATTATTTTTGAATATTACTGTCACAAAAATTATCTTTAGACTAGACCAATATCAGGGGTTTAAAACAATTTTTGGCTGTTTAGTTCTCACACCAAAAGACCCTTACGTTTTTTAGAGTGTTAAGAATTGACAATGTTCTGTTGTATGTGCAGTGTGGTGAGACAAGCAAGATCTTTAGTGATGGATTCCTTGGCTATCACCAGTCTAGAGGCAGCCACCAATGTGTACACACCTCTGGCTAAGCTACAGGCTCTGCAGGTACAGTGGTCTTCTGTAATCTAATATTCTTGAACCAATGGTTAGTTCTAATCTCAACTTCATTGTCATTGTATTGTATTGCATTGAATTTTTTACAGTATTTCACAATATTATTTATATTCTGTTTTCAGGAAATTGAAGACTTTGCAACGCTGGGTTTCACTCAAGTAACTGACAAATGGAAAAACCAGGATAAAATAGGATGGAACAACTTTACCGACGTCGAACAGATCATGGCTCAAAGAATGGCTTTGCTCAAACTTACCTCAGGCCAGGAACAGGTAAATATGTAATTTCTCTGCAATTTTTAACAATTTATTCTTTTTAAGTTAGGAATGATTTCCTCGCGATAAAATTAGTTTTATTGAGTTTAACACAGAGAAGTAAGAAACAGAGGGTACACATGGTACACTTTAGTGGTGTCTAGCACTAGTACTAATGTCTAGGCCAAACTCCAACTTGCTCACGGTGGAAGACCCTGTGCTCTGTGCAATAGGAATTTCACACAGTGCTTGCCGTTCGGGCTTTTCCTTGCTCCTCACTCCGGCACAACATACCAGAGTTTAAAGTGCTCGGTCATCCCATAACTTGTTTCTTCTGTAAAACACTGTTGGTCTGGCTAAACCTGGAAATACAAAGGAACCTGCAGACCTTTATAATCTGTTCACAAAATTTAGGCGTTTTAGGGGGGAGGTTTCCTGTGTTACCCACCACTTAAATTAACTTATTGTTTATATCAGCTGATCAGTTGTCAGTTGTTTCAAAGTTAGCATGAGGTGGAGGTGATGGAATCGCTCCCCCTCAAACCCCCTACATTTTGTAAACCGAGTATGAATGTAGCCTACGTGCTGTTACAGGAGAGACTAGTCAAGGTAGTGACAGAACTGTGTGAGGTTGCCAAGACTGAGGGGTATCACAGTGTGGCACACAACTGGCTCTTGTCACTGTCAGGGTTGTCACATCTGCCTCCTCATCTACTGTGCTGTGTGCAATTGCTACAGGCTCAGATATACTGGGACAAACAGGAGACAGATACAGCCAGGTGAGTTATATGTATATTATCTTTGTTAGAAACCAGGGATTTGTTGTTTTTTTAGTCCATTGTTGGATTTAGAATTTATGAAAATTTTGGGTTGAGGTTTATGGGTTTTGTCTTTTGTGCAACAACTTTGTTGGGAGTGTGTGACACTATTGCGCTATCTCCGCAATTGAATGGCATTTGTGTACAAATTTTCCACGATGATGGTCAATGATAACGTTTCCGTGAATGTGGAAGACAATGGTGATGTCTACAAGACTACGGTGGATATAAATGACTTTGCCGAGATCGCTAATGACTAGATTACTATGTCATGTACACATGTCAATTATGTGGTAGATATTCATCTGCGAAAACAACAACATTGTATTGGCAACAAATTAATCAAATCTAACGATGGCAATGTACCAATAATCTATATCCTGATCTATGGCGTATGAAACAGTAACCAGATATAGTGTTGTTACCAATCACATTTAAGTTCACTTGCCGTTTTTCTAGACAATATCTTCTTGTGTTTCATTTGTTGATTGTGCAGAATTGTGCTTTTTTTTTCATAAAGCTACTTACAACAATGTTCCAGACATCTTCTGCGTAGACTTGTTGGACAGCTGAAGGACTCGGACCAGACAACATTGTACGCAAGGACGTTGCATACCTACGGATCCCTGGTAGCTCACACTCGGACCGAGCAAGCTCAGCAGATATTGGAGAAATATCTCATGCCAGTTAGTATTTAGTTGACTAAATTATCATAGTTTTTAATCAAAATCCATCCAACCTTATAAAAATTGTTACAGCTCGCTTTAGGTAAATTGAAACCTTCTGTTTCTACTAACTTGTTGCTTCTTATAATGTTTCCCAAACATTCAACTGCATTACTTATCAAATTACTAAGTACCCAGTTTAAGAGCAGGGACTGGATGATTGATGGACAAGGACAGTAGACTCATAAACTGTAGAGTCAATATTAACACCAGTTTAATAGGTGTTTCATTTGAACTTTGGAATTACATATTATTTAACTAATTACTCATAGTATTATGATACACTGGTATTTCTTTATTCACTTCAAATTTTTTGAGCAGTTTTGTGTTTGGCACTAACAAGAAGTTACACATTCCCATTTATCTTTTAAAAACATTTATATTCATACTTGATGGTGCAGGAAAAAGGTATTCTTTGACATTTCTATTTGCTGCCGTTTAGCTTGTTGCATTGCAAGAGGTTGAACAATTAAATGACGCACTTTAGTCAAAAGACATCAGCTTGCTTTTGCAATGAAAGTTCTTATTGACAAAAGTAGTTTGAAAGCTTCTACATTTATCCTACATTTTGCTTGAATTTATTTTTTTGTGTCACCCTGTAATAGATATAGTTAAATTTCACTTGCATTTTAGGCAGTGGATAACTCTGGCGAAGACTTCAAACTGTCAGCGGCCTCGTCGTTGGCTCGCTACGCAGACGCAGAGTATCAAACACTCCTCAACTACGTCAAATCATCTGAGTACTCCAGCAAAGTGAAAAGCATCACAGAGTCGGTGACGAGTGCGCAGAAACTAATCACCGCAACCGCTAAGATAGACGCTGACCGACAAATCAGACAGGATCTACAGAAGACGATCAACATGCACGACAAACAGAGCAAGATTGACCAGATGGAGGTGGAAAATGCCCAGAGAGAGCTCGACAACTTTCTCATCCTAGCCATTAGGTAAAACCATTGACCAAAACTTGTTTACGTAACCTAGGCTTGTTAAATGGGTACCGAAGTAGACATCCATTGTATAAAAATCAGCTGTTCAATTTTGTTAAGCAAATAGGACATAGTTTAATGAGCCACTCATACAATGTGCAATTGTCAAAATTTCATCTTCTCCTTTTGTTTTTGGTATATAGATTTTTTATGTAAATTAAAAGATGTTATAGTTTAAGTTTACGGGAAGTTGTACTTAAAATTTGACTTGGTCAAAAAGTCTTGGTGTGACAGAATTCAGTAATTTAGGTCAGTACACTCTATTGTGGTGGTTCAATTGATAATTGCATTCATGTTTACTCTAAAACTTGCCACAAATTTAACATGCAGATGAGATGGCTACTTTTATCAATGATAGTAGTCAAAGTTTGTAATTACGAGACAATAGAATTTATTCACAAACTTTTACTCAAATCTGATGCATTCTTATTCAGGTGTTGGGTAGCTGAGTGGTTGAAGTGCTCGCCTGGTAGTCAAAAAATTGCCAGTTCAATCGTGAGAAAAGTTAGTAGCTTTTTGAAGGATCAAAACGAGACCAGATTTCCTTGGTCATTGAGCTTTTAATAAATGGTCCTGGAGGATTACAGCTGGTCTTAGTCGGGAACAGAGCTGCACAAGGCATCTCACTTCAATCATTCTACTCTTAACCTTCACTCATATGTTTGTTAAAATACGGGCCTAGTTTGTACCTCAATTCGAAATATAATCAATACACTTTTTAGAGTTTGTCAGTAGCTTTTTTATCTTGGTTTGTCCGTCCACATGGGCCACAGAAGCATGTGCTTGGAATGTATCCAGCAAAGCAAGTGGTGAGCCGGTACAGTAGGAGGTGGAACTGCACTGATAAAAAGTATTGGCAGATACCAGGATCCGAACCCTTGACATTGCTTCTTTGGACCTGAGTCTGTGGTGCTACCGATTGAGCCACCGACTAACCATCAATAAATAATAATATTATAATGAAGTATTATTCTGAAAAAAAGGAATCAAAATTATTAGGTACTGGGTTACCGAAGCATTGTACTGTTCTCTGAAAATACGTAGATAGTTAGATAGATATAGTTGCATGTTGTCTGTTGTTGCAGACACTACCTACTGAGCCTAGAGCTGGGCGATGGCCAGGACTTGTGTGTGTTCCGTGTGGCGTCGCTGTGGCTAAACAATTATGACAACGAGGAGTTGGTGGCTGAGCTGGAGGAACGGATCTTCCTAGTTCCGAGTTACAAGTGGCTGCCGGTGCTACCCCAACTGGCCGCTCGTATCAGAGAGAACACGGATCAGCCCAGCACTGCCACACTGCACAGACTTATTGGTGAGACAAAACATTCAGGAGTAGTGAGTGTTGAATAATTTATGTTGCCAATGGAAATTTTGTATTTTTTTCAACTTCACAGGCTTAATTTTCCATGTAACATTTTAAGAACATGTAATTTAATGTTAATACATAATTATTTAAGATGAAATAAGAATTTGTAATTAAACTCTACATCACGTGATCAATTTAGTTTGAATATTATCATTAGCTAATTTATGAACAGTTGACTAGTTTTTAAAGGGAGTTCAGAATTAGTTTAAAGTGGCTACTACACTTTTAATTAAGAAAACCTTCAACTGATATTTTAAATGACTAATTAGTAAATTTTTTTACTAACGACAAATTTGTTGATTGTAATAAGTAGTCAGTAGCAACATAGATTGAACATACTCCCTCAAAAGATTTGCCATTCTTATGGATTAGCTGAAGACAAGTTTAATGTTGTTCTGTACGGTGTTGCTGGGGGCTTGTTTATTTGACCATCTGTTTCTTGTTATTGCAACTAGTTTAACCAAATAAACCAATTGAATTGTTAACAATAGCTTGCCCTCCTAATTTATAAAAAAAAGTAAAGCACATTGTAAAATTAATTTTAAAATAAGATAGACAAAATTTTGTAGACACTAGCGCACATTGTCATCAACATGAACTGGACAAATAAAACTTGCTTCAGATTTCACAGTAGGATGAGAAGTCTACTTGTGTTGCTTAGTCTATGGTAGCGCACATTGCTAAAATAAAAGCAAATAATTACCTCCTCAGTGTGCATACTTTCTGGCAAACTAAGAGTTTCGAGTTCATTTCAAGTGTGTTTGTATTGTCAGAGAGGTGTGCCAGGGATCACCCCCACCACGTGCTGCCTCTTATCTTGGCATTGGCAAACACATACAAAGACGCAGAATACAGTCAGTCCTCCATCAACACAGGGGCCAAACCTGAGGTAAGATTATGTTGCAACTGGGCTTCTTAGCCAATAATAAATTCATCACTAATACAAATATTATAATTATAGGTTTTAAATCTAATAGAACATCTGGCTGTTCAAACTTTGACTATCAATAGAATTAGACATTCTATCCTCATATTTAAATTATTGCCAGCTTTTAAGGGGGCTGTAACTGAAAAAAATTATTGAAAACTGTAAAATTATTTCTTATCTTTTTGAAGGAATTTTTATTTTATCTCTGGTGTTGTGTGCAATTCCTATTAAACTCAATAATGCCGTCAACTTCCACCCAAGCCGGACACTGTTTACTTAAGGTGGGCCTCTTCCGCCAGCTAAGCCACACATTATTGAGCTTAGTCAGGATTGCACATGTCGGGAATCGAACCGTAAAAAGACCTCAGTGCTACACTCGTCAGTGTCAGCCTTAGCCGACTGAGCTACAATGCCACCATCGGCCGACCGGGCAATTTGCAGTTATAAGCAAGCACACGACGACACTAGCGCTCCTAGGTCTGATTCAACGAACTGCTTGAGTGCCAGTGGGTTACAGTACGACTGCTACTTTTAATCATTCGCTATGAACGTTAGTTTTTCATGTGTTTCTTCTCTCACCTATCTTTAGAATAAGAGTAGTAAAAGAGTTTAAAATAGGCAGTCACAATCCCCTTAAGTCAACATTGACGTAGTTGAAGTGAGCCACCAACAGATTGTGTTGATGTCAATTACTTATTTCAGTTTAATACACATTTTCAAGAAAGCCAAATTAAAAGGACAATTTATTGTCAACTATAGCATGTTCTATTTCACATAAAATATTAAAGTACCAAAAACTGTTGGAGAAAATGTAATTTTGTATCAGCGCACTCTTTCTCCGACACATTCAACTGTGTTCTATTTGAATAAAAATGTACTACAGCTCTGTCTATATAGGTGGGATGTCTACTTCAGTATACAAAAATCAATAATTTAACAAAATTGTGACAAAATGCATTGATTTGTTATAGTAAAGGTCTAAAGCACTAAAGAATTACCAGCTTACCATACTTCTTTATAATCTCAGGCTGGGTAGTCCTTCAATTATACACCTTTGAAAGGTTTAAATGGTTCACAGTTCAAGATAAGTCTAAATATCACAAAAGGTAACCTCTCAAAATAACTTCCAGCTTGTTTTAAAATTTTCTATTGCAAATAAGCAGCTGTTGACAAGAATACAACAATAAGCTAAAACCATATACCGTAAAAACAATTGATACATTTTTTCAGTTTCAATACATGAGATTGTTTACAATCGATATTTAAAACAGCAAATTTTTGCTCCCTATGGAAAAAAAGCTACTTTAGACCCACAAAGCATGTATTTAACAGCTGGTGCTGTTGTACAACAAAAAAGTGTTTTAAGTTGAGTATTGTATGGGTAGTTGTATTGTTGTTAATATTTTAAAATCTGGTGTTTTTGATGAACATTTTATTGGTGTGACCACTCCGACAAAAGCTAAACAAATATTTACTTGCTTCAAACTGGTGTTTCGGCTTGCTGTTGACTACTTTAGAACAGCTGTTAGATATAAGAATATACACAAGCATTAAACTGTGATTTGTTTTTTACAGATGGCTGGGTATATGAAGGTATTGTTGTTTTATTATATTGGTGTTTTGTCTGTCTGCACTTTTGCCTATCTAATCACATGGGTGAAATATGTGGAGGCAGCTTGTTCATTTGATAAAACTGGTATCATTTGTTTGATTTGTTTAACTGTTTTTAATCAATCGATTTTCAAGATTACGTCTGTTGATTATTCCCGATTTACAACAAACTGTAACAAACATTAACTATACCTTTTTAAGGTAAAATAAAAATATTGCTGTGAGATTCAATCTAAATTTAAACTTGTAATCCTATTACATATTATATTCGCTTTAAAATTATGTTAATTTTGACTGTAAAATACTTTATACTAAGGATTCTTAATTCTTATTAAATTTTGAGTTTACTTTTTTACTATATTTCCGAACTTTTCAATTAGATACATTAAATAAAATTAGATACATTGAATTTGACACAAAACAATTGAAAATTTAAAATCAATCAGCTATAACTTTTTATTGCCTTGAATGCAATTTTATTGTAATGACTATTCACTCACTTATAGGCAGTGTTTCCACATTTCTGCTTTAGCTTATCCCTGGAACGCTTTGGTTTGGGTTTCAATCTGGATGTATGTATTATATTAAATTAAAAAATACTGCAAGCCTTATAGTTGGGATCTTGTAGTGCTAAATTTGTGCAATAGAATAGACTAACTAACAAGTAAACATTATAAATACACATCACATGCATACACTAAGAATAAAATCAAAATCGTATTTCATACCACAACTACCCCCTAAAAAGTCAAAAAAATATTGAAACTAATTGGCCAAATTTCATTTCAATCACTAAGCCTAAGCCATACCTTGCTCATCGTACAGTTAACATTATTTAACACAATTATTTGCAGCTAATTGGTAGTTTCCAATGTAAATAATGGATATTAGTGGAACTTGTATTAACAAGTGTCATTCTTCAAACTGTTTAATCTCTATAATTGAACATAATGAATGCTCTTCAGGAGTAACTTTTTAATTTAAATAATTTGAATCTATAACCTGTTATACTAAAACAAAAATCATTTCTAAAAATATAAAAGTGCATTGTGTACATCAATTTGCACAACATTTTATCATTGGTTCTGTTCCGGTTCACCTCAACAATGTACAGTCTCTGCTGATTTGTCTTGTACTAATTATTTCAACCAAATTACTTAAAGGTACCAAATAAATTGAAGGTCATAAATAAAATCTAAATTTTTACAAAATCAAGTACTTTTATTACATTAATTGCTCAACGTTCGTAATGTATCCAAACATGTTTGTAAGTCTTCATTTCAATTTAAATTGAAATGCAAATCAACACCCTTCACAAAACATTTGTATTTTTCCCAGGGAAGAGTAGTCGGAGCTCAGAAAATGTTGGATAGCCTTAAACAGAAGGAACCTCTAAAGACACTAATCCGTGATATGCAGAAAGTCGCAGAAGCCTACATCAGTTTTGCATACTTTCCTCACACTGGCGGAAACGCCACCAAGGGTGAGTGGTCGGAGTGGAAAGTGTTATGTTCTGATAACTTTACAATACATGTACAACGAATGAGCAGGGATTGTTTCTTGGTTTTTTCAAACTGATAAAATACCTTTCAAACTTGAAAAACGTCCAGGAAAACTTGGGTGTTTAGTGAAAGTCAATACCATACGAGGTAAGAAAGTTGATGATTTTTTTCTGGTTTACTGTCTTTTAGCAATGGTCTATTGACTTTCAGGCAAAAGGTTGTATCTTTAAAAAATCAATTTTTTTGTTACATACGACAGTTTTGAAACCCCTCAACGAGCAGCCTCTACGCAACAAACAAACCGTTGTATCTCTATCTCTTTTTACTTTGGGAAATACGTTTCATGTCTCATTTGGCATATTTCAATACACATGAAAATTTAATTTAAGAGAATATTCATATCTAAAGAATTAACCCCATAAACCCTTAGTCCAATAATGCTGGTTCACAAATAGACATAGGTTTACACGTTTCGTACTAATTTTCATCAAAATCAGATGACTTTTGTTTGATTTATTGTGCTAATGGACTCATATATGGATTTGAACGGATGGTGTTTTTTCCCTTTGGGGACATCAAAACGAAAAAAGTAAATCGGTCCCGGGTCCAGGATTTTCTATGAGACCTATGAACGGTAATAGCTCTACTATGTGGTAAATTCACTAAGACAAATAAAAGCTTACCCCTATGAAGGTATAAAGTGGTATTTCATTCTTGGTTTAAAGATACTTCAGCAATTATAGTTAAAACTATTGTTTTGTCATCATTCTGTTGCAGTGCACAAAATCCCAAAGACTGAACCGATAACGAAACTGAAGCAGATGAGTCATGTTTTGTGTCCTACTGTGACTACGCCCGTCAGCAGGTCTGCCAACTACAAGGAAATTATTGGTGAGTAAACTTGTTTCGGCACAATAGATATAGTTATAAATAGTTCATTTTATTGTTCTTTTTACATCAAATATTAATTAATTGGAAATGTTCTTTTATGTCTTAGCTATCCTATAAAAATGAATTTTTGCCTTGCAAAGTATCAGATCAATCAGATCTGTATCAAGAAAGTGTAGTATGCTATACAGTATATAGTATATAGTATGCCAATAAATAGTGCAATACTGTTCACACTCTCCAACTTAATACCTAAACACCAAATTATTTAATTGCTTAATGCTTACAATACGTATTACATCTTTCTTAAATCCAGCAGATTATAGCAAATTCAGCATGTATCAGAAAGACTTTTTAACTTGCTTCAGATTTTGGCTATAAGTCAAAAACGATGCAGGCACCAACAGGTATGGTAAGGCAGTAGGCTTTATTAGTTGCCACTGGATTCCTATGATAAATAAGTTAGGAAATTCTGGTTGGAAGCCTGTTGAACAGGAAGTGGAGTGTGGAGAAAATATCCTTCCACATATTGTTTGAAAGCCCAGTACTGTATTGTTAAATCTTGCAAAGTCTGTTTGCCTACCATAAGAGAATGGAAATGAAGAGAATTGTAAGAAGGGGTTGTCAAGAAAATTTTAAGGTTCTTTAAGATTTGGGATTTTGTTAAATTGAGTTTCTAAGATTGAGGGTGCACAATAAGATGCAAGATTGCAGGGATAATTAACTTAGCCTACTTGTTTGAAATTTGGTTTTAACTGATGACACTAATATTGTTTACCTTTTGTTTGCAGGCATAAAAGGGTTTGCTGAAACATACTGGTCTGTTGGTGGGATAAATGTTCCCAAGAAGATAATGTGTATTTGCACTGATGGAGTCAAAAGGCCTCAATTAGTCAAGGTTAACAAAATTATGTTTACTGTTTAAAAATTGTTGTTAGCCTACACCCTAATTTTTAAATTTAGGCTTTGCAAAAAACATTGACATTTGCTGATAAAACTTCACTTAAATGTAAACTTGGTGGTTTTCTTGACTTTGTTTCCCCGTACAGATAATACAATTTTCAAAATTCAAAATGTTTTTAAAGCTTTCTCTGCACAAGTTTTAAGCTGCTTCAATGGAAATCAGAACATAAAGATGTAATTTATTTTACACTGATACTATCTAAACAATATTTAAACTTGATTTATTTCAAAATAAAAATACAAACTTTCATCTTTTTAACTATTTGTGATCCTATTAGGTTATTTGTTGTTGTGTCAACAAGTAGTGCAATTTTCTGGTTTAGTTGCTTGTTGCTCCCATTTGTTTATTATATTGGTTTGGTCGGAAATTTGATAATCATGCTAGATCTGATCAAAATATACCAATCCAACCCTACATAAGTCGATAGTGTTTGCAGTATTGTGCTTGTATGTTTCAGGGCAATGATGACTTGAGACAAGATGCTGTTATGCAACAAGTGTTCACGATCATGAACTCTTTGTTGAGTGAGAACAAGGAAACGCGACGTCGCAGACTGCTCATCCGGACCTATAAGGTTAGATAGTATATACACAAACTTAATTTAATTTCTATTAGATGTTGTAAAAAGATATATTTATTTTAATGGCCACCTATTTTTTTTCTTTTTGCTAGATTTGTTTGCAACGCTAACCCTGGTAAATAATAGTCCTGAATGCAAACTTGTAGTGTTTAAAGTTATGGTTTGCACAGCTCTTTTGATAATAAAAATACGATAGTTATTTGTTTGAACTAAGGTCTCCAATGTATTCCAGTCAGGGTTAAGTGGGGTAGTTCAAATCTGACACCAGGCTAGTTATTTACTTTTCCCACTACCTAGTCTGATCCCACCCGTAAACGACGATTAGCCTCATCAAAATGGCGGATAAAGTTGTGAGAGAAAATCTACACATCCAATCTCATTTGTTTGGTAGGTTTCTGTAGGAATTGGGATTAAGTTATATTGAAAATTACCACATCAAAACTCCCTCAAACTATTACGCTAATATTCTATGCCCAAACCCTATTCTCCATTCAAACAATCGGTGATGAACTTTAATCGGGTTGACCCCAAACCATAGAAATAAAAAATGATGGAAGTAAAGATCACAATTCTGGTGTCAGGTTTTCACTGATTGGTGACAAAAGAAACTTTATCACATTTTAATAGATTGTATAATAATCCTCCTCCTTTCTACGCCAACTAATGACCTCCGAACTAATTTCAACACCATTTGTTTTCTTTCTGTTATTCAGGTGGTGCCTTTGTCGCAGCGCAGTGGTGTAATAGAGTGGTGTATAAACACTACACCCATCTCTACGTACCTAATAGGGGGAGGAGGAGTGGTGGGGGCTCACACCAAGTACCGCAAAGACTTAGACTGGCTGCCAGCTGTGTGTCGTCAGAAAGTTGCGGTAAGTATAAATGTGCTTTCATTGTTTCAAAGTTACAATAATACAATTTCTAAGAACTCAGGGCAACCACAAAGGTAAATCTAATAGTAGGCCCCTACTTGAAGCTGGGGTAGCACAAATGTAATTTCTTGCTATCCCAAGTTTATACAGGGTGTCTACAGCGCCTAGATATCCTTGATCTTCTATAAATGTCCTCGATATTGTTGTTCGTTAGAGATGTACTCGAAAACCCACAGAATTTTATAATTTATTACAAAGGTTCATAACTTTCTTGCATTTGCCTACATAGGCCAGAACCTGTGCAGAAAATGAATCTAGAAAAGCAAGATTTGAGCAGGTACAAATCAAGAATGGGCTGTACCACTGTACTGATAATAATCGCCCAATTTTGGATACTGTATTTTTTTTTACTTAGGAAGTAATAAATTGTATAAGCCACAATATTTGTTACTGATTCAGGTCTATATGAAGTTTTTTCTTTGAGTTTGAGCAAAGTAAAGGTTAGAGGTGGATTTGAATTGTGATATTTTCTAATTTAATTTTGATTTTACTAACGAACATAAAACTTTTCAGCTGTTTTGCTACTAAGGTTTTTTTGACAGTGTGTTTTGTAGTAGAATGTAAATATTTCATCATAATTTACTGTAGTAAAGGTAAACGTCACCTAATTTGCCGCTCTAACATAAATTGTCTTGTTTACATAATACAAGTTTGTTTATAAGGTCTCTGACAATTACAAATACCCCCGCCGCAGCAAACCTGCAGACTAAGCGAATTTCCATTTGACTGATTGGATTTACACTGAAATGTCTACTAAAAAATATAACATTAATTACCTATTTAAATAGAATTAGTTTAACAAGTACTTAGGTTTGCTGCATCAGAGAGGGTAAAACTGTTTTTTTTTTTTTTTTTTGTAAAATGTTAATAGTTAGTAAGAAATAAAAACATTTTCCAAATTTGATCAAAATAGGTTCATAAACAAGCAAACTACAACAGTTTACTTATCCTCCATAAGAATAACATAGGAATTTTAAATTAACAATTTTTTGGAATTTTCTCCGTAACCATTAGGCGCATAATAACGCTTCAATATACTAAATTATTTGTTTTTTTAAGCTCTACAAAATGGTTTGGAAAGAAATTGCTAAATTTTATGTTTTTTGGGTCAAAAATGGGAAAAACCAATTTTTACCCCATAAAACGCCCCGTAAACCCCCGTTCCCATGGTCCGATCAAGCTGGATCGCGAACTCGTTCGAATAAACGTAGGTTTACACGTTTGTACCAAATTTCATCAAAATCGGATCATTTTTGCTCGAGTTATCGTGCTAACGGACACATATATATATATATATAAATATATAAATATATAAACATATAAATATATAAATATATATATATATATATGAATTTTAACGGATGGTGTTTTTGGCCTCTAAGGACCTCAAAACGAAAAATAAAATCGGTCCCGCGTCCAGGTCTTACCATGAATACTACGGTAATAGCTTATTCCCTATATGGGAAATTCGCTAATATTCCCTATATGGGAAATTCGCTAAAAACCCAAATTTTTTAAGGCACGTCGGGAAAACACTGTGATATTTTAGGAAAGCTAAAGCCATTTATTGATATTCTAGGATGTAGCCAAATCCAGTGTTGCTACAAAACTGAAGGTGTTCAAAGAGATTTGTGCCAATTTCAAACCGGTGTTCCGGCACTTCTTCTTTGAAAAGTTTCCCAATCCAGGAGTATGGTTTGAAAGGAAATTGGCTTATACTCATAGGTAAGTTGTAGTTTTCGATTTTAAATTTTAACAGCTGGTTATAGCTGGTGTGACGTAAGCTGGTATGTGAGCGAAGTGTGGTCTATGTTGGCAGGGGGAGGTGGAGGTAAGGAAAAGATCAAACTGGAAACATTTCCGCTGACTCAAAGTGTTTTATATACTTGAGCACATTAACTGGGACATGAGGACAGTTGACACATCCCGCATGAGGGCACAGAATGTTTTTAAACTAGGCTAGTAGCGATCGGTCAAGTGCCAGCTCACATGTCACAAGCAGGAGGCTACCTTCCTTTGGTTGTATAACTACAGTCAGATAGTAAACAAGAGGCAAAACAGTTTATGCAAGTGAATAGGCTTCCTTCATTGATAATTGAAACATGATTGATGTACGTAAGTTATGCTCTTTATGGTATAGATATATTTTAGACTTGTGTAAAAATTGTAAATTAAGCCTAATTGTCTCAACCAAACATTCTTAAAATGTACTATTTGTGCATGGGTCCCCTTGTGTAATAAGTTTTGTATTTAGGAGAGGATTGGGACCCTCTTTATATAGCCTGTCTGAGATTTTACAATCATAATGGTGATTGTTACAGTGTTGCCACATCCTCCATGGTGGGTTACATCCTTGGGCTTGGTGATAGACACATAATGAACATCCTCATAGACCAGCGTACAGCCGAGGTCATACACATAGACTTTGGTAAGTCACTGAATCGTAACTTGCTTAGTTACATTTTATTTTTGTGTTTATGTTAATGGAATTCTTACATGTTTTTTGGGGGGGGAAATCAAAAACCTGGTGTTGTTACTGTCTAACGCTGACCTTTTGTTCGATAGCATCATTAATTGATAGCCTATGACAAAAGGCATCAAGGTCCGGAAATGATCTTGCATGGAATCGAACTTGTTACATTTAGATTTGAAGGTGAGCAATGTTACCACCACTACACAATGGTTCAGTATTCACTGCGGTTATTGATTAAATATTGACATATCTCTTGGAATGCATTTATAAATTGAAATAAATACTTAAATATAGTTGAAAAGTCCATACAAGTTATTCCAGATGAATGTTAATATGCACCAGGGATCCTGTAATAGTGTGATTGTAATACACATTGTTAGGGTAGGTCAATGCTCCATACTCCTACATTACAATCTAGGCCAGTTAATAAAATATTTAATGTAACCTTATTAATTTAACCTAACAGATTAAATGCGGCTGAATGAGCTGCGTACTTTGACCTTGAGTAGACTGTAATTGTTGTAGTTTATATAAAAAAATCTCGTTTTCTAAGATTTACTTATGATCCTAGTAATCTGGAACAAGCTTAAAAAATCACAAATGACAATTAAGTGAGTAGTAAATTATAAACAAAAGAATTCAAGAGATGCTATGAGAATAAACACAGGTAAATTTAGATTTTCCATTTTATTTTATTGGATAATTAGTAACTAGCGAATGCAACGGAATGTGTTTGCAGGTATTGCGTTTGAGCAAGGTCGCACCCTACAAACAGCAGAGACAGTTCCGTTCCGTTTGACGAGGGACATCATTGACGGCATGGGTGTGTCTGGCATCGAGGGTGTCTTTAGGAGGTGAGTTGACTTAAAAAAGTCATATTATTGACTGAATTAGGAACTCATTACAGTTTAATATTACAATCTTGGTGTGATATGTCCTCACTCATATAAAAAAGTTATCCTGGTAGATAAAAGTTGCTTAAAAGTGCCACCTCCTGCGAACATGTCATGAATAAATAAACTCACAGTGACCAAGTCGCTGAGACTTTATTGAATGTTCATTCTCTCGTGTTCAGGAGCTGTGAGAAGACAATGGAAGTGATGAGAGAATGTGAGTCAACCCTTGTCACAATACTGGAGGTGCTTCTTTACGATCCATTGTACATGTGGACCATCACTCCAGCCATGGCTGCAGCCAAGCAGGGCGGCAAGAGGCCGTCACAGTCACAGCAATCACAAGGTGAGCTCACAATTTGAGATTTTACAGTTTTGTTTTGAGGTTACTAATAGTTTAAATTGTGACAACACTTGCCAAATGTGTAGTGTTCCAACAGTTTTCTTTAGCTTTAGACTATTATAAGATACACATACCTTTACGTCCAGTCCATAGTTCAATAAAGTAATGGTCAAACTGACTATGTTTTGCCTATTCAGGTGATCTTTCGAGAATGTTTCATTCATTAGAACACCTAGTATTCCTACGCGGTTGGACCCTTACTAGTCAAGAACATTCAATAAATACACATAGTGGTTGAAACATTCTTGAAAGATAACTAAACTATGCCTAAATAGGTGAAACATGTAGTGAGTTTGAACATTACTTTGTTGAACTGTGGACGTAAAGTCTGTGTCTGAAAACTGTGGACCTCTTAATTGTCTAAGGGGAGCGATCTGGTCTAGTGGTTAGAGCACGGGACATCGGTCCTGGGTTCAAATTACCAATTGGTTTTATCTAAGTGATAATGCCGCAATCCCTAGGTCTAGCTTGAAGTAATGTGAAAAACAATTAGGACAAAAAATTTGTCTAATAAACAGTTCAGGGGCTACACAATGAATTATGGTTTTCATTCACTGTAGTAAATGTAACCAATTTGATATTAGTCTCGCTTGAGCCACCACTATTAATTCAGTTAATTTGTGTTTTTACCAGGAAAGTTTTGGGGTAGTTTTGATTTTTTCCATTTCTTATGTATTTTGGGGTGCTGAATCCGAATCTGAGGTTTGCCAACAAAAATTCTTGACGCAACATTGACAAAAATGAGAAAAATATGGAAAAAATGATATTTTTTGTAATATTTAGCTTATAACTCAGAAACTATCAACTTTTTGTAATTAGTCTATATTATAAAAATTAAAGTACACAAAATTTGCTACAAAATGTACCCCTAATGTGGTAATCTCCGATGAACCGTTTAGGCTCCAGAGCTATTTGAAAATTGGAACATTTTGTGTTAGTTTTTAAATTTCTCCAATTATTCTGTCAACGACACATATTCATTGTATATGCCCAGGCAAAGGTCTTATATAAATCCAAAGTGTTAAAATTGATTAATTTTGTGTTACTGAACCGTTGAATTTTTATTTAGTGTACAGAAAAGATACACGAACTGTTGCCGTTTAAATTATCCTCGCTCAGAGGGTTGTAATGAGGCAGGTTCTGGCAAACGTTTCGATGCATTATTTGTGAGCATTCTAGCTTGTTCATCTGGACAATTTAAAAAAGGTTAAAAGTATTAAAAATTACACATATAATAATAAGTGATGCCAAAATCAAAACTATCAAAATTAAAATAACACCAATCTGTTAATCATGCAATATCGTATGCACCTGATGACGTGATATTTAGATATACGTAAATAATAAAATGTTATGTATGCATATACTGTTGCCAAGCATTTACATTGTGTGTAGATTTAACAAGTTAATAAATAAAGAGGTGTGCGTTTGGTACTATACTTACTTTCTTACTTACTTAGACTCTAGCATCACAGCCCATTGTACGTCCTCAATCGTATTGGCACCCATTATAAAATTTTCTGTGTAAAATTTCAAGACCGATGCATGGCTTAGAGTGATTGGCATAGTAAGAAATAAAAACATTTTCCAAATTTGATCAAAATATGTTCACAAACAAGCAAACTACAACAGTTTACTTATTCTCCATAAGAATAACATGGGAATTTTTAATTTATAATTTTTTGGAATTTTCTTTGTCACCATTAGGCGCATAATAACGCTTCAATATACTAAATTATTTGTTTTTTGAAGCTCTACAAAATGGTTTGGAAAGAAATTGCTAAATTTTATGTTTTTTGGGTCAAAAATGGGAAAAACCTATTTTTACCCCATAAAACCCCCCGTAAACCCCCGTTCCCATAGTCCGATCATGCTGGATCGCGAACTCGTTCGAATAAACGTACGTTTACACGTTTGTACCAAATTTCATCAAAATCGGATCATTGACGGACACATATATATATAAATATATAAATATATTTATATATATATATATATATGAATTTGAACGGATGGTGTTTTTGGCCTCTAGGGACCTCAAATCGAAAAAAAAAATCGGTCCCGCGTCCAGGTCTTACCATGAGTACTACGGTAATAGCTTATTCCCTATATGGGAAATTCGCTAAAAGGTTAAAAGTATAAAAAAATTACACATATAATAATAAGTGATGCCAAAATCAAAACTATCAAAATTAAAATAACACCAATCAATTAATCTTGTAATATCTTATGCACCTGATGACGTGATATTAACCCTTAATTTGACAGCGTGCCATTATTGGCACATGAGGATTCAAAAAAATGTCACGTTCGCCTGTTAACTTTTTAATTCCAAAAAACGGCGTCCAAAGGTTCTTTGCCTATTGCTATTATGGTTTAGTGCACTATAGTGGATGTTTTGGAAATTACTATCACTTTAGACCAACATATAGAAAAGCAAGTATGGAGGCTTAGTGTAGTAGGTTAGTAAATTACTTTATATTTCAATATTTTAGGCTGTTTACTTATATATCTAAGTGATTTGCACAGATTAAAGATGAGAAAACATAACCCGGGTTAGTAATTAGCTTAAATATGAATATTGATTTTTTTATAAACTTAACAATTTGAGTGTGACAAAAATGGCACATTGCCAAAGAACCAGGGAACAATGAAAATTTTTGGGCGTGCCAAAAATGGCACATTACCAAAGATGCAGTTATTTTTTTTTAGTTTATTGAGCGCGCCTAAAGTGGCACACTGTTTATAAAACAGTGAAAGGTATTTATATTTGTAAATGTATGTCTCTTATTTCCACAAATTGTAAAATAAAAATGTTTTTGTGACGAAAGATTTTTCACTAGGCTGTTTAGAAAAGACTTAGGCTTTACAAAAAATCCCGACCATCCATGGCAACAAATATCCACCAAAAAAGTTTTATTTCCTGCTGAAAGTGAATCTTCTTATATAAAAGTTGACTGTGCATTCCGATAAAGACTTTGGTACTTACAAATATTACACCGTATCGACATATCGTGGAATAACGCATTGCAAGTGCAAGACAATATGTCACTAAAAATTTTAGTTATGGGATTTTTGAATCGCTAACCAAAGAAGTAAAAGACAAGTTCTAAAAGACAAGGATTTACTTCTTCTCACACCAGCTGCTCTGATGTATGTTGAAGAAGTACGCTTTGATGGTGTTGGACAACACCCTTTCTTTGTATACATCAAGAGGTCGATGCAGATTTTGCAAAAATAAAAAATCGTCGATAGAGTGTTCAAAGTGCAATGCGAGGCTGTAACTGAAAGAAAATAGAAATTGTTTTGTGGGGTTTCACCAAAAGTAGATTACGTTTCTTGATGGACATACTCTAATGAAATTTCAAACGATTTTCCTGATAGGCATGACTAATGAAATATCAATAAATTATAGAATAATGTATTTTCTATTGTAATCACATAGTTTTGTAGAGGTTTTACATCTGTATACATTTTAGTTCATTTTTTATAATGACGTTTATACCATTTTATATTGGATTGATAACTTTTGTGGAGTAATTGATTTTTTTATATCTTACATATAATTATAGTTATACAATTTTGATATCCAATATGTGATACTGTCGACTTATTCAACCCCTAAAGTTTATTTTAAAGTGCTATACAGATAAACTTGTTGTATTTAATTCAACATAAGATTCCTAGAGAAATCTCCGCATCTTTGGCAAAGTGCCAAAAATGGAACACATGAAAAAATTGTGAAAAATACTTATAAGAATTTTAAAATTATTTTTTTGAAGTTCCTTTGGACCCTTTTGATTGAAATATTGCAAGGAAAAAGTAGTTTTCAAAAAAAGATTTGTTTGCCAAATTAAGGGTTAAGATATACGTAAATAATAAAATGTTATGTAGGCATATACTGTTTCCAAGCATTTACATTGTGTGTAGATTAAATAGATTGTAGGTCCTAGGGCGTAGGGCATAGGCCTACATGAGAGTGGTAAGGGTTAATTGACTTAAGATAGTCAATACAAATTTTGGCTAGAAAACTAAAACCAACGTTGCCTCACTGCCCCCAACTCAAGAAGCTGTGTGGACATAACTCGCTTAGAGTTTACATTTACATTCGGGTGAAAAAAAAATTAGTATTGGCCTATGGTAACAGTGCCAATCACTCTAAGCCATGCATCGGTCTTGAAATTTTACACAGAAAATTTTATAATGGGTGCCAATACGATTGAGGACGTACAATGGGCTGTGATGCTAGAGTCTAAGTAAGTAAGAAAGTAAGTATAGTACCAAACGCACACCTCTTTATTTATTAACTTGTTAAATCTACACACAATGTAAATGCTTGGCAACAGTATATGCATACATAACATTTTATTATTTACGTATATCTAAATATCACGTCATCAGGTGCATACGATATTGCATGATTAACAGATTGGTGTTATTTTAATTTTGATAGTTTTGATTTTGGCATCACTTATTATTATATGTGTAATTTTTAATACTTTTAACCTTTTTTAAATTGTCCAGATGAACAAGCTAGAATGCTCACAAATAACGCATCGAAACGTTTGCCAGAACCTGCCTCATTACAACCCTCTGAGCGAGGATAATTTAAACGGCAACAGTTCGTGTATCTTTTCTGTACACTAAATAAAAATTCAACGGTTCAGTAACACAAAATTAATCAATTTTAACACTTTGGATTTATATAAGACCTTTGCCTGGGCATATACAATGAATATGTGTCGTTGACAGAATAATTGGAGAAATTTAAAAACTAACACAAAATGTTCCAATTTTCAAATAGCTCTGGAGCCTAAACGGTTCATCGGAGATTACCACATTAGGGGTACATTTTGTAGCAAATTTTGTGTACTTTAATTTTTATAATATAGACTAATTACAAAAAGTTGATAGTTTCTGAGTTATAAGCTAAATATTACAAAAAATATCATTTTTTCCATATTTTTCTCATTTTTGTCAATGTTGCGTCAAGAATTTTTGTTGGCAAACCTCAGATTCGGATTCAGCACCCCAAAATACATAAGAAATGGAAAAAAACAAAACTACCCCAAAACTTTCTCGCTATGAGTGAATTTAAATACAAATTTACTGGATTATATGTGCTGACCCATTTTGTATCCTTACCCTCAATTTTAACTAATTTCTTCATTTAGGGGTTTTTGTTCCTTGTTTTCCATACTACACAGTCCTCTGTGTGCTATTATGATTTTCCAGCTCTGGCTGGGTTTGTGTCTAATCTTGTTACGTTTTAGATACTTTCTTATGATCTGGAAACAGTACCAGATTCCAGATTCTGAAAACTTATTTTGATGAAAAGGTACACAATAATCTTATAAATAACTTAAGTATCAGTAAATTGAAACAACTCTTAATAGATGGCATTAATCAATCTGTTACTTAACCTAATATCATGAACCTATCAAAATTTATTTTTAATTGTTTTAACTTTTTTTAGGGCCACAAGAGCAAGGCAAAGTAAACAAACTGGCTGAGAGAGCTTTGATAAGACTGAAGCAGAAGCTGCAAGGTATCGAGGAAGGCAGCACGACAAGTGTGGAAGGTCAGGTGTCCAAACTGATCCAGGAGGCGACCAATCCTGCCAACCTGTGCAGACTGTTCCATGGATGGCAGTCACATGTCTAAAACGATGTGCACCGTCCCCTGCATCTGTAAACACTGTACGTGATTTGTTCATGTGAACATGAAAATTTGGTTAAGTGAGCTAGCAACGTCACTTTTGCCGTGTCGATAAGTTTGATGCCGTAAGAGGAAAATTTGTAAAAATCTTAAAACCATCCCGATGGTTAAGTGCTAGGCCTTTGAGGGAAAATAGGACAGTTTTGTTGATGTGACATAAAATAATTGTTAGTTTACAATATGTTGTGTATCTAACTTCTATTCGAGCCCATCACTTTTACCATATGACGATAAAGACGGTGAGGAATATTGGGCAGAATCTTACAAGTATCCTAATATAAGGCTGTGAACAGAATGTGTTTAGCTAAACCAACAAGAAAGTTTTCTCTGCATTTATTTCTAAACTATTTTAACTATGTTTTGTAAGTTTTGTGGTTGCTGTTTTAGGCCTAAGTGTTTAAAGTTTCTCATTTGGACGTTGTATAAGATTATTTTATTAGAGGACCAATTTCAGGTCCTGTTTCCCATGCATAGTTTCCATGTTAGCAATTGAATGGTTCTTCATAACAACATTTTCTATTAGTATTATGGTATTTATTTGAAAGAATTCATACTTTTTAATCTTTTGACATAATATCTATGATGGTAAATTATCCAAACATGAGAAGTCTGACATCACAGTAATGTAATAAAGTTTTTTTCCTGATTCGGTAAAATTTTAATGGGACTAATTTTGATTTGTTATGGGCAATCATAAAAACTGTTATTGTTTAACTGAACTCTTAATTTAAGAGCATCACTATTTAGATAAGTGTAACCTATTTAGAAAGTATGATTTTTGTAAGCTCATTTCTATAAAAAAAAATTGTTCCAATTCTATAACTATTATTTTAACTCCCCTCCCCCTCCCTTTAAAGGTGTGAAGATACCATATGGTCCATTAGGGTCATTGGATGTTGTTATTATTCTGCTGCTACCAAAAATGAAGCATCTCGTGCTAGATTATTATGTCAGCATTTTGTCAGAAAGAAAAAGATACTAACTACCCTATTTCCAATAGACTATTCAAATCCATGAGGGACTGGGTTATAATACAAAAACCTTTTAAAAACAACAATGTATTAGACAAAATTTACAAAAGGAATCAATATCAACTGTACACTTGTTACATTACATTAGTAATGTTGGACACTTGACCCATTTAAGAGGCAGACCATCAAATACAATCAATATATCGGTGCTGTAGTGGCACACCAACATTAAAAACCGTCAACACAAAGACACCTTCTAAAAACAAATCGTACAGTAATGGTGAAACAAAACACAGAAATTATCAATACATCTTATTTTGCCATTTTCTTAATTACATTATAAATGCCTGTAGCATTATTTATTTTAATGTATTTTTGTACAAATGAAATTTAAAATTATAGTATGACTTAATTAAATTTAGAAGGAAGATTAAAACAAAATTATAAAGGCCAGTGTAATATGTTGCAGTAAAAAAATAATTTCTCAAAACGTAAAACAAAAATGTCTTAAGAATTTTTTTGAATTCTTGCGACCCGTACTATTTTTTATTAATTTGGTGCTCTTTAAGCTCTACTTTTTGTGAAAATAAAGAAAATAGCTTTTTAAAATCTAAATGAATAACCATTGAGTACAAAACTTATTACTAACTAAACAATCTTCTCCATGTATAATAGTTTAGACAAACAAGGAAATATTCACAATATAAAATCTGCGAGAATCAATTGAAATAAGTAATGACTAGTCAGTAGTACATGGGCATTTAACACTGCCCTTCCTGATCTCATGACAGTTATTGAATCTCATTAACATTCCAATGGTCTCTCATTTATCTTCAAGTTTTTGCAAACCACACTCGAAACACAACATGATTTGAGCAACTAGGGCGCCATTACTTGTGGCCAGAACACTTTTGGTATCTCTGTCCCGAAGAACATCTTGGTGTTGTTGGCGATAGCTTCATACCTCTTCAGCTCCAGGTATTGCGGAGTCAGCAGCAACGCATTGGACTCAGCTTGCGTCTTCATCTGATAAAAGTCTGCGTCCGCTCTACTACGCTGAGTGGCGACATGCATTGCATCTAAGAAGAGACATTGATGTAGCTAGGATGTCAGAGCACAACATTGCTTAAATATGGTTGGCTGTGTGTAATGGGTGTAACTTGTATTTTACAGCAAGCTACTAATACAAAAAATTGGTTCAATTCAGTTTTGCAAAACTAAATACAAAACAGCATATTTGCAGTGTGATTTGCAGTTTTGCATTTATAGCTTTGTTGTCCTTTTATCAGCTAAAATAAAATGGGATGCTAAATATAAAGGTGGGTTTACTCAATACAATGAAACATAACGACTTCTCTGCAACGACAGATTGTACAAGTCAAAACGTTTAAACCAAAAGACGTTACATGTTGTCGGAATTAGAGTCAGATTGAAAGGTAGGTGCAAACCGCTATCAATTTCACGTGGGTGTACTGACAGGTCGTAAAGAAACTTTTACCACCCAACACCTAAAAAGCTGAAAGCTGCATAGAAAATTAGCTGATCAATTTTTCCAGAAAAGGTTGTGTTGTAGGATTCCACAAACTAAATATAAATCTTAGTTTCTTCTTACCTTCAATTTCAGACATTTTCTGCAAAGATTCCTTCTCCATTATTTTCTGATCAAACTGTATCTTGGATACTTGTGACACTTTCTCTGCCTCGATGATTGCTTTCTTGCGTTCAGTTTCCGCATCTTTCTCGACCACTTTCTGATGTTGAATGGAGATCAACAGTTTTGTCTTCTCAGCTTCCCTGAAATATTATAAAAACATCAAATTAACTTGATGGTTATGCAAGCTCATGAATACCGACATGTTAATTGAAATTGGTCTTGAAGTTAATTGGTTTTGAGATTGTATTGCTTCCATTTAACACACTAAAGTGGCTCGTTTTCTTAAAAAGATAACCAGGACCAGTTTGTATTGACAGTTGACAAAACGTCCATATAGTGAAACCATCAAATGGGACAGTTAGTAATCAGAAAAGGGACAAACAACATTTCCCTCAATGAATAACACTAAAATAGACGATTTGTTGCATACACCAATAGAAAGAATACATTTTGGTTCTTTTTTTAGGATAAAGGGGAGCATGAAAGAATGTGTACGTTTGATTTAGATTTGAATTTTCTACTGTTAAATTAACAGCTGGTCGGATCTGATTGGTTTTCTTGCTATCATCTCTTGATATGGAAGCAGCAGCTCTTATATACAATGTTATAAAAGTAAGAATATTCAAGAAAATGTTATTTAATACAGTATTTATTTATATTAGTCAGAAAATAACTCTTAAATAATCAGCAGCATTATTACTATATTAAGATAGTAAATTGAAAAACTACATTAATAAAGGTAGTAAATTAAAAAACTGTATTAATATTGAAGAAAAATATGTACTCCCTATTACAAACTTCTCCATGTTATTTTATTGACTAAGAACAGCTGGTTCTTAAAACCAGCTGATTAACCCGTGAGAGGTCGCGTAGCTGTCTAAATGACCGGGTTTGTACTTCTTTGCGTAAAAACTATATTTATTGGTTGTCGGTATGGTCAGCCTTCACTTTGCATAACGCACCACATTCCAGGAACACTGTGACCTATTTTTCCATCCTTTACCTTCTTATTTCAATTTAGCGACAGCTTTTTGTCATCTACTGGTCTATTCCACCGTGTGCGACTCCAAATGGTTTAATTTTTTATTAGCTAGTTTTAATTCATTAGCATTACCATTAAATTATGTGCTGGACCACAGAGAAGTATTTATGTACCTCTCAGTGGCTCAGTGGAATCTAACAAGTAAATTATATAAAATGTTTTACACCATTTTTACCAATTTGAGCAATTAACAATTAATGCTTACTGAAATATGGCTTTTTAATTGTACCCAGTTGAAAAGACCATGTGTGACTCCTCACGTTTTCAATTCAGTGCGACCTCTGCCGGGTTAATTAACAGCTTAGTGAAATTACACTGGCCTGTTTATCCTATTTGCGTTAAACTGGCCTAGTGTGGTTGACCTGACTAGTTTCAAAACACAAACGTTGCGTAACACATGAAACCAAGCAACATAAGAGTTTATTTACTTATTGCTAAGCAGAAACTGACATTTTACCTTCAGAGACAGATCAGACTCACATTAGCTCGTAGTTTTTCCGAATAGCTTCAGGAATCTTGGGCTTAGTGACTCTGACAGAGTGGACCTGTAGGCCTGGCGACATCTCGTTCAAATCTCGCTGTAGAGCAGTCTTCAGGTTCTCATCAATTTGGTCGAACAAATCTATGTAAACCTGTCAATTCATCATTAGTGCAATTAAAATCTCATTCTATTACATCAACGTTGATGGTCTTGAACTTAAACAGAGGGCAAATATAACACTGAAATGAGCATGACTGCAAGCTTAAGGAATTGAAGAATGATCGATTTGATAATCCAAGAAAAATAATAAATACTGAACTAGCAGTTGTAGCATTCGACCTTTACACTATGGCACAGTAATATAACATTTTGATTTGCAAACAAAAGCAAGAAGCCTTCTTACATGGGAGAAAAGATGTTCAAAAGTCTACCCAACTACAGTAGTCGCGGTTAGTCTGGGCGCGCGGACCCTTGTGTACTAGTCGTGCTGAGAGTAACGGCTCGCTCATTCCCACAGCCTCGCTGAACAACCCCAGAGATCCGTGTGGGCCAGATGTTTATGGAAATGAGCAATAAACGCTCCCTTCTACACCCCCCGCCCTAGCGCGGCCGTGCGCCCAGGCTAGCTGCGACTACTGTACTTGAAGATCCCAAGACCTGAAGAGAAAACTTGAAAACTTTCTAATGGATCAAACATACTAGGCCTACTCATTAAAGGAATTCTTCAATCAAAATTGTTAAGCAAGATAAAAATTCTAATTACAATCTGTGTATGACACTATTGTATTTCCTAAAGAAAACTCAATAAATCAATTGATTCGTTAAAAAATTGGAATTCAATTGTTAACACGTTCGTTACCACAATTATATGGAATTTACGTTCGCATAGACCAGCGGCGCAATTGTGCGTCGACTTGTTTCTCACAATAGACCACCGACGCATATTTGCGTCAGCTGGTCACATTGAAATAGACTAACAACGCACATTTGCGTCGGTGTTCTAATGTTAATAAACAGCGTATTTCTTAGCAACGGTTTATTTTATAGCCCTGATTTTATCGTATCGGTCTTGAGGGATATCTGCCGCAAATGTGCATCGCTTGGTCTGTGGATATGACGATTGGTTGCGTCACACAACAGTTGGCAACATTGTTGTTTACATTGTGTATTCCGCGACATCACAGAACAGATTTAAATGTTCTAACTTTTGTACCAAATACAGGGTGTCTATAAAAGAACTCCGGGATTTTAAAAATTAATATCTTAATAACTGTAGAAAATAGCAAAATGTAGTTAATTTCTCTGAAACGAGTAGCTCATCAAGTTTTACTCATACCGATTGGGAATGTTTTCATCAACAGTTTGCTGCGCTGCGGAGCGTTGACCTTGAAACAACGTAGTGCGGCTGTCAGTGCTGTTTGGATTGCCGCGCTATGGCAACGCCGCAACAAAATGCTCAGTGCATTATCTGGCTAATAAAAACTAAATCTGTTTTTACGGTACAAATAAACTTTCGGCGTTTACTTTACTTCCAACAAGATGGGGCACCGCCACATTTCAGTTTGCGTGTGCGTGAGGCACTTGACGTTCGACTCGGCAACAGATGGATTGGAAGGGAAGGATCGATTCCATGGCCTCCAAGGAGCCCTGACATGACTCCGTTCGACTTTTTCTTCTGGGGGCACATCAAGAATCTTGTGTATGCGGAGAAAATTCATGATGTTGACCATCTCAGGCAACTAATAATCAATTGTGTGGCAACCGTCCCCCCAGACATGCTGGTCAGGACATGGGAAGAGGTGGAATACCGTTACGATGTGTGCCGTGCCACTAACGGCGCTCATATTGAACTTTATTAAATTGTTAAAAAAAACTTGAAAATGTAACCTTTCCAATCATGTATTAAACATGTATTTAAGTTTTTTACTTCAGCGTAATATTTTGCCTCAAAACCCCGGAGTTCTTTTATAGACACCCTGTACAAGTTTTATAACAAAATAATTTTTTTTGTTCGAACTTTTCCTTCAAACAACCAAATTTACAACAACGCTTACGTGCGTCGCCAGGTCTATTGAAACTAAAATGTAATCTTTTTAACTGTATTTCATTAAATAGACTGACCGACGCATACATGAGGCGTTTTAAAATTTTTTCAAAACGATAAATAAAAACAATATATATTGCTTATTAATTCATTTAAGGTTAATATGAAGTCAATTAGTCCATTTAAACTATATTTCTCTTTTGGTCTGTCGGCAATGTTATTCCTATATCACTTGGTCTGTAAGCAACGTCATGAGCATTCCTTTTGGTCTGTAGGAGTGACCGGACTGACGCATATGTGCGTCGCTCGGTAGCGAATGTGTAAATGTACCTACCTCATGAAGGGAATGCCCACTGCAGAATTGATTGAGCTCGTGATGAACTTTGTTGAAGATGAGAGTTTTGTCATAGTCAGCCGTGTAATTTCTCACGATATCGTATACTGCAAAACGTAATTGATCCATAATTAATCAAAATCAAAATAATAATCAAGTAATAATCAGTAAATCAAACTATCTAAAATTATAATTTTTATAAGTTACCCCTTAACTGTTTAAAAAGTTAAGCATGATTTAAAAAGTTTTAAATTATCGTTATTGAAAAGAGTTTTATTGTATTATGTTTAAAACTACGGAAAATACAATCTTAGGCCAACGTAACTATAATTGAACAAAGTATTACTTGCTAAATCCTTTACCAGAACGTTTATGAGGCGCTCAATTGTTGTAAGTAGGTAAATAGTTATTCCTAGATTAAATGAAAATTAGGAATTGGCAGAATAAGAGAGTTAGAATGATTCCAATTCCATACTCCTTTTATAAATAAGTTAACAACATTTACTGTAAGCTACTTCCCATCATTAGGGGTAGGACTACTGACCACTGTCTCGATTTAAAATGTTGACCACCTCGATTCGATCAAAATAAATCATCACACCTCCACTGGTCCCACAAGGTACATTTTTCACTTCATCTGTTTGCAATGTGACCTGAAAATCAAAATAGACAGTATATCATTATGATTCTATAGGGCCAATAGGGAAAGCCATTTCCGTAGGTGTCATGGTAAGACCTAGAACTGGGGCTGCTTCACTTTTTTGCTCTGATGTCGCCAGAGGCCAAAAACTGGAGTAAAAATCATCTGATTATGAAAACATTTGGTACATACATGTAAACCTTGTTTATTCAGACGAGTTTGAGAACCAGCATGATCGGACTATAGGAAAGGGGTTTAATTGGGTACAAATTGGTTTTACCATTTTTGACCCTAGAAACAATATTTTGCAATGTTTTATGAAGAATAAGCAAACTGGTGTAGTTTGCTTGTTTATTGGTAAATTTATTTATTTCATACCCAGGTATTAACATTGGTAAGTTAAGTGTTCCTTAAAAAGACACACTTTAGTAGTGGATGCAGCAAACCTAAGTACTCATTGGAATTAATGATACTTAAGAAATAAATCTGGCAGTTTGACAACTTTAAGAGCATATTTTAGTGAAAATCCAGCCGTGCTTAGATTGCAGTCTTGCTGCAGCGGGGGTGTTTGCATTTAACATGTCTATCCTAAAATATCTACTCAGTTTGTTGTTGGGAGATGTAGTTTTGACAAGACAGTTTTACCTGCACTGAACGGTATGTTGTGATGAAAGGCACCATCATATGGAACCCTGGGGGGCTTGTGTGAGACAGGAGGGCTCCACCCTTCAGACAGACAAATATATTACAAAAATTCAATGGTTTTAAAGGCTAATTCAATTTGAAGAATTAAGATTACCTTTAGCACAGAAAACGTACTACTATAACCCAGAATGCCAACCGCATGGTAAAAAGCATTAAGCGGTTTGAGAGAGCTTTGCCTGTCAATCCGTAGGCAGCGCCACCAGCGTTGCTATGCTATTGCATGGCGACGCTGGTGGCGCTGCCTACGGATTGACAGGCAAAGCTCTCTCAAACCGCTTAATGCTTTTTACCATGCGGTTGGCATTCTGGGTATAGTAGTACGTTTTCTGTGCCTTTAGGCACATGAGTGTCTATATGTAAAAAGTAAAAATGAGAACTGAATAATGTTTTCTTTGCCTCTATTATCTGTATTTATTTATGGATTGTGTCAACAATATGAGAATGAATCATGAATAAGTTGATAGGCTAATCATGTCAACAGATATCTTGTCAAATCATAAACTGAAGTTTTGGATCTTTTCTCTATGGTACCAACTTAGTAGAGCCTACTGAAATGACAGATACATTTTTATTTAAAAGTTAATGTTTAACCTCTCTGCTTATTTAACTAATATTTAACCATATGATTTTATTTACTTTTCTATAATAATATTATTCTTGTATTAGTGTCTTGATTAAAACAGTTTAGTTTCTTTTGATCTTTTAATTTCTTATTTAAATAAGAAATAGAACATGGCGCAGTCGAATGAAGAACCCGTATCCCTAAACATTAAGCCTCCTGAAGCCTTTTCCTTCAACCCTCAGGACTGGAAGACATGGAAGACTCGTTTTGAGAGGTATTATTCCCTTAGTAATTTAGCTCTACATTCTGGAAAGCATCAGATTGACATGCTTATCTACTGTATGGGGGAAAAGGGAGAGGACATACTTAATTCATTCAGTTTAAATGACAATGACAAATCTAATTTCAAAGCTGTTATACAGAAGTTTGACGATCATTTCCTTCCTAAAAAGAACTTAATTTTTGAACGGGCTAGGTTTCTAAAACTTACACAAGGTTCCATGCCGATTGAGAACTTTATCACAGACCTTCACAATCATGCAAAAAACTGTGATTGGGGTCAAATTGAAGAGGAGATGATTCTGATGGGTTTGATTATTGGTATGCGGGACGAAACACTAAGTGATCGTCTTCAACTTGAACCCGAATTAAAACTAAACACAGCTATAAACACTATCCGTAGATCTGAAGAACTATCAAGACAGAAACAAACTCTTAACTTGACTGACATAGCATTAATAAATAAAAATACTCAACATTTAATTAAGACAAACATTATTCCCAATAAATCAAACAATGATCAAAATTTTAAGCGGATTAATGACAATAAAAGCCTGTCCCATGTCGAAAAGAGATGTTTTTGGTGTGGTTCGACAGTTTTACACAAAAAATTCAACTGTCCAGCTAAACAATACAAATGTGGGTTTTGTAAAAAAGTTGGTCATTTTCCAAATGTTTGCAAATCAAACAAAGTCAGTCAAATTGAATATGATGATACTGACCTTGAAACACCCATTGAAAATGTTTGCTCGCAGTACATAGACCCTCAAACATTCATTGGCATTGTAGGAAAAAACTTGCGTGATGATCCATGGTCTGTAGTGTTAAATATGAATGACAGTGATGATGTTCTTTTCAAAATTGATACAGGAGCAGACGTAACGATTTTGCCTTCCGACATTAAACTGAATAAGAAAATCAGGCTCAATCCTACATCCAAAACATTTAGTGGTGCAAATGGTCAAGCTCTGTCAATTTTAGGAACTGCTACTGTAAAATTATCACATAATCAAAAAACATGTTATGAGACTATATATGTTTCTAAGGGCACTTCCCAGCCACTTCTAGGTAAACCTGCAATAACAAGTTTGCAGTTACTTGCTCGAATCAACGAAATACAGCCATCCAGTAATGACTGGTATGACAGACACCCCAAACTGTTTGAAGGCTTAGGTTCCATTGATGTCAAATACAAAGTAGAACTGAAAAATAACGCCAATCCATTTGCAATCAACACGCCTCGTCGGATTCCTCTTCCTCTTTGGGAATCTACTAAAGAAGAGCTTGAAAGAATGGTGTCAATGGGGGTGATCGCTGAGGTACACCATGCCACAGACTGGTGCTCTCCAATGGTTGTTGTGCCAAAGAAGGACTCTAACAAAGTTCGCATTTGTGTAGATCTTACTAAATTAAACAGATGCGTCAAACGAAGATACTATCCTATTCAACCCATCGACATAACACTTGCCCAAATCTCAGAAGCAAAATGCTATTCTAAATTGGATGCTAATAACGGATTCTGGCAGATCACATTGGACGAAGAATCCCAAGATTTGACAACGTTCCTGACACCGTTTGGACGTTTTAAATTTCTGAAACTACCCTTTGGAATAACATCTGCACCAGAAGTGTTCCAAGAATGCGTGAATCGAACCCTTAAAGGTCAAATGAATGCACTTGCGCATATGGACGACATAATTGTTTGGGGGAAAACTCAACAAGAACATGACTATTTCTTAGAAGAAGTACTTACCAAACTTGAAGGTGCTGGCTTCACCCTAAACAAAGACAAATGCTTGTTCTCTCAAACCTCGCTAACCTACTTAGGTCACCATTTATCTGAATCAGGAATCAAAGTCGATGAGACCAAAGTCGAAGCTATACGAAAAATGGCTCCTCCAACAGATATTTTAGGAGTTCAAAGGTTACTTGGTATGGTGAACTTCATTGGCAAATACATACCTAATAAAAGCCGGTTACTAAAACCCATTACTGACCTACTAAGTAGAAAAAACGAATGGTGTTGGGGTTGTGAACAACAAAAAGCATTCGATGAATTGAAAGAATTATTGGCTTCTCCACCTCAACTTGCATTCTATGATAAAAATAAACCGACTATGATTTCTGCTGACTCTTCTACACAAGGCCTGGGTGGAGTACTTTTACAACAACAATCAGATGGGAATTGGAAGCCTATTTCTTATATTTCACGCACTCTGAGCGAAACTGAACGAAACTACTCTAACATTGAACGAGAAGCTCTATCATTAACATGGAGCTGTGACAAGTTTAAAGACTACATTGTGGGCAAGCACATCACGCTAGAAACAGATCACAAACCTTTGGTAAGTATTTTGACTACTAAAGAGATCAATGATATGACTCCCCGTCTTCAAAGACTAAGACTTCGTCTGATGAGATATTCCTACAATGTGACATACACTCCTGGCAAACATTTAGCCACTGCTGATTGTCTCTCAAGAAGTCCTGTAGCAGCTAATGAGAGTTATGATTTAGATGAGGAAGTTGAACTGGCCATCCACACAGTAACAAGAAACATTGCCTATGTAACTGACATGGTTCTTGATAGAATTGCATCGGCACAGCGGGCTAGCTCAGAACTCAGGGTAATTAAATCTTACTGCTCAACTGAATGGCCTGATAAAACTAAGATTCCCGATAATCTTAAGCCATACTTCACAGTTCGGGATGAAATCTCTTTTTGTGACGGACTATTGCTTAGAGGAGAACGTCTCATAATCCCGACAACTCTTAGACAAGAAATGTTGACAAGAATACATACAGGCCACCTAGGCATAACGAAATGTCGACTTAGAGCCAACAATAGTATGTGGTGGCCAGGAATGTCACTTGACATTGAGAAATTTGTTAATGATTGTCCCAAATGTACTGAACATAGAACACAACATCATGAACCCCTTTTGCCCAGTGAGCTTCCATCTCGTCCTTGGGAAAAGGCAGCGATTGATCTCTTTAAACTTGAAGGAACATGGTTCGTAGTAATCACTGACTGTTTTTCACGTTATTTTGAAATAGCTACATTAAAACTTGAAGGAACATGGTTCGTAGTAATCACTGACTGTTTTTCACGTTATTTTGAAATAGCTACATTAAAGAACCTGTCAACTGCTGAAATAATCGAAAAATGCAAATCTGTATTCTGCCGTCACGGTATACCAATTGAGCTACGATCTGATTGTGGTACACAGTTTGCTACCAGATACACTGGTCTTGAAAACTCTGAATTCAAAAAGTTTGCTCAAAGCTATAACTTTAAACTTGTGACAAGCAGTCCAAGCTACCACCAAAGTAACGGTGCAGCTGAAGCTGCAGTCAAAATAGCGAAGAGTGTACTAAAGAAAAACAAAGACGACCCATATTTAGCCCTCCTAACCTACCGCAATACACCTCTATCCACGAGTGGATACAGTCCTGCTCAGCTAATATACAACAGATCACTGCGAGATAACCTGCCTGTTTTACCTAAAAAACTTGAAATCAAACCCGATCTCTCTCAACTAAAGGAAAAAGAAGATACTTACAAAGCATCTTACAAGAGAAACTACGATAGGCGCTACGCTACAAAAGAACTTCCATCGCTGCCTGTTGGTAAGAAAGTATGGATCCAAGACCTAAAAAGAGATGGTATTATTATCAGCTTAGGACAAGAGCCAAGGTCATACTGGGTTAAGACAGGAAACACTACGTTGAGAAGGAATCGACACCACCTTTTGCCTTACAAAGGTAATACAACCAAACCGAACAATCCTATTCCTTTATCCATCAAAGATACAACGTCAGATCCTCTGCCATTTACTACTGTTACTCAAAACAACTCTTCCCTATCAAATACTGCTGAAAGAACAACTACTGCACCATCTAGAATAACTCAAGATAAAAGTAAACCTTTTTCACGATCAACTACTCCCAATCAAGAAACTGCAATAAAACAATCATCAAGAGGCAGAATTATAAGACCTACGAAACGTTTTCCTGACTAAACTCTGAAAAGAAACTCAAAGGGAAAGATGTTTAACCTCTCTGCTTATTTAACTAATATTTAACCATATGATTTTATTTACTTTTCTATAATAATATTATTCTTGTATTAGTGTCTTGATTAAAACAGTTTAGTTTCTTTTGATCTTTTAATTTCTTATTTAAATAAGAAATAGAACAGTTAACTACAAAAGTTTTTCGTGTCTAGTTCATGTACGGTGACACTGGGCGCTAGTGTCAACGAAATTTTGTTTCTATTATTTTAGGGTTAATTTCTTGATTTGTGCTTTACTGTTTGGTTATATAACTAAGGGACAAGTTATTGTTTATGATTAGATCGTATTATTTGGTTAAACGAGGTTTTAAATTACTGGTACTGTAATAACGAGAAACAAATTGTAAACAAAACGCGAGACCTCTACATGAACCGTACAGAACTAACAATAAAATTGTCTTCAGCTGTTTCATAAAGATGAGAAATCTACTAAGGGAGTATGTTTTGAGGTAACTCACTAACTTGCGCTTTTGCAGTTTTAATTTTTATTACAACGTACCGGTAACCATTCTTTTAGGCCAAATTTGGTACCATAGAATTTTACACCAGTAGGTTACCGGGACATTACAATACAGCACTAATCTATTAACTGACTGATTAATTTGTTGCTAGCCCTACTTACTCTGTAATAAACTCCCACATGACCCTCTTCAATTTTATGGACGGAGAAGTTTATGACAACAACAAAGGCTAAAACCAACGCTCCAGACAACGCTATCATGTCCATCCTGAAAAAAGTAAAGAATAAGCATTTAAAGCAATTACAGTAGGAAAAATAGGGGTTAAAAAATCTACGTACTAGGTCATATGTGGACAGTTGGTTGTTGTATCATCCTTAATCATACATAGGCTATAGTGACTCAATTAATTTTTAACGTGTTAGCTGTACTGTAACATGTTAGATGTCTACTATAGTGGCAGATTCTGTACAGCACAGACAACTTTAAGACACAGTAACTGTTTTGCCCACAGACACATTGACGAATTAGTATGATGCAACCTATTGACCTCTTAAAATTTTAAGCAAGTTCAGCTATGGTTAGGAAATAGGATAGAATTCAACAATCTTGTGCACAAATGAGACAGTTAATAATCAAACATTATAACTTAGGCCTGCTAAATAATATTAATAGGTAATGGCTCTAAGTTATATTTTATTGTTTATAGACCTACAATAAAGGTACCTACATATATGAATCAAAGTTTTGTCCAAAATGTTAAGCTAGATGACAGGTTTAACTTGAGAAGTAACTAGGCCTATTATTGCTATCTTAACTGGGCTATGCTAATATCGATTGAAACTATCAAATTGAACATATCGATTAATAATCAATGGGCTATTTTTAACTATATTAATAATTATAGAATGAAACTTTCATAGCCTAACCTAACTAACTTGGAGACTTGTTGATTATATATTGAATAGGTATTCTTATTCTTATTAAAATGAAAAAATCTAATGAAGGTTTACTAATCGATATTAGCATAGGCCTACCCCAGTTAAGAAACTGTAAGTTATCCGATATTTTACAGGAACCTAGAATAGGCCTAGGTCTGTTTTTAGCTAATTTCCCTATAGGGAAGTAGCTATTACCCTAGGTGGCTCGGTAATATCTAGGCCTGGGAATGATTTACTTTCTCATTTTGATGTCCCCAGAGGCCAAAAACACCATTCGTTAAAATTTATATATATATATAGATTTATATCCTATATATATATATATATATATATATATATATATATATATATATATACGTCCATGAACGCGATAACTTGAGTAATTTTCAGGGCCGACTAGAGGGCGGGGCAGGGGAGGCCAGAGGTCAAATGTAACATTTTAACTTTAACTGTACCGGTACATGGAATCTGCTAATGTCAAAAAATTTTGTGATAGTTTTTGATATCACTAAGTAAATTTTTACTTGAATATTGAGTAATTCAAGTTTTGACTTGAATAAAGTTGCAACTGTGAGCACGTAAATTAATCAAACTAACAAGCATTTAAGAAATGTAGCCCCCCTCAGCCCAGGGGCCCCTGCCGGCTCTCGCCAGGCCTGGAAATTTGGTTTAAAGGTGTAAGGCAAGATAAACTTGAATGAGTTCGCAAACCAGCATAATCAGACCATGGGAACGGGGTTTTATGGGGCCCGGTTTAATAAATTAAAAATGGGTTTTCTCATTTTTTACCCTCAAAACACAAAATTACCTGAATTTCTCTCTAGACCTTTTTACAGAGCTTGAAAAACAAATAATTTGGTATATCAAAGTGTTTTTTTACAGTTATTACCTAACGGAGAAGATTTAACAAAATGTTTAATTTAAAATTCCTATGTTATTCCAGGGACGGCTCCAGGAATAATTTTTTGGGTAGGCCTTACAGGGATCAAGAATGACCTTGATTGGGGGACGAGAGGTTTAAAGGGCTTTCCCCGCAGAAAGGGGAATTTTAAAATTTATATAGGCCTAACAAAAAATTAGTTTAAATGCTTTCCTTTTATTTAAATAGGTATAATTAAATTTCTTTATTTATTTATAATTTTGAAATACTGTAGGCCTAAGTTATCAAACAAACTTTTAAGTTATCTCTGGAGCCGCACCTGTGTTATTCTTATGGAGAATATTGTAAAATGTGGTAGTTTGCTTGTTTATGGATATATTTTGATAAAACTTGGCAAATTTTTTCTTTTTGCATTAAGCTATTATTATTGTACTAAAAACCCCACAATAGTTTTAGTGATGTGACGAGTCGAGTATTTTCTTGACTCGAGTCAAACTCGACTCACGACTATGTCAACTCGAGTCAAACTCAATTCGGTATCGACCCGGCGACGACCTTGTGCTGGGTTGTGACACCAACTCCCACAACACTGCTTGGGGATGTAGGGACAACAATGCAGGAGGTAAGGCACTTCTTGAATACTTAGCCTCTATTCAGAACCAACTTTTCACAGCAGGTTTGGGGAATCTGTGATAGATCTTACTATAGCCAATGTGGGGATCAGTCACGGAATTCTGGATTGGAGGGTATCCCAGGAACCTTCCCTCTCTGACCACAGACACATCATGTTCAACATTGGCAACTTTTCCTTGGAAAAGATTGAGTTCAGGAATCCCAGAAAGGCGGATTGGGATATGTACAGATCAACTCTTAAAGAGCACATTGAATGCTTTGATACACAGTTCCCTTGGGTCAGAGACACCAACACACTAGACCTTGCCTCTGGGTGCTTAGGTGAGGCCATTGTCTCGTCCTTTGACGAGAGCTGCCTGATAACGGTGAGGAAGCAGGGTAAAGTGAGTTGGTGGACCACAGAGTTCGCCAGCCTGAAAAAGAGAGTCAGGACTCAATTCAGGTGGGCGAAGAGGACAAATAATTGGGATGGCTACCATAGATTGCTAACCCAATATAATATTGCAGTAAGGAGGGCCAAAAGGCTCTCATGGAAACATTTCTGTAGCAAGCTGGAAAGTGTTAGAGATACATCCAGGATATACACTGTCCTAACAAAGGACAACTCCTCCAAGCTAGGCCGCCCCAAGGAGCCTGGGGGAGACATGCTGTATGAACCTAAGGAAGTGCTAAGGCTCATGGCGGCCACCCACTTCCCTGGCTGCATCATCCCAAGTGAGCCATTGGAGCTGGAGGATGAGGAACAAGCTGTTGCAAGGGCAAACAACACTCGGTGGAGGGTTGCGTGCCACATTATGACACACACTCGTGTGGGATAGGCCATAAGGTCACTCATCCCATACAAATCACCTGGACCTGATGAGGTCTTACCTGTCTGTCTCCAGCAAGTTATTGATATATTACTTCCCGCAATGAGTAAGTTGTTCAGGGCCAGTTTGGCCCTGGGACACGTTCCTCCGGCCTGGAGCATTTCAAGGGTGGTCTTCATCCCTAAACCTGGCAAGGCTAGTTACACGGATCCCAAGTCCTTCCGTCCCATCTCTCTGTCCTCATTCCTGTTGAAGACCCAAGAGAAACTGGTGCTTAGGTATGTGGGGGACACAGTCCTCAGAGTCAATCCCCTACATAGAAATCAGCATGCCTATACCCCAGGAAGATCCTGTGACTCTGCCCTACATCACCTGGTAAGCAGAATCAACAAGGCATTTGAGTTCAAGGAGATTGCTCTCGGGGCGTTCTTTGACATCCAAGGCGCCTTTGACAACACTGAAACCCAGGCTGTCATCAATGCTGCCAGAGCTCGTGGATTCCATGAGGTGGTGTGCAGGTGGGTAGAGTCTCTACTTAGGAGGAGGAAGGTAAGACTCTCTCTTCACAATGAGGTTCTGGAGGCCAGGACCACACGAGGGTGTCCACAGGGCGGTGTACTCTCTCCTCTTCTCTGGAACCTTTTTGTGGATGACTTAATTAGATCTCTCAGTGACAGTGGTGTATTCGTTCAAGGATATGCGGATGACATTGTGATACTGGTTATGGGTTAATTGAACAACATGGCCTCCGACCTCATGAACACAGCCTTGAGGTCAGTTGGACAATGGTGCACAGAGGTAGGCCTTTCTATCAACCCCTCCAAAGTGGCGGTTATCCCCTTCCCGAGGAGGCGCGATCTAAATGGCATAGGACCTCTGAGAATACAAGACACAGTGCTTGAAATGCAGAATCAGGTAAAGTACCTGGGTGTGGTATTGGACCGAAAGCTGCAACGGGGGCCACAACTCCAAAAGGTCATTGATCGAGGTAAGTGGTCACTCATGGCTTGTAGACGGATGGTGGGAGGAACCTGGGGGCTCAAGCCGGTGCTCATGCACCGGCTATTTGTCTCCGTGGTAAGGCCCGCCATGACTCGTGTGGTGGCCCAAGATGGACTCGGTGTAGGCGGTGAGAGATCTGGCTGCCGTCCTCCGGGAGCCTCACTGGACTGCCTTCTCAACCTCACTCCGATTGACCTGCATGTCAAGGCCACTGCAAGGAGGACTCCCTACAGACTCCAGTGTGAAAACCTTTGGTTGGATGTTGGAGGATCCCGAGGTCACTCTCGGATCACTCAGCAGGTAAGAGGGGAGGTAATGGACATGCCCTCGGATCACATGCCGACTCGATTCTTCTTCGCCAGACCATTCACTGTCCTTCTTCCGTCCAGGGATGAGTGGATGTCCGGTGGGAATCGTCTTCCACAAGGCGACCTTGAATGGTACACTGATGGTTCAAAGGTAAGAAGTGGGACTGGGGCTGGAATTCATGGAGTGCAGAGGGGTGGACATTTGTCTTCCTATGGGCACTCACCCAACTGTGTTCCAGGCCGAAATGACTGCTATAATGGTATGTGCTAGGGAAAACTTGAGGCTAGGCTTCAGGGACATCAACATTTCCATTTTTACAGACAGCCAGGCTGCGCTCAAAGCGCTCGACTCCTATGAATTCAATCCTAAGGTGGTCTGGGACTGCCTTTCTGCGGTATGTGACCTGGGCAGGCGCAACAAGGTAACACTCTGTTGGGTTCCTGGGCACTCAGAGATAGAAGGGAATGTGAGGTGGCTGACAGGCTAGCAAATGTCGCGTCAGCCTCAGACTTCGTGGGACCACAGCCTTTCTGTGAAATCTCTCGTGGGCATGCATGTCACTCAGTCATGTCATGGGCTCAGGAGGAACACAGGAAAAGATGGGTTAGGCTTCAGCACCATAGGGTAAGTAAGCTCACCCTCTTCTCCCCTTCCCAGACGGTCGCCTCCAATGCTCTACATTTAGACAGGAGGCAACTCAGACAGATCACAGGAATGGTCACTGGACATGGCTTCCTGTAATTGCACCTGCATCGCTTGAGGATCCACAATGGTGAAACTGCGTGTAGGAAATGTGGGCAATCAGAAGAGTCTGCTGATCACCTACTCTACGACTGCACAGCTCTGAATGAGGTAAGGGACAGTACTCTTGGTGCAATGACAAGGGGCAGACACCTTCCTCAGGAGGAGCTCATAGACAGGATGCTGGAGTTCATTAAGCAACTCAGGTTTGACGGACTCTGAAGTACCATGTGGGGAGCGCAAAAAGCCCATCAGTGGCTGACGTGCAATAGGACAAGGGCCGCCCCTACAGAATCAATCAATCAAATCAATCAACTCAGTATCATTGTGACACTTCGGCTTCCATCGGTCGAGTTCGAGTCGAGACCCGCAGCGCAGCCAATAGTGTTTACGTTTTGCGAGTCAACTCGTTACGTCCCGAGTTCGTAAAGCTTTCTCCGTATGAGTTCGGTTTCTTGACTCGCTTTGAGGCTGTGAGCCAATAGCGTTTAAGTTTTGTGAGTCGGACTCGTAACGTTCCGAGTTCGTGTAGCTTCGGCAATCTCCGTACGGGTTCGTACCAACTCGAGTTGGGAATGAGATGACTCGACTCGGGTCTTGACTCGAGTCAACTCGACTCGCCAACTCAACTCGTCACATCACTAAATAGTTTCCTTACAGCATTAAACCAAGGTAGTACTCGTTCAACCTAATGTTATTTAAATAGATTTAATTGATAATCAATTCAGACAAATGGAAATTCGCTTGGTCGGCAGGTTTGCTGCAGCAGGGGTATTGCTATTATTGACTTCACTTAACAAACGCTTCTAATATAGCCTAATTAAAATGTACGTCTTAACTAATTGTAAAATTTGAACAGATTGAAAAGAAATACACGTAAAAACTTGATAAGTTAACAAACATAACAGGTAGGCTTACAGTTTCTTAACTGGGCTATGCTAATATCGATTGAAACTACGGTATCGATTCCATTCGTAAATCTTCATACGATTTTATCACCATCAGCAAGTTTGGTTGGTTAGGTTAGGTTAAGATAGTTTAATTTGATAATAGCCTAAATATATTTAAAAATATCGATTATTAATCAATATTATAAATTCGAAAGTTTCAATCGATGTTAGCATAGCCCAGTTGAGAAACTATACCCAACATAACTTATTTAAGTTAACTTATTGGTTAAAAAACTAAATAATTCTAGTTAGTAGGGACCGACCTAACCTTAAAAAATTATAGGGGCCTACGCCTATGAGAAGTTCAGAACATAAGTTTATAAGTTTTTAGATTATAATTTTATCGGTTAATGAATGTATAACGAAAAAATAGCCTAATGCAATAAGTTTAATCTAGGTAAATTTTTTAGTAATAGTATAAACTAGGCCTAACCTCAACTTATGACTGATTCTAGTGACGCTGTAGCTGTAGGTCTGTGTGTATTGTGTTGTACTGTACTGCTAGCGCTAGCGCTAGCTAAGCTACTACTGCACTACTTCTACTGCAGTACTGCTACTGCTACTGCTACTGCTAAGTGCTAACTGCTGTACTGTAGTGTACTCGTACTCACTAGTCACCCTCACTCACTTCCCTAGTTCCCTGGCCGACTGCGGGTGCGGACTGACTGGCCATGGCCACTGCTGAGTGCTGAGTGCTGGACTGAAACTGGAGGACTGGAGACTGGATGGAGGGAGCCGGAGCTGGCGTGAACAGTGTTGCCACTTTTGGGGATTTTTCTAAGCCTTGGGGATTTTTTTGGCGGATTGTGTCTGTTGGAGGATTTTTGGCGGATTACTGGGATGTTATCGAATTTATTGGAGAATTGTTATTTTGAGTCAGAAATAAGGTTAATATAGTTAAAGAGGGATTTCAGACAAATAAAACCGCGGAATGGCAGAATAGATGTTGCAAACAGTTTGTTATCAATATTGTCCAGACATTTAGTAGGAATATACAACATGACTCATTTTGTAATATAGGCTATTATAAATGTATGATATAAAACTAAGAATGAGGGGTAGAAAGTCAGTGATCAATAGATCAACCTTTAACTGAGGGGGAATCACTTAAGAAGGAAATCTGAAAATGTTATCAGTCCCAATCCTTTGTACCTACTTTTATATAGTACTGTAGTAGTTACTATACATTTCATATGGAGTGAATAAATTTATGTACCGTACGTTTAAATTATATATTATAATCATTGGTACCATGGTAGGCCTACCGGTAGTTGAAAGGAGGTTTTTATAGTATTTGCCGTTTGGATGGAGGAGAGTTGGGGATTTTCTTTAGATTTTTATGGCTTGGCGGAAAATTTGAGGATTTTTGCTTTAGCTGGGGTCCTGGGGATAAAATGGGGATTTTTCCTCGTCAGCACATTTAATATGGGGTGAATAAATAATGTATGTATGTCATAGTGTAATATAATCACGGAGAGTGAATTTTTACCCACACACTATGGCATAGGTAGGTATGAATTCGGGATATTTGGTAGTTAAATGGGATTTTCGTAGAATTTGGATGATGGATGGAGGAAAATTGGGGACTTTCTATAGATTTTTATGACTTGGCGCATGATTGGAGGATTTTTGCTTTAGCTGGGGATAAAATGGGGATTTTTTTCTTAGTCAGATGGGGAATTGTCACAGGTCCAGGGTGGCAACACTGAGCGTGAAGCTGAAGCTAGATTCAATTCGATTCAATAATGATTCAATCTTTCAATAGTTTCAAATCCACTTCTTCCACTGAGCGGATGTGCGCTTGCTTAGTCTAGTCATAGATAAAACATACTCCCTTTCTTCTTTCTTGTGTTGGTTAGTCTATGGTCTAGTCGACTTCATAACACAACTACAGTACTTTGGTTTCGATTCGACCAATTTGTCTACTAAATAATGATTTTTATGATTTTGAATTAACATAATTTTGAACAGTTTGACGTTTGACAATAATAAATAAATAAACTTATTAGGCCTGTATGTTGCAAAGAAATGATGAAATGCGTGCGTCTACTGTCTCCTAAATGAGTAAGTTTAGCGAGAAAATGGTAGGAGTAAATAAGTCTTAAAATTGCATCTACATTCTAATGACCACACAAAATACATAGTTTTCTTATTCTAAAATTCTCTGCCATTTTTTAAATAATTGAATCGATATTTTTACTTTCTCCCCCTATACCATAAAACCATTGCATATGGAAAAAGTATTGTTTTCGTCAAAATTTTCGAGTTTGAGTGGACATATTCGTTTTGGGTCCCCCTGGACCCAAAAAGTGGTTTTCGAAGTGATGTGTGTATGTCTGGATGTGTACAGAGCTAGGGACTACACCTGTGGTCCGATTTCGATGAAATTTGGTATGTAGGTTCTAATCCATGGTATCTCCAGGCGTTTTTTCATTTTTTTAAATTTTTTTTTTTTTTTGGGGGATTTTCCCATAAAAAACCGGAAAATCAGATTTTCTCAAAAATGGCCCGAACGATTTTGATAAAAATTTAGTATGTTTGTAGCCCTTTAAATTCTGCACAAATTGGTTTAAATCCCATTTCTGTAAAAATTACTGTTCAAAAGTTATTGTAAATTATGTTTTTTTCCCATAAAACCCCATAAAATAACGAAAAAATAGGACTTTAGAAAAAATCCTGTTTTGATTTAACATCCTTACAATTTTGATGGTTTTTTTTCTTTTGAAATTTTTGATTTGTAATGGGGATTTCCCCATAAAACCCCATAAAATAACGGAAAAATAGGATTTTCCCAAAAACGGCCCGAACGGTTTTGATAAAAGTTTTTTATTCTGAACAAAATGGTACAAATCCCATTTCTGTAAAAAATTACGGTTCAAAAGTTATTGTAAATTCTGTTATTTTCCCATAAAATAACGGAAAAATCGGATTTTCCCAAAAATGGTCCGAACGATTTTGATCAAATTTTAGTATGTTATAGTCCTTTGAATTCTGAACAAAATTGTACAAATCCCATTTACTCTCACCGCTTACACATGATAAAGGTTGTTGACAAACTGATGGGAGAAAGTATGTGTAAGAATGCTGATACAGTTTATTTATGTTTTTAATTGTCTGTTATAGTTCGGCCGCGTAGAAAGCGACCTCCTCCAGCATTGGCGCGCAGGTCGTTTTCTAAGCGGCCGAACTATAGAATGTAGATGCAATTTAAAGACTTATTTACTCTTAAGCATTTTCTCTCAAACTTACTCGTATAGGATGTATAACGCAAATCAGTTTTCTTAGTTTTAACACGCCTGCTAAATTAGTAGATTTAGAGAAAAATGCAAGGAATAAAAAATAAATAGGGGTTTCCATAAGAAAAATCAAAGTTGGTGGCCATATTGGAAAAATTGTTGCTAAAATTATTTTTCCAACTTGACCAAGATTTTTTAAATAAAAAATCCAAGACAATTTAACATTTTTTTTTATATCTCTAATAATTTTCTAATAAAACAGTTGGTACACTTATATCAATCACCCACCAGTACCACATTTTTTTCTATCAGGGTTCATGCATTATACATACATTTCCTACGGAAAATAAGCTGTAAAAACCATTGTGTTTAGAAGTAGTAATTGTTGAGGGATGAAACAAAAAATACATCATATTATAGTAAATGTGTTGTAATACATTCAATATTTACAATACATAAATACAACAATGTTATAAATTCTCTGATAAAATAATAAATCTTGTCTCACTAGTAATAATACTGTTAGGTATGACAACAAGTGCTGTTTAGTGGTAACAATAACAATAACAACATAAACACATCATACTAATTTAATATCAGTCTAATTACATTTCTTACAATAATTTTACATAATATTATTCTCCTTTGCAAAATGTGCTCTTCCTCTACCTACTGCAAAATCATCACACGGCATATATTGTTCTTTAGCTGAGTGGGGACATTTAAACAACATTAAATAAATGTATTGGACGTTGTTATTTGAAAACTAATACCTTAAGTGTTCTACTTTTTTAAGTTTTAAGTGACTGATTCATCAAGTACTACAACTCAATGGTGTTTTAAAACAGTAGAGTAATTAGGCAGTAAGTTTGTACCATTCTCTACTATGTCATAAAAATGCTGATTGTGTGAAAACAATTATTATGTTGTGCAATGTAACATGCATACCAACATAAACTTTATGTCATGACAACATAACGTTTTACAATCGTTGATTTGTGAAGTCATATACAAAACATAGAGTAGTATACAGATTTAAAATCTACCATACTTGATATATTTTACTTTAATAAAAGTGGTGACGACAGCACAATACTGTACTTTTCACATAACCACTCCAAGATGTTAAAGGTATACTTCAATTGACAAAATCCACTTGTAATAAGTGGAATTAATTATCAGTATTAATTATTATTGTTCAAATAATACTTGATAATATAAACATATAAATATTAGGTTTACATTGGTTTAATTTTATTTTATCTAACAACCACATACAAATAAATAAATGGGGAGGAAAACCACAGTAACTACAAATACAAATATTTAAATTTGGCACAATTGACTAGTTTGACTAATCAGGTACTAATCTGTCAACAGAAGTCTCATAACATAAGGAACAAAAGGTAGTCACTACGTAGTAATTTTTTGTAACATTTCCAAAAATAAAACCCATATAATAGAATATTCTATCTTAACTTACGTAGTATTTGTTGGATGGAAATGTCATTGGCTAGCTAACATACTGACTGTATTATAAGCAAATAATCAGCATAACTGAGATTGGTTAAACAATTATTAATCAAATAATAACAGTATGTGCTTGGATATCTAATACCCAATGCATTGACGTATTTGAAATATCACTCTGCACATAAATAGATCCATCCCAGCCTCACATCAAACTTAAATTAATACATTTAAACATTGTTGTAAATCTAAACACAGTTGTAAATATTGTTGGCCACCAATCATACCCAAGCTTGAAAGGCAGTCTTACTAAACTAAAACCGTAAGTTTATAATTAGCCGATTAAATTATACAAAAATAAATGGCACATTGTAGAGGGTAAATATCTGTTATCATACGGTTGACAATTTGGTTCTTGGCACATTTTTATCACAAAACTACAACCATCAGAGATCGAACATATTGGAGGAGTTAACTCAACAAGAGTTATAAAAACAATTACAAAATGTGTCTGTGTTTTTTCTTGTAGGTTTTAAAAACACCCATACTCTGATGATGATGATTCCACTATACAGACTCCTCCTCATGGTTCCACTTGACAGACACTCATCAAGCTTCCTTCCTCCTGATGGTTCCATTTGACATACACTCCTCAAGCTTGCCTCCTCCTGATGGTTCAACCTCACACACACTCCTCATCGCTAGACTCTGTGTTGTAGCCGATCTGCTCATGCCACCAGTCACACACCTCCAGCATCACGTTGGGCACTTTGAGAGCACTCGTCTTGTTTAGAGTTATGTCTCTCAGCAGAAGTCGATTGGCTTCCGAACCCTCGGACACGTGAGGTAGATTCTTGTTGGAACCTGCAACGATGGAATTTGTTGATTAGTATAGTTTTTAAATTAAATGGCTTTACCAATTTTAAGTGCTACTTCAAGGTCAAGTTCTTTTTCCTACTGAGTATCAAAAGGTAGATTAGTTATGTAGACATACCGTGTGGGCGGTTGTTCCTCTTCTTGTTCTGCTGACGTTCCTTGTCAGGACGACTCTGAGGGTCGGAGAGTGTAGGGACAAGCAGCTTGCGTCCACTGCCACTGCCAACACTGTCTGATCTCGGGATCTGCTTGCTCTTGGCCCTGTGTCTTGGTCCTTCAACCTCCTACAACAGCAAATATGACTTAGACTCGTCTCTAACAAAAACAGAATAATCAAAAGTTAAACCAGTACTTAAAGAAAGACTTTAAGTTTCATTAGGTTGTCATTTTCTGGGGTTAAACTTTGAAATGCTTTGCCTCTAATTTTATTAAAATATTGGTCTTTGAGAAAGCAGACAGTATAAACCGATGAAAAGGGTTTATTGACAAGCCAAAACTTTGAATTTTAAGTATAGCTATTCACCAAGTCGGGTGTAGTGCTAGCCTTTACTTTTACTTGTTAGGGCACTATAACTTTCAAACAAAACTTTTCCAAGGAATAATATTTACAACATATTTAAACCAGTATTACTGGTAGGTAAAGCGACACCGATAACCATTTCCCGCGATTGCGTCAACACCCGTGAGCATATTTTGTGGTTTAGGCAACACCGATAACTGTTTCCCACGATCGCGGCAATACCCGTGAGCACATTTTGCAGTTTAGTCGACAACAATAATCGTTTCCCGCGATCGAGGCAACACCAGCGGTGGTCTTTCGGTTAAACTACGTTTGCGATGGCCGGGCTCCTCCGCCTTGGGTCAATTCCTGGAGTTTTCCAGGATATTTCAAGGTAAGATAAAATTCCCGAAGGTTTCCCTGTTTTCCCAGATTTCCCGGAGAGTAGACACCATGTACTGTAAAAAAACATTATAAAAAAATATCAGTGTTATGTCTTATAATCTCTCATTTGTATCTATTAGCCCCTGGACTCCATTAACTTACTCAGGTAAGCTAGTTGAACTTTTTTTTAACAATTTCCTAATCAACCAATTAGCTTTTCTTTAAACTGGTTTGTATTTAAACTCTTATGGGGGTTTGACCACTTGCCTCAACGTTTTATGATAAACAGTAGAAAATTATCTCCAGGGTTGATATTGGAAATGTAAATCATTCAAAGATATTACCTTGGGGTCTCCTTCGCTGTCCTGGTCTTGGATTGTGTCTTTGGCCTTCTCCTCGGGATGGTCCAGCGTCGGTCCCACGACCAGCTCGTTGGTAGCTCGCAGTCCTGCGATCAAACTGTTCTGCTGCTTCTGCAACACAACGGTTATGTCAGAATAGGGAACAGCTGATTGTGATAACAAATGTAGGTGTTCTTCCACCTACATTGCTCGAGGATCCTTGATGGGAGCACAGTATGTAGTGTGGACAGTCTGACGAGACTGTAGACCATTTATTTTATGCACAGCTTCAAATGAGGTAAGGGAAAGCACTTTTGGAACTAAGGCAAACCATGGACTCTTTTCTCAGGAAGAGCTCATAGACAGAATGCTGAAGTTCATCAAGCAACACAAGTTTGAAGGACTCTTGGGCAGCAAATGGGAATCACAAAAAAGTCCACTGATGTTTGACACCCCTTAGGTAGGTTTGCCCCTAACTCAATTAAATGCCCTTTCTTCAAAGTAAGTCGTTAGTTTCAAAATGAAGCTATCCTATTTTGGAACTAGCCAAAATTATTGCTCTATTCCCCTACAATACAAATTTTTAGTTTTGGTACAGTTTTTAGTTTCTATTGAATAGTACTTTCCTTGGGTTAACTAGACTATGACTAGTTTACAAATAACCTAGCTTCTTTTCACCAAACAAGGTCAGGATAGTGGTTATTGTTGGATTGAAAATTAAATGCACTAAATTGAAATGGTGGATTGATTTTTGACGAATACACCAATTAATGAAATTACAATCCCACCTTTGAATCCAATTTTTGATTTTGTTGTAAAGCTGTAGTAAATATGACATTTTAAAGATTTGTAAACCAAAGATGAGTGATTGTTTAGAATTTAGGACAGATTATCAATTATTATAAAAAGTTAACAAATCAGCCATTATTGATATATTGTTATAAGATATTTATTTGGATGTTAATTGTTTAAGAGCTGTGTAAACAGCAAGCTTTACACGGCATCAGTCTCAGTCAACTATTCCAAACTTACATTTGTTGCTCTTATCTTTTTCAAGCAGCCTTCCAGCCAAGTTCTGATGGTTTGCTTTGCCACTTCTTCTTCAATGATGTATTCAAACTCCTCTCTCGCCAGTAATTCTTCTAGTTGCAGAGCTTTTCTGATGTCTACTGATCGGTAGGACAACATACTGCAAACACAAAGTTCAAGAGGGCTGTTACGATTAACTTACAATCACACACTACAAGAACGTACGTACCACAGAATCCAAAACTCTCACTGAGCCATGTTTGGGTCAACTAGTATCTAAACCAGAATATAGTAACGCTGCTGTCGCTGGCTGGCGTTCTAGGCCAGAAATGGCGGAGTTGGGAGAGAGAACTGACTTCACTACACCGTTGTTACCACTTACCAGCACTCCTTGGTTCTGGTGGGACACTAGCTAGATTCAAACAAAATGCTTTTATTGGCTCAGGGATAGTTTTCGGTTACTATTCTGACTATTCGGACTCTATTCTGCATTATAACGCAATACACAGTAAGCAATTTCCTTTTAAAAATAATTAAAAAAACAAGTTTGTCAGCAAAATACAAGTTTAGAAACTCTAAAGCATTTTAGTATCTTGGCTTTTGGAATAAAAATTCAAATCATAGTAATCAAATTTGCAAAAAAAGTACAAACTTTGAGTATATAAGAAACTAAAGACTTTTTCCCTAAAATACAATCAAAAGAGTAGGCTCTATCACATGAGAAAATCTTTTGTTCAAATAACACAATAACCGTGTTTTGGTCCAATTAGTATTTATTGAATTTCATAAGTAACATTCTTCGTTCTATAAATGCTAATTGCAAACATACGAGTTTGAAACACATTTCTCTTTGCTTACCCTTTTCTTTTACTTTTCCTTTCTTCTTCAAAGCTACCAAACACAATAATAATAAACATTCACCTTTATCTGAAATAGTCACTAAAGCAGCAATATCTTTGTTGGAGTATATTATCCAATGTTTAATTTTACTATCCTTTTTGATGAGTTTTTGATATTGAGTTGTTTCAGGGATCATCAAATACAATTACATCAAATACAATTTATTATGTTTTAAACAGAAATATTTTTTTTTTCACATTAATATAATGAATACAAAGTTGAGGTAGTTAGTTATACATATTCTAAGACTAAGAATAATTCAAACTTAATAAGCAGTATTGAAACTTACATAAATAACTAATATATAAATAAATTAGGAATAACTGGAGAAGTTGTTACAGTAATTACTTGAGAACATCGTGGAATGTGACATCCTCTCCGTTGTGCAGCCGCTCCAACTCATAACACATATGTTTGAATAGCAGACGATCTTTCTGAGGGTCGACTTCTAACCTCCCTTGCAACAGTCTTAAGATGAATCTCACCTGGAGATGGATTTATAATGGTTAATTAATGTCAAACAGGCTATTCGTACGGAGGTCAATGCATGCGTTACCGGCAAAATAATCAGGCATTCTATACATTGCCTAAAATGAGTCAGGTATATAATGTGCTGAAATAAAGCACATTATATATACTCTGTATAGTCATTTAATAGAATGTCCGTTGGCACCACAGGTAGGTATGAACTATTCAGAAAAGTTAACTAATCATACTAAAATATGAAGGAATCACAAATTTTAAGGACCAAACTGAGGCAAACTCTGACTGCTTGGCCTTATTTTGACTGGTCTGTACAACTAAATAACGTGATTTTTCAGCTATTTATAAATTGGTTTGTTTCTACTTGGTGTTGTTTGATAGGAAATTTAAATACTATATAATAGTGTTCTTGGGATTTTTTCATCAAAATTTGATGAAAAAAATTGGATGATTAATCGGCCATTTTTATGTAACTTATTAAAATTAAAATGGCTGCCATAGACAAAATAAAAAAAAATATTCTTTAATGATAATTTTTCCTCAAATAGCTTATGACTCTTTGAAATTTTATATCAAATTTCATTAAGATATCTTCAATAGTTTTTACGGTATAAATTAAAAATACAAAAACAAAATTACGGATCTCGCTAATGTTTTAGGAAAAAAATGTTATACTTGATTTTGGTTTTAATTTGATCAAAACTATTCCTACATTTTCGGTAGGCCTACTTACTTAGGAGACACCCTGTACAATGTCACTGAAAATAAGATGCCAACTTTCATTCCTACTTGTCACATATAGACTCACCCGTCTAACAGGGATCACCCCTCGCTGGTGAATGTCGACAACATTCCAAGTGTTCTGGAAGTTCCTGATGTCTGCGTATGAGAGTAGGGCGTCCTCCTCGTTGGAATAGAACAGCGAGAAGTTCTCCATGATGATAGCTGTATAGAAGCGTTTTATATTAAGTCCTTGGGCTATTGCTATGTTGAAGGAAACAGTACTTTTATGGGGAAAACCAAAGACTTTGGGCCCAAAGCAGAGATACCGTGGGTTCGGATTTTGGTACATGCCACTACTTTTTATCAGTACAGTTCATCCTTGTAATGTACTGTCTCCCTCCTTGCTTTGCTCAAAACACAGGCCCCTGTGGCCCATGTAGACAGGTAAATGCTAGCAAAAGAAGGCCGCCAACCTCTTTAAACAAAACATTGCAAAAACAATGTTGAAGACTAGTTTAGTAACACTTGACTATTGAAGTTAGAAACATCGGCAATCGTTAAAAACATATCAAAATCTTCAGTTACAAATATTTATGGAATCAAACAAAAACCGTTGCAAACTGTACTACGGTAAGAGCAACCAAGTCATATCAGTAACTGCCTGAAACTTGTTGCAACTTGGAATTCTAGTGCTTTGGAATTTTCAGTATTGTAAATTAGATATACCGATAGTTTTGATCAATAGCTGAGTAATCTAAGTCTTTGTTTCCCGGCCAGGAAACAGCACTGTGGATCGATGGTTCAAATTGTATCTTGGTTAAGTCAAGTGTACAATTTTCATGAGTGGTTGGTGTATGGCAGAGTTTGGTAGGAGAAGCCTACCTAAAATGAAAGGCACTCGACTCAAGTGGATGTTGATGGGGTAGGTGGAATTTGTAAATTATTGCAACCCTGATCAGGCGTTAGCTACTTTTTGCCCATCATTATTATGTGTTTACCAAAAATCTTTATATGAGAAGTGTTTTTGTTTTCATAAAGCACACATGTGAAAAGATGAGCAAAGGCACAATAACATCCATAAATAGTCCCTGGTGTCAAAAGGGTTACAGCAAACCTATTCTTCCACATCTTACCGACAAGCAGGTTGAGAACTATATAAGTGATGATGACGTAGAAGGAGCAGAAGTAGATGAGAGATGCAATAAAGTTGCCGCAGTCCGACTCCCAATAGTTATTGGCGGGGGTGCAGTACGGGGGCTGGATCATGCAATCATGCATAATTTTGTTCCAATCTTCTCCAGTGACGATGCGGAACAGCATTGCCACTCCTGTCACTGGAGAGCCAAAGTTGGCTCGTCTGAAATCAAACATTTGCTCAGGTTAATTCCAAAAAATATGAGAATATCAACACAGCCTTGTTGAACAACCCATTTGATTTAAGTGTGATAAGGATAATTTATTGCATTTACATGGTTTTAGAAGCCTGCCTTATTTGTATGATCAGATTAATACAATTTTGGAAATAAAGTATTTGGGGCAAACAAGACAGTACAGTCATACAAAAACATAACATACCTTCCAATCCCTTCTCCATACTTCACAGTGCCAAAGAGTATAGACCCAGCAAGGGCATAGAAGAAAACCAGCAAAAACATTCCAAAGATGATGAAGAAACTCTTGCATACAGACACTCCTACAGTCAGCATTAACATTTTGAGCGTTGCATGTTTGCCAGTGATGGTGAAGAACCTGAGAATCACCACGATGAAACCCACGGTGTACGACAAGTTGTTCTGTAACATAGCAAAGTAACATATTAGTAACATATATTAGAGTATCAAGTGTAGAATATCTTTACTTTCATTTGACGCAGAGTAGTAGGTAAAATCACAATACAAAATCTTGGAACCAAACACTGAGGCTCAATAGAAGCAAGCTGACAAGTTAGACCTCAGAGAAGTAAGGTAAGAGGAAATACGCCTATGGGACAACCGTGAGGTCTGGTATTTTGTGCTGGCCTATACTTGAGAAGAGCTAGAAAGTGCCCAAACGTCGAGTACTGTGTGGAAATTCCTATCGCACATAGCACAGGGTCTTCTTCCATTGAGAGCGTTGTACTACATTAGGGTAAAGGGGAAGTGTTGGACTTTGCCTTAGACACCAGCATTAGTGCTAGACAATATTCTCTGTGCCCAGACTTTGCCAAGTTTGACTCCAACCACCATTTCCATTACTATTACCAGCTAAGTGGGGATAAAACTAGAACAAATATGGATGTAAGATGAATGTAGAATAGCGTAGGAAGCATTGTGGAGCTTTTCTACTGACTAAGAGCAGCTATTTCCTTAGTTTAATCATGCTTAGTGGCCCAGGATCACTTTTAGAATTAAATGGTTTGCTTTAATTTATCTGTACTTCGGTGACCCTTCTGTTTTCTATTTTGACCGGTTTTGAGATTAAAATCTCGTCATCTTCAAATGTCATATCACTCAAGTTGAGGTCGTAAGTGAACACAAAAACACAAACAGAAAACACAAAAAATTTAAGGACATTACAATGCAAAACTGGTTAGTACATGACACTACAGCGTGGTCAATAGTAATGTAATTCCGTTATGTAGTGTTTTATGTGTTTTTGTCTTCATCTACGACCTCAATTTGAGTGATATGACATTTTAAGAAAACTGATGATGAGACTTTAATCTCAAAACCATTTGCCATGGACAACAATAGGATCACCAATGGTCAAGTAAATTAAACCATATATTTCCTTATTAAAAAGTAATTAAGGACATCTGGGTCCAGTTAAGGACAATGAACAGACCTTTTGTCAGGATCAAACCTGACCTCTTGATTGCTAGGCAAGCATTATAACTCAAGCTAGCCTGCTAGCCAGCTAATTACCGATGTGTGCATTTTATTAATGTAGGTAGCATAACCCTATGGCTTGTCCATGTTGCTCATACTGCGATGCTACTTCAGTTTCCTCAGAGCATGGATTATGATCTTGGTGATTCAGGTTATCAGGGATTGATATTAAGTTCACTTACATGCAATGTTGAGTTGATGAATATCCAGATGACCCCCAGCACGGTGACCAAGAGGTCGTATCTGTTACGGCGGGACTGCCAGTAGCCGCGTGGAGTGAACGCAATATTCTTCATCACTACTTCAAACACAAACACCAGCGTCAACACTGTGCTGATCATAGCTAGCGGACCTGTGTGTGCCTCCTCCTCACGCCACTGGGAACATAAACCATTTTTTGAATACTTTCAATTTTCAATAATCATATTCTTATGAATTAGTTTCATATATGAAAACAGAATCCCAACTGTAAAGGATTAATAATGAATACTTTGTTTTTAAACCGACATTTTGTTTTTATTTTTTATGTTTATTTAGAACATTTTGTAAAAGAATTAATCCACATACGGCTCATTTTCTTTTGGTTATTATTAAATAAAAATAAACTAATCAACAACAAAACAAAATACAACAAAAAAATACCAGTTTATATGAAAACTGTAGACAAAAATATTTTACAGTTTCTATTTCCAAATAACAGGCAAGTGTAAACATACCGAGACACAGAGCAGACTGCTGTTGATGAGAACCATCCCTGCGATGAAACGTTTGAAGGTTATGTTCTGTGTGAGGTCGTAGATCTTGGCTCGGAACTTCTTACCGTCAGGTCGGGGAGGCAAGTGAAGGGGCTGGGCAATTTTCAACCTCTTTTTCAAATCACACCTGAAAAACACATTTAATTTACAGTATTTAGTGCATTTGTAAAATAAAAATGCTCTTGGTAAATGTTGTAAACCATGTAATTTAGATTTTTTCTTGATGTCAAAACAATTTGGGATAGATAAATAATGTAGGTAGTAATATGTAGGCCTACAGTATTAGTAATATTAATGCTATTTTATTACATACCGAGGCAAAGGCACAATTTTTTTTTTTTTGTACTTTCCTGTTAAAGGGAACATTCATTATTATCGATGATTTTTTTCTCGATACGGTATATCGATGTTTTTGTTTTCCGATCCATTACAAATTGACAACAACTGATCTTGTTTAGGCTTAAATAGTCTATTATATGGACTAAGAAATGAAACTGTTCTAAGCTAACCTAACATAACCAACCAAACCTGCTGTACCATTTAAAAATTCTGTTTGGGTTTGAATAAGTTATAAACACGGAATTTTTTAAATGTTACAGCAAGTTTGGTTAGTTATGTTAGGTTTCATTTCATTAATGTTTGTTGATACTGAACAATATTTTTCGTAGATGTCAGCTGATATGTTTCAATTTGTTAATATCGATATATCGAGAAAAAAATCATCGATAATAATGAATGTTCCCTTTAACAGGAAAGTACCTACTTTTTAATTGTTGTAGTAAAGGGTGTCCACAATTAATGAACTAATAGCATTATGGTTTAAAACTGTAACATTATTTGGATAAGGTGTCAACTAGCAGTTATCAAACTAAAATTTAGTATTTTTTTTATGACTTTAGGGGATGACACAACCAACAAAAATGCACAACCATTGGTACCTAATAAGACAATTATTTGCACTAGTTTTAGCGACTTGAACATGAGATAGTCGGGCAAACAATATTTGGTGTTGTAACAATTTCAGTTGGTTCCCTACTCCTAAAATATGTTTGCTCTCACTATAATAAATATGATTCTTTCTTATGAAATTGCAGCAAACAAAAGACAGGCCAGAAGAACTTTATTTTTATGACAGGTATTTTCTGTGATTTTTGAGACCTTAGAATGAAAAGTAGTTACAACTTTCTTGATACTAGTAAAAGCGTTGAATTTTCCGAGACTTCAGTGATTTTTGTGATTGGTAGACAACCTTTTGGAGGTTATTAAATAATTACATATTTAAATGAATGTTCAGAAGGTTGCAGTGCGCGTAAGATTTTATTCAGTTACATCATTCCTGTAGACAGGGAGCAGGACAGGGATTAGGCTGAGCGGATAAACTGTAACATCATAAAAAAATCTGTGAGCTTCTTTCATTAAGACATCCGTCCTGGACCCGCCCCTGTTTCTGACTACTGGACTAAAACCGCTACGGTAATCCTCTTTAAATGGCTCATACATTATTGATTGTCTAGTAACATTTTAATTACATATACAAACCATCTCCTTTGGTCCACAGTGAGGAGTGCAGTTCCTTTGTTCTCCGAGTAGTTTGCGATGACGACACCCACAAACAATGTCAGTCCGATCATACAGCCGAGGAAAATGTAAATGTGAATATAAATAGCATGAACCTGGAAATCAAAATCATTATCATCATATGAGAAAACAGTGTGAAAATGTTCTTTAATTTGTTGGTGGATTTGTACACAAAATTATAAGCAGTAGGAGCAATAAATAGTATTTTTTACATTACAAAGATCATAATCGCTGGTTTGCTGCTACTTGGAAGTTAATTAAATGTTTTTTTTTTTTTTTTTGTGTTATGAGCTTTGTCAAAAGTAAATATATTTATCAAACTTGATTAAAATATAAACAAGCAAACTACATCAGGTTATTTATTCTTGATAAAAATAAAATGAGAATTTAAAATATCAAGTCTTTTTTTGATTTTCTTTGTATTAAGCGTACAACAATGCTTCAATATATTACATTGTGTTTTTAAGCCCTACAAGTTAGTTTTAACAGACATTGCAAAAAAAATCATTTGCTAAACCATAAACCAGCAATAACACCATAGCCTATTTATGGTGCATGAACTTGTTCAAATAAATAGAGGTTTACATGGTTGTACCAAGTTTCATTTAGATCTTATAGTCTGTACTCAAGTTTTTGTGCATCCAAACACACACACAAACTTTGGCCACTTGTCTTGTAAATGAAGAAACTAACGAGATTAGAGTTGAATACTGGAAATAAAAACACTTTCTGTTTACTACAGTGTTTTTGAGATGTTGAGTTGAGCAATGAGTATAATAAATAATTAAACTCAAAAAATTTTATTCATCATATTGGGTTACTTAAAACTAAAATTTGTATCACTGATTTCAGATAACTAACACCTTCAAATCTAAAAATAATTGTACTACTAAGGCTATCTAGAAAGTAAAGAACGTTTTCGTTATGACGCCGCTTGGCGCGCGCCGATCTAATACATTTAGGTGCGTGCGCACTCGGCAACTCAGTCGGCGTCCAGCCGTGACAACGGGAGCATTCTTGTGCTGCCCGTTTTTTCACAATTTGAACTTAAGATGAGCAAAAAATCCTGCCAGTTAACGGGTGCGGTCAGTGATACGGTTTTTGTTGGAAAACACTTAAAAATGAAACTTCTCCTCAAGTTTCACGGACTTTGTGATTTGAAATTGTCACACAACAAAGCGAAAGACCCGTTATCGGGAATCGGCAGTTTTTGCAAACCTTTTCATCAACTTTAGCGACCAGTTCCATCAATCACAATTACTCGGGCGTCCGCCCTTCGCTTCGTCATGACTCATGAGTGTCAGATCGGCCATTTTTAATATGAATGCACCATTTTCTCAGAACTTTCAATCATTATGTTTTTTCCTTAAACTTCATACACTTAGCGATAAATGTCTATCGATTTTAAGTTTAATGCCAACACGAACCGTATCACTGACTGCACCTCTTAACTGGCGGTATTTTTAATCGCAGCGCTCATCTTAAGTTGAAATTGTGAACAAACGGGCAGCGTGAGAATGCCGCCGTTGTCACGGCTGGATGCCAACTGAGTTGCCGAGTGCGCACGCACCAAAATGTACGAGATCGGCGCGCGCCTAGTGGCGTCATAACAAAACGTTCTTTACTTTCTGGATAGCCCTCGTAATATCTTTTGCATTTCAGAATTGTATGATTATTTTGGGTCAAACATTAACACATTTTATAGCAACCAAGTGGAATTAATGTAAGCACAACAGTCAACAGTCAATAAATATTTATGTTTCTATGGAAACAAATATGTATCTACACTGAAATTTAACTTCAGAACTACATGCATTAAAATACTGTTAAAATTTTGCAGTGACGATTTGGGGAGCCTCATGTGATTGGAGAGAATTCTGAGGATCAAGTAGATCGGCTTTGATGAACATAGTTCGTCCATTGGCTGAGCACCATTGCTCTAATCAGAAATCTTGCAGAGGACAACTTGTAAGCTACTAAATGAAGACTTTGGAGGAATATGGAAGTCAATGGAACCATGCAGAGACTTGATATTGTACACTTTATTAACAGAAGATGGTCTTTAGAGCAAGCAGTATTGAGAAGAATCTTCATTGTAAAATGCCAAAGGAATTGTCAAGTAAAAATATCAGGGGAGAAGAAGAAACATGCATATAAGGAAAGTCATGTGCATACTTTGGAAAAAGTTATGGTTATCATCTGAGAACTTCAAGAGGAAGAAACTGAAGAGATCAACAAATGAATGATGTGTTTGGGAATGAGTTGCGGTATGGGGTAATATCAAGGCCTTTAGAAATATGGAGGAAGATAATCTTAAAAATTAATTTAGGACAGACTTTTTAGTAATAAGTATCTTTTGTAAATAGTATTAAGTATCTTTGTTGTAGTATTAATCTGACCGAATGCTGATGTCATTTCACATTCGGGAGGTCTGACTATCAGACCGACCATTCTGAGGAGAGTTTGTACGGTTTCTTTCTTCGCTAAGGTGAATGCCGGAATGGTTCCCTCAAGGGCCGTACCCCGCCAGGCAGAATGGAAGACAGGACTTGGTCCTAATTCTGCTTGGTTTAACAAACCCCAAGTAGGCCTATGTGACCGTTAAATAAACATATTTTTCCCAATAATCTTGTTTAAGATTTGTTATTGATCTATAATGTACGACTAAGAAAAAAGTATGTTTCCCTACAAACAGAATGGGGATGACGACAGGACACAGTCCTGATTCTGTATAGTTTATAAAACCCTAAGTAAATAAAAATAAATACACAACGGAAATCAAACTTTAAGTACTAACAAAAAACATACATTTTAGATCAGAATAACTTACGGGGCCCAACGCCTTGATGAGAATATCTCTAACATCCAGCCAGCCTTTGAATGATAAAACTTCAAACAAGGCAAGCATTGCGTAGCCAATGTTGTCAAAGTTAAATCTCCTCGGATTGGCCCTACAAAAAACAGAGGTTGTTGTTTTAAACTAAAAAACTTACAATTACCGTACATAAAAACTATGCTATTTTAACACTACGGGTTTGTGAAATGTGATATGGCGACATTTAACTTATAATTGAATAATAATCACTAAGTATAGTGTGGACACTACACTACACTACTGAGCGTACTTCAGCTCAACAAATATGTGTGAACGATGAGGGTGGGTTGGAATATACATTACCTGTGTAACTTGTTAACGGACTAACACCAGCTGTTTCTAACCAGAACCATTTATTACAATGCCAATGAACAATGAATAATGAATGACAGCTGGACAACGTGTTTTTAACCATCACAAATCTACTGAAATTTGATTAAACTCTGATGTGAGTAAAGGAAATATTAAAATGTGGGAACAGAGTTAAGTTTGTACATTGTAACGTCTTTACTAATAGAACCTTTGGCCTGAAGTTCATTTTTGGTATCGGTAAGTTTATTTGATCAATTATCACAGATATATTAAATCATTACTAACGAAAAACAAAGTTTTGAAATCTGGAATCTGACTGCTAACATGAGTCAGTTTTGGTCGTGTTTGTGAACTTATCTTTTTATGTTTTGGATATTTTCTCAAATAATTTCAAATCCCAAATTATGAATTTTTTTTAGAGCTAACTTTTTTACTCACCACACTCGAGGTACCAGCATAGAAGGGTAGGACTCGTTTGGTCCAGGATGCAGTTTCATCTTGGTGACAAACACACGTCTCATGAACACACCGACGCACTCCTCTCGCTTGGTGATGGTCGGGTCGTTGCAGCGAGCTAAGCGACCACCAAACAGCTGCACGCCGTAGCTCGCAAACACAAACATCAGCACGATCAGCAGAATGGATACCTATGATAACAAGGTATTTATTAATTTATAGACATTTATTTATGGTAAAAATATTGAGTATATAATAGGTTACGTACCTTTGTCCGTTTTCAATCTTATACTCGTTTACAAAATTTTGGCAGTTTAAGGAGTTGAAATCCATCCCCTCGACGTCTTGATCCTACCATTAAAACATAGCTGACAAGCAAGATTTGCGATTTGTCAAAAAGTCAATCAGCTGAAACATACATTAAGCAAAAAAAAGTGGCCCCTTCCTCTCAAACTGCCAAAATATTGTGAACACACTATAGGTAGGTAGGTCTTAGGTGCGTATCTTACTATATATTGGTACAGGATTTTTTGAGAGGATAGCAGGCTTACCTGAATGGGAAAGAGTCCAAACTGGCACAGGAAACACAAAATAAAACTTTACACTATATACACAAAACATTAGAATATTTCACTGTCACTGACAGCATTTTCAACTAAAGCTTCCTTAGTTGAAAATGCTGTCAGTGACAGTGAAATATTCTAATGTTTTGTTTATATAGTGTAAAGTTTTGTTTTGTGTTTCCTGTGCCAGTTTGGACTCTTTCCCATTCAGGTAAGCCTGCTATCCTCTCAAAAAATCCTAAAAAATCTAGGCCCTTGTGCTCTATGCTACACCCTTTATACATTGGTACAATCAGTCTTAGTGGCAAGAATGTTTAAATAAAAATATCCTAAATTCTTGATAATTTTTGTTGTGGAAACCTACAGTCTAATAGAGAGAGAGGGAAAAATATCAAATGGAACTACATAGTTTGGTCCTGAAAAATGTTACCAAATAACCGTCAAGCAGCTCTAAATGATTTGTGCCAAGTTTAGTATAATGTATTGCCACAATGGTGACATCATCAGCTTATCAATGTGAAGTTTAGCTGAAGTCTGCCGTGTCAAACTTAAAACGACAAAAATTACATAAATAGTTAAAAGCGCATGAAACTTACCAACAAAATTTCTTTGAAACCTCTGCACAACTCGTCAACAACTTTGCGCATGTGAGGGACCAGTGTGAAGATGCGCAGAGGCCGAACACAGCGCAGAATCATCAACAGCTGTGCCCCAGAGTTGGGTGGAACGCTTTTGGGCATCCAGCAGAGAAACACCAGGCTCGTCTATAAGAGGAACCAATAGTTAACATATCTCAATGACATGTTTGTTCTTCCTTCAAATCTCAGGACGCTAGAATGTAAAGGTGGGTGTTACTCAACGTAATAGAATAAACAATACTATTACAGATGCCTCAATTTGTTTGGTGGTTATGTGTAAAGTAGTTTTCTGTTTCAAAAATAAATAAAAACATTGTTTTGTACAAAATTTTTATTTTATACCAAAATATTCTTTACATCCTTGTACAAAAGTACCAAAATTCCACATGTAATGATCGACCACCATTCCCAACTTTTCACAACTTGTGAAACTTTTATGTAATAAACTCACCGTGTAAATAAAAACGTCCAATATCGATGCAACATCTTTCATATAGGCTTTCGGTGTGAAGAATATTCCGTCAGCAAGAATCTTGAGTGTTAGTTCCAGAGACATGGAGATGACGAAGATGTACTCGGCAACCTGCAGTATCGGCGTGGACATAACACGGAAGTTTGGGGTCTCAAACATCATGGAGATGCAGGAGAGGGTGGTAACGCAGATCATAACCCAGTCCAAGTAGGTTACCAGGCTTAGGAAGTTGCTGGAAAAAAGGGTGCTCTGTTTGAAACAAGTTCTGCAACATGAACCGGGTTGACTTAAAAAATCGACTTTTCGGATACTGAGTAGGCGTGTCATATGGAACAGCTGTACTCAATTTTTAAATGAATACCCCAAATATCAAAATATTTCCTTTAACTTGTCTCATTATTTAAATAATGGTTTAGTTCCAACCAAAGTCAAAGCTACAAAATTTTGAGATTTATGTGCATTGCATAATGTTTAAACATGATAATTTCAGATAACAAAAAAGAATGTAGGACATTAAAAGACTAAGGAGGAATTTGCTCAGTATGGACTTTTTATTACAAGAAAATTACGAACTTTCTACATAAGTTACATAAGTAATTTTAAGTTTACATGGTAGAAATTCTATAGTGAACAGGATAGAAAGACAAGCATTCAAAAAGAATCAAAGAAGGAATTGCATCAATAAAGGTAGGAAAACACTTTTCACAAAATTTAAAAAAAGTTCCTGATTTAAATAATCTTAACTTAAAGTTCATATAATGAATTGATTTTAAATTTTTCACTTGGTGAAAAAAAAATCATTTCAGTCTAGAAAAATAAGCCGTATAGCTTAAAAACCTTGAAAACAGTTGAAAGAAGAAAACCTTAACAGTAAAAAATTATAGTTTGACATTGTGGGGAAGGTTTTTAGAAAGTCTACTGATGATTAAATCAAGGATATCAACAGAACCCCTGATTGAATTAGTTTATAATGAACTATTTAAAAATCATCTTGTCTTCACTTGTATTTTTTTAAACATCAAAGATGATCAATGGATATAGGCAAGGTAAAAGAACGGGAGAGTACCTTTCTCTATTTTGTCTAGTAAATATTATGAACAAGAGTAAACAAGATGAAAAACATACAATCGTTTGCAGTAGGTCCTCATTCCCACAAACATTTCTATTTAGCGGTAGGTAAATTGATGCATCACAACGTAGTAAAATTTAAAAATTGGTTGCTTCTTATAACCTAATTTATCATTTAAAAAAAATAAAGGTATCCTACACAGTTGAGGTGTTAATTAGGTCATTAGTAAATGAAGAAATAATCCAGCTTTGTCACAACTACTATTAAGTATTTATAAAGAGTTCAGGAGCAAGGACCTTCTGCAAAATACCCCAAAACTACGTTAGTAATCTATCTATTGTGATTTTGCATTCTAGGGTCTAAGCCAAAGCAAGCGAGTGGTCCACTATCAAGCAAACTGACATCTAAGCCTAGCATTAGCCAAAAACAACCAACAACACTACCGTACAGGGAATAGTGTCATTACTTAGCCTGCGGTCGTTTCCCGTAGTGAGAGCTGAAATAGAAAACTCCACTAAACATCAAGTGAGCTAGCAGCAAACATGGTGAAAACCACAGAGTATTGGGTCTCTACAAAATGTACAGTTGTAACTAGTAATGTGTCAAAACCGAATCTCAAATCGGTCAACACTTTTAAAAGTTTCAATTTCGACTTTGAGATTCGATTGGGGAGTTTTGAGATTCAATCTGTTTTAGTTTTGAAACTACTGACGTGTTTTGGCATCATTATTATTTATAACACAATTTACACACAAGCTCGCAGTAATGGAGCAAACAGATTGCCACTAACACTGATAAAACAAGTAGGTTATATTGTGGACTACAATCAGAATGCAGGTACGATAAATACAAATATTTGAACAAAGTACAATCCAGTTTCATATCGATATTTATCAAATAAAATAAATATTGACCACTGAATGTTTTAAAATTGATTCAATATTTATGCTTATGTTAGTGGTAGGATTTAAATTTATTTTGGCGTTTGTTGTTTATAAAAATATTTTTGTTAGGTTTAAAGTGTATTCAAGTGTGTGTATTTAGGTCATGTATTCTAGTTTATTATGCCAGGGGTCTTGAGTCAATTTCTTTCAGTTTTGCTGGTGAAATAAACATTTTGCTAAATCTGTATTTTACTCCTAACCAGGTAACTGGACAACTTTTGTGTTTGGGTTTTGAGATTCTGGATTTCATTTGTTAAATTTTGGTTTCGGTTTGGAGATTAACAATTTCAGATTTTGACCATCACTAGTTGTATCTACTAAAATTGTAGTAATATTATATTTTCTGTAAATACACATCAATGGTGTTATAAGGGAGCAGTCTAAGCCTTGGCATTACAACCTGTGGTTAGAGTACATCGTAAATAATTATACAAATGAATGACAAAATCCTTACTTCTCTGTCTCTGGCATTGTAAAAATATCACTACTTGAATATGAGTTTGTGTTTATTTATTTAGAGTGAAATTATTATTTTTTTATGTCTATAGGTTTTTATAAAGTGTTCATATAAGCTATGGTCAGGTAGGCTAAATTTAGTCATAACCGAGTCAGAACTCTTAATGCAGGTTTTAAAAATATAATGTGTTTAAAACTCAACTTGGATGAGAGATAATATGAGTTAACCAAAGCAACCGTTGGTTGAGGATAAATATGACATTAACTACTGTTTTCATAACACAAGAGAAGAAATTCTTTGTTGTCCTCTTTTAGATCTGGACAAGAAACTTCTTAATGATCAGTTGGATAGTAACATTTTATATATCAGCGTTTAACTTAATGAAATTTGTTAAGTAACAAATCTATAGTAGTTAATATAATGGTAAATTATTATAAAATTCTAAATTTTACATTAAGAATTGATAATGTATTTGTGGCTTTTCTACAATACCATTTGACTGATTCATTGAACAAATTATGTTTCCCTGTTTCATATTACATTTAGCTAACACAGGTTAAGTTTTTTTCTAAACTTTATATCCATACACTTTGCATCCTTGGTTTCCACACCTAAGGGATCGTGCACGACAAACCCTTCTTAGGTTCGTCCACAACACTGAAAACACATCAGGCGTAAAATGCAAAATATCAAAGAAAACACTTACTGAAGACGTTTGTACTTGACTTTTCGTTCTTTGCCAGTCAGTGGGTCACGAAGTCTAGCGTCATAGCGAGCGTAGACAATCAGCTGACAGGCTTTGCGGAACTTTGACTCTCGCGGGACGAGGAACAGCGGAGTATCAAACAACGGGTGGTTCTCCCTAAGGTCTTCCTCCCGTTGATTCCTAAGGATAATCAATGAAACTAAGTGGTGTCCAAGGATTTTGGTTTGGGTAGTAGGCGTACCTGAATGGGAAATAGTCCACTCTGGCACAAGAAAAGAAAACTGGTACCAAATAAAATTTGACATAGTTGATTTAGAAAAATTGTGACATAATCTATTGATCTAGGTGGACATGGGTTAGTCACAGAGAAGTAAGATACAGATGAAACATTCAATGGTACACTTAAGTGGTGTCTAGCACTAGTTGCTGGTGTCTAGGGCATGTACAGTAGACCCCCTCTTAACCGACCTCGTATTAACCGATAATCGGATTATTCGCCTTTGATCGTAAAATAATACAGTTTGTTTTAACCGACCTTGCTTTGAGAGCAGCTCGGTTTAACCGCCGCATTCTAGGAATCTCGGCATTTCCGCCTTCCAATGGGCGATGAGAACTGAACCATACGCTTATCTCCACAGGATATGACTAACAATAAGTTATCTTGTGAAGATCACAAAAAATATAGCATAGCCTATTGTCAGTTTGTCATCATCGTTCGTAGCTCGAGCACATCTGATCTGATTTGTTATCTGTGCGGCAAATTTATAACATCATAAAGTGCGTTACGATTTTGAGAACTGATTATCTTATCGCTGGAGTAAACAAACAACGCAACTTGTAGGGAGGGCAGGGAAGGGGTGTTAACAACTCCAAGGTCAAGATAGTTTTTGTGCCTCGAGCCTCCAGTGAGAGGCTATAAATAAACGTCCTGTCTTTTAACAAAATGGTCGCTTGTATCTTTAATGACGACAAAAGGTTCTTTACTGTATTACGATGTATTTGGAAAGCATTAATTAATACATTACAGTAGTAAAGTTATTGAAATAGGAATTTTATTGACTCTTGCCTAGTATTATATTATATTAACTGAAAGTAGGCCTATTTGACTTAACCGTGTTTTGTGTTTATTTGTGACATTTCTATCAATATGAAAAAGGAGATAAGAGTAGTTTATTTTATAAATAATGCAAGTATGACTTCAAAATAATGATTATATAATTCCAAATGAATAGCACTTTATTATGTTATGATTTTAGGGATTGCCCGTTTTATCCGACCTTTTGAATCATCCGACCTAGGTCCGGTCCCATTAGGGTCGGTTAAGAGGGGGTCTACTGTACTACAACGGTCACAACAGGAGAAGAAAGACCCTGGGCACTGTGCGATAGGAATTTCCGCATAGTACTCGGAACTCGCCACTAAGGCTCTTTTTTGCTCTTCCCAAGTATAATTCTCACACAAAATACTAGAACTGAAAGTGCATGGTCGTCCCATAAGCAAGTGTCCTCTGTACCTTACTTCTCTATGGGTTGGTTTCAGTTTTTTTGGTTGGATTGGTGAAAATAAATCTGGCAATAGTTATTATAGTTATATTCTCAATGTAATGCAAAAACAAAAACAAAATCCAATTCATGACTGGCTGGGTAGCTGAGTGGTTATATTGTTCGCCTAGTAATCAAAAGGTTGCCGGTTCAATCCTGAGAAAAGTCAGTAGCTTTTTGATGGTTCGAAACTGGACCCAGCTGTTCCTGATCATTGGGCTTTAAATAAATTATCCTGACTAATGAAACCGCTGATCTTAGTCAGTAACAAAGCTACACAGGTCATCACACACCATTCTACACTCATCCTTCACTCATATTTGGGTTAAAATATGCACCTAGGTGGCGTCCCCATCTCAATGATTGATAGTTGATATGGTACCTTTGACTTTTACCTAATGATATGTCCTGATGGATGAATTAATCTTGAAGGAAATCTTTCAATTACAGAAGAGAAGAATGCTTATCCACAATTGAACTTGGTCACACACAAAGCAGCAATATTTCTGATCATTAAATGCAAGAGTGTTGACATCTAAAAAATACATCATGTAAAAAGAGAGTAAGACAATTTTGATAAAAATTAATATCAAACCAACCTTCTCATCTCGGCCTGCTGACGCTTGGCCTGTAGCAGTTTGATGTCAAGGTCGTGAGGCCGACGCGCCGACGAGCTGACACGGTTCATAGCTCCGATGTCTCCGTTCTCCATCAGATGTTCATAAGTCTGCTTCAATTTGATGCTGCCGGAGCGGACACTCCGTCTGATAGACCTGTTTGCAAACCCGTGGTCACACGAGAACGTTAGACGGATAGCACACCAAACAACAAAGAAAGTAAAATATTTGCCTATCGATAGAAGTAATGTTATCAAATGGAAAAGAGTTTAAACCAACACTAAAATGGTTTCATCAAACTAAAATAAATATAATTTCAAGAACATGTTTACAGAACATCAAGCAATAAGCATAGACACTGAGAGAAAACTAACAGCAATTTTAAAATTGTAAAGAAGATTAAGAGTCCTTGGAGCCTAGACGTTCTAACTCGTAAAACAATTAAAAAAAAAACTACAAAGAAAGTTTCTAATCTCACAGTATATTAGATATTTACATGAAAATCAAACTGGTGTTTGAAAAAATATTTTGATATGGTAAATAATTCTTCAGCCGCTGTTTGAAATTAACAAAATTAACATTGCTCTAATGGCGGGCAAATCCAAGATGGCCGTTAGCTTCCATGGACTCCCTTGGAGAACAATTCAAAACTACAAAGAACATTTCTAATCTCACAGTATACTAAACATTTAAATTATAATCACTTTGGTGTTTGAACAAATATTTTTGGACGATAAATAACTCTTCAGCAGCTGTTTGAAATTATCCAAGATGGTTAATATTTGACTAAATTCATCCTACTAATCTAAAGGTTAAATACCTTGTTGCCACTGAATCCTGAATAGTTTTAAAGGCTAACGGTTTTGGCACACTTAAGGTCTATACTTGCACCCTGAACCCGTAGCAGCGCCGAGATCTTAGTTGTGTGGCCGTATATTTGTCCGTAAAAATGTTTGTGTCCAAGTTCCTTGTTTTATCGTCTTGTATATATGTTTTGAAGACTTTCTGACAACCACGCCTTAAGTGTGTCGATTTCGTTAACCATTAAGACTACCAAGGATAATGTTGGTATTTATTTAACCTCTAGATTAGTAATTGTTAAGTAATCCAGATGGCAATACTTCAAAAATAAATTCACCCCTTTATTATTTAACATAATTATTGTCTTTCATTTGTTAGAGTGGCAACATTTTTATTTTTCCGCTTTAACTAAGGAGAACTGTAATTTTATTCATCCTGTTTCCAGCTGAATGCTGTGGTAGTTTTAAAATGAAAATTTAAGCAGTTGAATTGAGCTACTCGATGTCACACAGTTTGCTGATATCAGTAAATTAAATTATTTCTCTTGAATATGCCCAACTTCTTAACCACACCAACTTAAACGACAACTTATTGTAAGCAAGTGCATTTCTATGTCATAGACAACTTTGAATGTCAAAAATTACGATAGAAAATAGAATTTAGACTTTAGCACATTCTTAGTGGCTTATTTAACAACTAGAATATAATTTTGTCTTGGCCAACCTAACTGGATTATTAAAATGTCACTTGAAAAATTATCTATATAAATAAAATTAGAGTTTTGTCTGTACATAGCTCAGAAATATATATTTTTAGGTTATTTTTACGTTTTATACATTAAAGGAGCAGGAACGAGTCTTATCTCTATTTCTGTCTGTCTGTCTTTCTGTGACTAAAACGAGTATTTGAGAAATATATTAATTGATTCAAGGCCGAACCTAAATAAGCAGTAGTTAACAGATTTACAGCTTTTAATATTTAAAAAGAGTTGCATAATTAAAGTGAAGTGAGTGTTTAGAATTTATCCAACTCCAAAAACTAAAAAAACACTTATTCATTGACAAAATATAAATGTATTAATAGTTAAGAGATACAATATGCCAATGCAATTATGCCACTGACATTAAGATAACGAATAACGAATAAAAATAATTTAGCACTGCAATTGATTTGACATTTTAACTATTTACTCTTACTGTTTGATTTACGGCCTACAAAATTGGGTGTTTGCCATTCAAGATTCAAGATTCAAATAGTCTTTATTCAATATATAACATATATGAAACATACATGTATCTGAATAGAGTCAAAATCTATATACAAATCATACACATTAAAACATAGATCTACGCAAATGTCCATTATGAAAAATAAATGGAAATTCAAATGAAATATTTTGTTTTATCTACAAATTCTTGTAATGAATAAAAAGGATTTTTTACTAAGAAATCTTTTAAAAGTTTTTTGAATTTTTTGAAATTTGTCTCCTGCCGGATGTTTATTGGTAAATATTGTAAAAATTTCAATCCTGCATAGGTGGTTTTCTTTGTATAATATTCTAATTTATGCTGAGGCAATCATGCATGGTACCATGCAGTACCAACATTAAGTAGTTACTTTTTCTGGTCGATCCTCAGTTGTTTGGCACTACTGATGGTTCCTTGAGGATTGAGAGGGGACTTTCCTGGCACAGGGATGACGGCTGAGTCACCCAACATCAGACGCTGGTTGTTGGAGTCACTGAAACAAAAGAATTTGTATTTGATCTATTTTTGTTTTAAAACATTAATCACAAAGAAATGGACAAATGTCAAACATTGAAATGGCAAAGTAAATTTATTTTATTGGCTAATTTTGTTGATATCTTTTGTAGGATTTTGTTGTAGGAAAGTAGTCAGTCAAAGTGAAAATTCATTGTCAGGGTAATGATACTTTCTATCTTAACATGTTGAGTGCAGCCTACGTTATTTAACGTAGTGCGTGACTGGCACGCACGGTGGACTACGTTAAACTACCTAGCACAGCACTCCTAACTCTAAAGTATTGATCCAGTGTGAGCTCAGCCTCACATGGGGAAGGTCGTTTCGCTTAGTGCTTGCTGTGTCAGTTTTATACTTTCATCCAGTATGATTCGTTTTCAGATCCGACAATTTCATCGTTGGTGGGGAGTGTTTCAAATTTTGTGTAGTATTGTTTTGTCTTGGATTTAGTGAAATTGAATAGGATAATGATAATTACTGTAGTGTAGCCTTGTGGAAGAAACCTAACCTCAAAATTGTGCTTGACGCCTTTTTGCGGTATTTTTTTATGGCGTATGGGTTTTTCGCCCCTGCTTTTTCCCTCCATTTGGCAATACTGAGGGCCTGCTAGCAGTTTTGTTTTGTGCTGATATCTGTTGGGTTCTTGTAAAACTAGTTCTACAACAACTGGAATGCTGTACATGCTACAATATGCCTTTCATTTGGATTAAACTACATTTAAACGTTTTCACGCACTTAACCACGTAGCGCATTAGCCACCGGCCGCAGCCGGCCATTGCACAACCGCACTTAACATTTTAAGGTCGACGTTAGGTTGCAACAAGAGAGTTGAACCATTGCTTTACAAAAAAATGTACAAAATGCTACTTACATATACTAACAAAAGAAAAAAAAATTGGTTGGTAAAAAGAATTGTCATCGCTGCTGTACAGTTTTCATCGTGGAACACCTTAGTTGGATTAAAAAAAGGATTTTCAGTTTGCTGCCCTAACTTTATCACTTTCTATTAGTATTTCTTTCAAAAAGAAAGAAACAATAAAGCACTAATTCATACTATATTTAATCTTACAAAAACAAAAAAAATAGCTAAATTGGTCTTGTAGCTGTTGTACGATATCATTAAAATTTCTTTGTTTATATTTACACTGTTAGGATATGAACGATATATGTTAGCAAACAAAACTAGGTAAAACCAAACCAAAACTTACTTTATAATGTAGGTGATTGCAGCCTTTCTGAGGTCCGTATTCACATGGCGAACTTTAGGCAGATTGTTCAACAGTTTTATTGGCCTTTGCTTGCGGTAGACTACTTTTGAATCAAACACTTCAATTATCTTTTTAACACCTTCGTTTTCATCGTCTCCCAACTCAAACACAAATTGTCTCATAAAGCTGTCTCTAACCTGAAGAGAATAATAGAAAAGACGATAACTATGGGATAACATAGACATACTTTATTTGCACATAACATTCCATAACATTTAGAATAGGTGCATTGTCAAAATTAAATCCATACATAAAATATTTAACATTAAAACTTTTAACTTAAAATTAAACACTTAAAATAAAAAAAAAATTCTAAATTGTAGTTTTGTAAAAATCTTCAATTAAGTAAAAAGCCTTGTCAATAAGTAAATTATCTATTGTATCTTTAAATTTGGTTTTGCTTACAGTAATGACTTATAGCATGGCGGAAGCACATTGTACAATCTCAGCCCAGCATAGGCCTACAATGGAGATTTTTCATATAGGGTCAAACGGTGTCTGGGTAGTCTAAATATATTTTCATTTCGGGTTTCATACCTGTGATTAAAATGTATTGTTTCTGGTAGCTCATTTTTAACTGAATGTATGTAATTTAATAATTCTAGAATATACAACCCCATTAATGTCTGAATTCTTAAATTTTGAAAAAGTTTCTTACAAGAACTGCGTGGATGAGAGTTGGTGATAATGCGTATAATACGTCTTTGTAACCTGAATAAAGTTTTAATACCAGTAGCTTGACCCCATAAAATTATGCCATATCTTAACACTGACTCCACATAAGCATGATAAACTACTTTAAGTGTCTCAATAGAAACACAGTCCCTTAAATGTATGAATAAAGATGATATCAACCTAATTTTGTTATGTAAATAATTCAAATGTGAATCCCATTTAACTGCGTCATCTACGTAAACCCCTAAGAATTTATGAGCTTCAACTAAATTAAAAGAACAGTTTTCCATATTTTTGTGTCTAGTAGAAAATGTAACAATATTTGTTTTTTCAACATTAAGTTTCAACCCATTTTCTAAAAACCATTGCTCCATATCCTTTACCACACTTTGCAGAGAAGAAAACATTTCAGTTGTAATTTTTGATCAAAGCAGTAGTGTCATCGACAAAATGAATTAGTTCTTTATTAATAGCTTTTGGAAAATCATTAGTGTAAATAAGAAAAAAAAAGTGGGCCCAATACTGAGCCTTGGGGAACACCTGTGGATATAATTTCCCATGGTGAATAATGTTTGTTGTTATCTTCATCTTCTAAAATTAAAGTTCTTTGTTTTCTTTCAGAAAGTTAAGATTGTATTAAAGAAAACCAACTTCCCCCAATCCCATAATCATTTAGTTTCAGCAACAGGAGTGAGTAATCCACACAATCAAAAGCCTTAGACAGGTCACAGAAAACACCTGCTGTGGCCTGAGACCTGTCCAAGGCCTCTGCAATCTCATTAACAAACTGAGTGAGAGCAGAAACTGTGCTTAAGTTTTTTCGGAAACCAAATTGTTTATTGTAAAATTCTATAAATTGAAAAGGAAAGAATAAAATTCAAAACATCATTAAGCGGTGGTATTTTACATATTTATAATGTGTTCAAAATACTTGAAAGTTGTATTCGACGGGAATTACAATGAATGACACACTTAGTCAAACACAATATTAAAGATGTAAATGTAAGAGGGGAGAGGTCTATGACCTTGGAGCACTGTGGCTGGGCTGGGAGACAAGTGATTTATAATTTGTTCATATCCCTTCAGTCTCAAAATTGGGACCGTCTCCGTCAGCATTTAATTTCACATATTTTTCTGGAAAGTGCCCCGGTTAAGCCACTACACCGTTGACCCGAATACAGTTAATCGGTAGTGTAATATTTTAGAAAAATTTTTGTCTTATCTGTAATTTATAGCTGAAGTTGCAACCTTTTATATTTAAAATCCTAATTATATGTAGGACTAGCTGTGTACCCGTTCTACGCACGGGGATCTTATAATATTCAGTTGAAACCTTCTTATATAACGAACAGCAGTTGGTTTGCATATTTTAAGATATGCTGGCCAAACTATTATACATAGCTTCATTTTATGTTGTTTTTTGTTGTTCCGGATCGGTATGACAATCAATAAAAGGTTAAATTACCTCTGTGTCTGCCGGTCGATCCTATAACGGTAGGCTTACTTTTATTTTTACTATCTGATCTCGTTTGCATGGCTCAATCACGTCCTGGTTGAAGTTCGTTCGCTACGCTCACTCACCTGTATGTTGGAGCTCGTTCGCTGCGCTCACTTTCCTTCAGGTTAGCTCGTTCGCTACGCTCACTTGCCTTCAGGTTAGCTCGTTCGCTACGCTCACTCGCCTCCAGGTTGCAAATTAGCTGTTGTCATAAATGTAAAAGAAATAATAGTGCTAGTGCTGCACCCTGTTGGTAATCCTTGTAACTTTAATGCTATTGAACATCACAGAACAGAACCAACTTGTTTAATTGAAACAGCTGTTAAGATTCAATAATTTCATTTCTCATAAGGTTAACATGGGCTTCCAGAAATTCCACGTCAAAAATCGACAAAAACTTGATTTTCAAGGGTTTACTGTTAAATATCTAACTGTCTCATATTCGATGAAATACGTCTAAAACCATCTCATATATGTATAGTATTTGGAAAATAAGTTTCAGGCGGGACAGTGCTATAGTTATTGAGGAGTAGTTGTAATAAAGTGCGTATTTTAGCGTTACCAAGAGAATGACAGATAGACAGACAGACAGACAGACAGACAGACAGACAGAAATTGAGATAAGGTTTGATTCGGTTTCTCTGACCTATGAAATGTAAAAATAACCAAAAAGTTCATTATTCTAAGCAATGTACAGACAAAACTCTAATTTTATTTATATAGATAAACATAAACAAAATTAATAAACAGTCAACATTGTATCAGTAGGCCTATAACAGATGATTACAAGTTAAGCTATTATAATTATACTATTTAAACATTCTAAAAAGTTCTTACCTTGGGCAGAATATAATCTGATGGTATTTTATGAAGGCTAACCATCTGAGGACTATCTGGAAATTTTTCAAACACCCTCAAACGAAACGGCAATGTTTCTTTTATCTCTGCACTCTGTTCACGGAATTTTAACTGCTTGAGTTTTTTTATGTCTTCGTCAAGTTCCAAGTTGTCCAAGATAACGGCAACGAACAAGCTGAGCACAATCTGGAAGGAAGTTGAAATAATGTGAGATGCAATAACAATATTAATTGAGCCAGAAAACTAACATAAGCAACCTAAAACAGTAAAGTACATAGCATGAACAAGAAGCATAACAGGTTGTTGTTATTGTTTGCTGATTTTTTATCAAAACGTTCAGTGTTAACAAACCCCTTTATGACAACAGTTTATCCGAAACACTTATTTCACATTCAAGCCTGCATGCATCGGCTTAACATACAAACAGCTGTTGTTAGTGAAGCGTCTAGAGGAAGTGAATTGTAAATTGCATTTCATCAACCAGGGTTGGTACTGATTTTGGAAAATGAAATTCCCTGACTTTTCCAGGTTTTCCAGACTGATATTATACTTTTTCCAGGTATACCGTAAGACGATATCGGATAGTCAGAATCAAGTATTATTAGAAAAAATGTAGGCCTAAATAGTTTAGCGCATCGCGGTACTAGCAGTGTTTCCATACGTGGGATTATTATCCCGAAAACAGGATTTATAGAGCATGAGCGGGATTTGAAGGGGATGTGAAAACAGGAGTTTTGGCTATGACGTCCGTTTTTATTTACTATGCCTTATTTTAGTGAAAAACTAACCCCAATCAAAAAAAATTACCTTAACAAAATATAATAGCAAAGTTAAAACAACTATTTAAACACAACTATGTCTAATTTAACACTCGGAATTTAACATCAAAAATCTTAAGGGATTAAACGGGATTTCTTAACCCAGTGACCGGGATTATATTCTTTTAGTCGTGTAGAAACACTGGGAGCTCGGTGCGTTCAATTAAAGCCAGTAATCAGAGGGCGATGATGGAATGTCTGTCGATGTTCGATGTTTTTATATCGATGGTAGGTTCCCGATGTTTTCGTCAAACTTCTATGTTTTTGACCAAGTATTGAGACGTAGATGCAAAATGTAGCATATCTGTAAAAAATGTAGTCTTTCAAGAGAAATTCCAGATTTTTTCCAAAATTCCCCGACTTTTCCAAACCAACAAAATTCCCTGACATTTCCAGGTTTTCCCTGACCGTACCAACCCTGTCAACACAGATTTTATCAATTTGTTCATTTTTTTGTTTAGAAGAACATGAATTTAGAATCTTGAATATTCAAAACTGTATAACCAGATGTAACCGTCAATACTGCTGAAAAGGAACTGTTTACTTATTGTATGAGGTAGGAGGCTCTTATACTGTCAATCGTCCGAAGGTTTTAATTACCCTACTTTAGAAAATGTTGCTGCAGTGGTAGTGTAACATTTGTCTACACTGAAAATTTCAGAAATACAGTAAGTGTTGAATTTAGGGTACTCGTTGCCTTAGGCCAAATTAAATCGAATGACCCTCGCCCCAATGGACAAAATCGTGAACGTAGCAGAAGAATCAATGATGATGTACCTGCAATCAAGGGTACATCATCATCGTCACCCAGGATCGTGGAGAATTCGTTATCAATTTTATTTTATTGTTGTACAATATGATTTGGCCCCCTTTAGCTTGTGGTAAATCCGGCACTGAAGAGTTACCATAACAGTTTTACTTTCATAAGTAAAATCAATTATTGTAAATATGAATGGTTTAAATTGCACAGTAAAACATTTAATCGTGGTGAACATGATTTGCTTAGCTAAAAATAACAAGAAGAATAAACCTAATCCAGAATCGCAAGTTGAAGAGTACAGTTATGGTCTATGAACTGTAATGACTCAAAATTCAATGTTTATAATTATAGTCCTTATTTTAATTTCAAACTCAATCTTGTTATATTTTCAATATTTATCCATGTCCATTGTTAATATTATTAAAACCATATTGTCTCAACATATATATAATTTACAATCAAAATTTATTCATTGGCTTATCCAAAATTATTATTCAAAAACAAATCCTCCAATCAGAACACCATCCATCTGGGTTCAAGATTATTAATAAAATTCAACCATGTTTTTATTTATGTGAACCCCATAACTTGATATGATTTACAACAATGAAAAGGAGTGGCAGTTTAAAAGCATCCAAGAAGAACATAAAAGTTTAAACTCTTAATTGTGAAAATAATTGTCATATTATAAAAGAAAGTAGTGTCAAAATTTCCAAATTTTACTGAAGAAAGAAGAATTTAAGCCTTTAAACTAAGAAGAAAATTATTATTACAGAAGATTGGTGAGAACATTCCATTTTTATTAAGTTATTGACTCAGACTAGACTCTTCAAGCATCCATTTGGACCCAATTTACCTCTCTTAATTAAAATCAAAATCCTTCCTATTTAACTCATTGTTTCTAAAAGATTATTTAATTCATAACTTACCATAACTTACTTATTGAAAATTTAAATTTGAAATCTTTTGATTCGGCCAGCACGAATCCCCACCCCTGAACAATTTTTGTAACCCTATTTTAACCATTTAACTTATGTACCATTAAACCTTGTATTTTAAAACCTCTGTCCTTGTAATTATTATTGTTTAACTAAGATAAGATTAGAATACAAACCATATTTAGGGTTTATTTCAGAACCATAGCCTGATAATGCTTGAATTCAATACCCCCGCCGCAGCAAACCTGCAGACTAAGCGAATTTCCATTTGCCTGATTGGATTTACACTAAAATGTCTACTTAAAAATTGAACATTTATTTCCTATTTAAATAGAATTAGTTTAACAGGTACTTAGGTTTGCTGCATCAGGGAGGGTAAAACTTATTTTTTTTGTAAAATGTTAATAGTTAGTAAGAAATAAAAATATTTTCCAAATTTGATCAAAATATGTTCATAAACAAGCAAACTACAACAGTTTACTTGTTCTCCATAAGAATAACATGGGAATTTAAAATTTAAATGTTTTGGGAATTTTCTCCGTAACCATTAGGCGCATAGTAACACTTCAATATACTAAATTATTTGTTTTTTTAAGGTCTACAAAATGGTTTGGAAAGAAATTGCTAAATTTTATGTTTTTTGGGTCAAAAATGGGAAAAACCTATTTTTACCCCATAAAACCCCCTGTAAACCCCCGTTCCCATAGTCCGATCATGCTGGTTCGCGAACTCGTTCAAGTTTATCCCGCCTTACACCTTCAAACCAAATTTGATCAAAATCGGACAAAAATTACTCAAGTTATCGTGCGGATGGACACATATATATATATATATATATATATATATATATATCTCTATATATAGATATATAAAAATTTGAACGAATGGTGTTTTTGGCCTCTGGGGACATCAAAATGAAAAAGTAAATCGGTCCCGGGCCTAGGTCTTACCATGAGACCTACGGTAATAGCTACTTCCCTATAGGGAAATTCGCTAAAAAAAGGTAAACTAATAAAAAAACACTAAACCGCTATAACTTTTATTAAATTGTCATTCTAGTTATCCAGTTTAATTACGTAAAATGTGTCTGAACATTTTTGTTTTATGATTTTCTTACAATCTTGTATGAAGCTTCTTTAAGAGTATGATTGTGATCATAGATGACTCACCAATGTTACAAACAGATGGTAGAGTATGAAGTAGACAGCCACTAGAGGTGCTAAAGTCTCCCTTGTACGCAGCATAGTTTCATCCATCACCTCCACCCATGCTTCTTGTGTCAGGATTTGAAACATGGACATGAATGCCTGTGATAACAAAATCAGAATTAAAACTTTCAATAAGCACTTTCAGTAATAAAGCTATCATTTCAACCATTCAGCATTAATTTTTTTGGGTTATTTCAAGAACGGTGTATCACCAACATCCCCAGCCCAAGAAAAGAAACAGAGGAAGAAAGACGGTCAACATGATTCCAGTCTCTGTTAGTTATTGTGTTAATCGCTCTACCCGACGTTGGTATAAGCAGCGTGATATAAGGTATAAGCAACGTAAATATTGAATGAATCTAGAGACTGTAGTATTAGTGATATGAAGACAGCATAAGAAGACCTCCTGAAGATGCCACACTAGCTGCCAAAGTGTATAAAGGGTGATGTATAAACTACTAGCTCAAGAGCACAGGCAAAAAAAGTAATAAAAATAATCCAATACTGATCCTTTAGGTCTGCGTAGTACGAATTAAATCTGTGCCAATTAAATCGAATTAAACTGATAAGGTCTTAGCTCTTTATGATAACCTGTATTTACCTCATCTGCATAATATAAAACATTCATTGGATGGACAAGTTCAATATATATTTAAAAGTTATTAATTATTATTAACAGGTAAGGTATGAACATTTTTTTAACATACCTCAGGAAAACTCTCAAATTTGTTAAAGTCACACAAGAAGCAAAACAACTGCATGGATATACTGGAAGAGATGATCAGCAAACACATGGTGAATATTATCAGACTCCCCAGCTTCTTGCCTGGACCAAAGATTTTGTACACAAAATCCTCCAACATCGGAGAAGCTTTTATAAGACGGACAATTCTGAGAACCTGAAAATGATAGTACCGGTATATTACGTAGCAAGTACAGTACAACTTGCCAAACAAGTCACGTAGGATACTTTACAAACTACACAGAAAAGGTAACACATTTTTATTTGGTAGGTTATAAGTTATAATATTTTTGTACTTAAGAAAATGAAGTAGGCCTTATTTCAGGTGGCTTTAACAAATTAGAAAATATAATATAATTGGAATTGGTAATAGTCGAGTAAACAGTTTGTATTGTTTTGTACACGGAATCCTTTGTTCAGAAGGCAGACATATTTGCCACAAATTCTGAATTTAATGGGTGTATACAAATGTCCAATGGGTCAACTGTGTCTCGTAATATTTCAGTAGTGATTCCTTGGATTTGTCACTAGTTTTTTAAGAAACTTTTTATCATATGGTTCACAAAGATTATAAAATAACCTTCTGCATATTTAAATCACTTCTCTTTCAGTATTGTTTTTAATTTACAATGATTCAACATTGTATTGCTGTATTGTAATCAGCTATTTATTAAATCAGCTGTCTAAGATCGCTCAACCCATTGTTCATTTGATGAAACATTTCTTTGTATACTGGTGTTTTCCCTGACCTATTAAAACTATCAAACATAATACCAGTCATTAAAAAAGGTGACCCAAAAGATATATCCAACTACCTATTTCTTTATTGCCTAGTTTCTCAAAAATATTTGAGAAAGTCGTCTTTAATAGATTGTGTGATCAAAATTATCACAAAATGAGTACTATAATTTGGTTGTTTAAACGTTTATAAATTCTCTTCATATTCCCACGGATGAAAAGGGTATTGTTTTTATAACTTTTTTAAGCTTGAAAATGAACCTTTATGTTCAAAACCATAATCGCCTGACGAAAACCTGATCAATTAAAAGATCAAATATGAAATCTTATTTCTATGAACATGATATAGAGGTTAAACACGTTTAGAATAATTTAGGTTGTTTAATCTGTTTGAATTGGACTCAAATATTAACCAAACATGATTTTAGATTGACTATTTTACCCGGACATACCTGAAAGTACGTTAGGCCGGAGAGATAGAACTGTGGGATGATGTGCAGGGTTGTGCCGATAGTCAGCAGCAACTCAAACTTGTGGTACGAGTGTTTGAAGTAGCCTCGGAAACCAAGGCACCAGATTTTGAACAGAGCCTCCAAGTCCAAGAATATTGTGAATACAACCTAGAGCCAACAAACAGTTTGGATGAATTGTTTTCAATGATGTAGTAGATTTTCTGCATAGAAACGTTCTCCATAGTCAAAAATCACAGGTCACAAATTGATAAATATGACTAATGAAATAGCTTATTCCCTGGGAAATGTGCTAAAAAGCAGAGTGGGAACGTCATCAAAAAGCGTTCCCGCCCCACTTCACCACTGATTGTTTTCCTTTAGGGTATTGTTTGAAAAATTTTTATTTTTTAGCTAATTTAAATCCAACAATAAAAAATTTTACTAAACCTCAAGTATGCTCATAAACTACCGTACATTCAAACATTTTAAAAACTGAATTGTAAAACTCATCATGTGTCTACTAAGAATTAATTACTTTTGTTTATGGTTATTGATTACTGTACTTGTACCTCTACTATTAAATCAAAATAAAAATGTAAGCACCTATCCAACCCTTATTTTAGCTCATACTTTGCTAGGGCGTATCCTCATTTGCCTACAATCTGTTAAGTACATGGTGATAGACAAAACTAGGATTAAAGATTTAAGAGCCAAATTTAATATTTTTAGACTCCATGTACTGATATACCTAATAATGGTAAGTACAAAATTAACGAAACACACCTAAGTACTCTTAGGTCTGAAACACTGATGTTAAAATCCTCATTTGAGTTAGTTACCTCAATATAGTAGTAATTCTCGTAGAACGTAGACCGCGGTCGCTCGTCATGTTTGAAGTGCATTGTTGCTGTGACGATACCGTTGGCCAGGATTACACCCATCATCAACAAACGGAACGAGGCCGAGCGCAGGATTGACTGACAAATTGGGGGGGCCAAGCCGTTGTCTTTGTTTTCGTCAAGCGTCACTAACTTCCACCCGTTGTCATCCCCTGTCAGTATCTGTAATACATATAATGCAATACAATCATAAGTGGTTAGGAAAGCTTAAAAAGCTTGGAAGAGTTATTATGACAAATTATAGGGACTAAAGACTAAAAGACTATGAAACTGTTGTTGTTTCTGAACGGTGAGTAATCATTAAGTGTAAGCAATTTTGTTGGTGGCGCGACGAGTTCGGACTCAGGGCAGCGATGTCGTGGGTTCAGATCCTGGTTCCTAACACTAATTTTTATCAGTACAGTTCACCCTTGTACTCGGATTTGGTATTTGTCCTCCTTTCTTAGCTGGATACGTTCTAGACTCAAGCTTCTGTGGCCGATGTGGACAGGCAAATGCCATGTAAAAGAGGCCGCAAACCTCTTTGAAAGAAAAAAAAACATCCAGCAAACAAAAGTAGCAAAGCAAAATATAATTTTGATTCTCTCAGTTTAGGCCTATTTTTGAATTGTATGACTGATCAAAATTAATAGCCAATACAACATCCTTTACATACACTTGACCAACTTCTTGTAAATGATTACAGTGTAAGTGTAAAAATGTCAAGTAGAGTTGGAAGACATCTTTATTTCATGTACACGTATAACAGTGCCATAAACTATGCTATTTAAGAAGTTGTTTAGAAAACTATCAACATAAATATTAGCAATTGCTTGTTAATAAAATTGGACATAATCCTAACAGGTACTGGGCCAAATTATTTCTAAGAATTAAAGGGAGGCAGTAGCAATGACCGCTCCAATACAACCTACTCTCTCTTACAACCAACCCTAATATTATCGTGAAGATTTAAGAGAAGATTGTTTAAGCTGGTTATCTGATATTTCTACAGAAAAACTTCACGATAAACTCAATCCTAGGGTATTAGCAGAGAGTTTGATAGAAGCATAAGCTATGGATAGTTTACCAGCTAAAACAGTTAAAGGGATGTAACTATCAAAGACATAGGCCTATTACATGTATTGGAATACATGTAATAGGCCTATGTCTTTGGCCCAGTAAAATTTGGTAAGTTTATTAAATTTGCGTAATTTAATTTATTCTGCTCCAGCAATAAAGAAGACCACAGCTATATTATATTTACAGTGATAATATTATTATTTATTACAGCTAGGCTATATTTTAAACTAAATGAACTTCACAACAATTTTGGCGTTTTTGGTAACGATGGCCTGAGGCCAGGGTTTTTAAGGATTTTTTAATGGATAAACAGCAGGCTTAACTTACTGACGGAAATAGAATGAAATACACAAATAAACACATACAATTTTGAGAGCTACTAGCTCCTTCTTCAGTAGTAGAGTCTTTATATGTTCTTGTTAGTTGCGGAAGGAGGAAGAGAAATACATTGTATATCTTAGTCTGTGGCTTTTGGTCACTAAGTATCACCATATCACTATTGAATAATACTATATACGAATATTTAGAAAAGCCTAATATTTTGGGTAGAATTATCATCTGAGGTTTAGGTTTGGAGGTTCTATAGGATTTGGTTATCCACTGGTAGGTTAGCTCCCATCATATTAATTCTAAAGGAGTTGTAAGCTGGGGAAGTGCTTGAATAACAGTAAAGCAGCTACAAATACATAGAAAGACACTACTACTGAAGGAGGAAGGAGCTAATAGCTCCTAAAATTCTATTTGTTATGTGTTTGGTTCTCTATAATTTTGTTTTATAAGTTAATACGGCTTTATCTTACCTGGGAAGCAGTTTTGTTGGTCATGTGACCTCGGATGCCCCACATCTGCTGAAATTGAACTCGGATCTCATTGAATGTTTCAGTGATGACAGCGATGAAGACGTTCTTGACCAGCCAGGCGAGGAAGAATATCATGGTGCTGAAGTAGAAAACAGCGCGCCAGCCAGGGAGGCTGTCAATGGCTCGGTACATGATGAACACCCAGCCTTCCTGTGATGCCGCTTGGTACACAGTGAATATACTGGTGGCTACAACCAAAATGAAACAACCCATCAGATTCCTTAAAAACATACAATCCGACAAGCATGATTGATTATGTGTGTGTGTAGATAAGATGAAACAACACAATGTTGGTGTTCACGTAGAGAGTTGTGAAGACTTAAAGTGAGTCTCATAGAGAACATATTTTTAAGAGTGAAAAATAAATTGACAGAAATTTTGAATTTCAAAATTTCTCATCAATCTTCTCTCTAAAGAAGTAATGCTTTAGACGAAATGTTAGTGATGTATTGTGAGGCCTTTATAAGTTTGCTAATCTGTATACCAGAGTTTTTAAATATTTTAGGTTACAGTTATGACAGACATCATTTAAGTATACTGATTTGAAAACAGGATTTTTTTTTTAATGTGACCTATAATTATTTACAGACAAAGTTAAAACAATAGTAATTATTTACCCAAATATAATAATGTACCATTTTTTTACAGTTAACTTTAAAACAGAAATCTCTAATATTTTTTTAATAGTATGCCTAATGATTTTTATAGAACTTACAATATTAATTAGATCAAACATTTACAAAATCAAGTCGTATTTAATTACCAAATTCATCAAAGCCATTGAATCCCATGACGTATCGGGACATTTCCAGCTTCATGCATTTCATCCCAGGAGGACACTGATATCCCGAGTCTGGATCCACAGAGCAAAATGTATCAGGGATTGCCAGACTGTTGATTGTGATGCGTCTGAAACAGATGAGGTTTTTATTAGAGGAAAAAATCTTTCATAATGATATATAGCAACACTATGGTAATTGTCAGGTAAACTAACCATGAAATACACGAGACAAGATTCTAATCAAACGTAATGTCGCCAATGATTGACGATTAGAATCTTGTCTAGGGCAGGCCTTGCTATTTCTTGGCCTGGTAGATGATACCTTAGACCTCACGGCCATTGATCAGAGCTTAATTGTTACGGGATGAACCATGCTTGAAAACCTACGTTGTAAACTTATATCTATGCTTTTTCCCAAATTGTAGCAAATATTGAGCACAGTTTTCAGCCGTTAGAGCCTATGTTGAGTAATGGTTGTTTACATAGTTGGATAATTTTCTGTTAAATACAGATCAAACCTCGATTGTCGGTACCTTAGGTTAGGTTGGTAAGTTTATTTTATATTTTTAAAACTTACAAATAAACTTACTAACCTAGCCAAACCTAAGGTGTGGTCGGTATAACAGAAAAAAATCGATAGTCATATAAGCGATTGTTTAAATTTGTAACTTTATGATTAAGATATATTGCTCTTTGGGCCTAAAGGGTTAAGAAACTATTGCCTAATTTCTTACTTTGGATCAGTAGTGTTCAAAACACAATGGTTTTTCAACTCTCCAAAAAATTGAACACCCAAAAGTCCGTAGAGTGACATGAAGAACAAGAAGAAGAGAGTCACATTGTATATCTGTTGACTGGACCGTCTGGAAACAGAAAAACAATCTTATTCATTGTTTACTTACAAACCATAAATTGTTGAAAGGCATGAAATCTGTTTTAATATTACAAACAACAGTTTAATGCTGGGGTAGCCTATAATAGGCCTACTTTGAAATGATTGAAACACAACTGATTACAGTGATAATGAGTTAAAGTGACCAAGAGCTTTAAATTTTAATCACTAATTAATTAACAAACAGCCTAAGTTTAATATAAGTGGCCTAATCATCTGGACATTTTGGCAATCTAATAGTCTTATTCTCAGATTACCCTAATTACAAAATCTTTACAGTAATAAACTTACTTGAAAATCTGGTTAATGCGGGATTTCGGCATGGAGAATTTGAGGAAGACGCGAATAAACCGTATCATGATGAGGGGTCTGGGGGAACGTAGAATAGAGAGGTAACTGAACCTAGGGACGATGCCGAGCATTTCAAACATTTGTAGAATAACCGACACCCACAGGAAGAACACCATGCTAGCGTCAAACTGACACCAATGATCCTTTAGGTATGGAACCTCCCCCTGGAAAACAAACTTGCATTGAAAGCTACTTAGTAAAATATAGGTACCGTATAACTTTCTTTATATATTCGTAGTAATTATTTTTAAGCATCGATTTAGCTTTGTAGAAGTAGCTGAGTATTTATTGAAAGTTCAGGAACTAATTTTGATCATAAGTTAGGTTACAGGCTAAGTAATAGACAATAGACAAGTTTGACAATTAATCTTTATACATTTTTGTGAAAATGGATAGTGATACTTATTAAGTTGAAAAAGGTGATTTTCAACATTAAGCCAAGTAAAAGATTGATATGGTTTCAAACGAATTTAAAACATAGTTGGCCCTACAGTATAACATTTAAAGGAATTTTTTTAAATCACTTGATAGAATACAGTAGGCTCTAAGTGCAATATGAGCAACAAGAATGGCATGATTCAAATTAATTTGGCAAAACTTTGATAGCTTATCCGACTCCATCATAGTAATTCCTTGTTACAACGGATACAGAAATTTAGTTTTTGGTTAGGCTAATTTTAACAATCGAATCAATACTTTTATGTTTGATATTACATATTACATTGGAGTCAGATATCAAAGTTTCACCAATACCGAAGCGTATTTCCTACATCTTAATATTTCATATCTAGCTTAACCTTTAGCCTATCAAATAAATAACCAGGAGGAAACAAACCTTGAGAATGCCTCTTATGTGCATTTTTGCTATCATCTCAGCTGTAAAGAGGAAGGTGATGATAAGATCACAGCAGAACGTGATGTACTGTAGAGGAGGATAGCGTTCAAATGTTTTCGGCGTGTTCAAGCTCACAGACAGTAGACTGATCAGGGCACATGCTCTCATAAGTCTTCTCACCCACAGCTAAAATTTGCAACACAGTTGTTTGAATTCCTTTAAGTGTAAACCGATTAAAGATTATTTTTTCATTACCTTAAGGAGGCTAAACACATTAAATATCGATATATCGAAAAGAAATCATCAATAATAATGAATGTTCCCTTTAACAGGAAAGTAAGTTACGGTACTTAAAATGTTTATATCATCAGTTGTGTTTGCTAATAGCAGCAGCAGCAATCAGAAATGTTTTATTTAATGCCTAAAACTCGTCCAATCAACTAAATTGTACAACAGGATTATATGGTTTTAATACCATCAAGCTAAGGTAAGGTACTTTCCTGTTAAGTTAAGGGGAACATTCATTATTATCAATGATTTCTTTTCGATTTATTGATATTTTTGTTTTCCTTTACCATCCATATTCCATCAGTTTTAATATCTTCAAATGCATTTAAATTACAGACAGACAGACAAACAAGTCATAAGTCATAAGTCATAAGTTCTTTATTCCAGAATTACAAAATTACATTGCATTGGAATAGTCAAGTTTATAATGAAATGTACAAAAGATAAAATATAAAAAAACTCTACTAACTAAAACAATGTGACCTTCTAGTAATACGTCTAAGTTATACTTGGTTCAATAACCAAGTTATTGAGTTATAGCTCGTATTAGAGAATAGGATTAAGAACTAAACTTAATCTTGTTTAGGCAAAAATAATAGCCTTTATATTGGATTAAGAAATGATACTATTCTTTACTAACCTAACATAACTAACCAAACTTGCTGTAGGCTAGGTTACCGTTTCAAAATTCTGGTTTAGCCTATAACAGAAAAGGCATATGGGGAATGAGCTGTCAAACGGAATTTTGAAATGTTACAGCAAGTTTGGTTAGTTAGGTTAGTTTAGAACAGTTTCATATTAAGTTAATATAATATTTTTTTTATTGTTGATACTGAACAATATGTATTCATCGTAGTTGTCAGGTGATAAGTTTCAATTTGTTAACATCAATATATCGAATAAAAAAATAAAATATTGATATATCGAAAAGAAATTATTGATAATAATGAATGTTCCCTTTAACAGGAAAGTACCGGGGGTAATTAGGCTGCTTTCAAAATCGTGTAAAACATAGTAGCCTAACTTACATACTCCACTTCCTAAATTAATTTTCTAACTGCTAGCTTAACTAATATAGGCCTATACCGATAAGTTATGCTCTAACTTACTAAGTTACCACTATGAAATGTTACGTTACAAAAGCTATAGAGTATAAATTAATGATTAACTTAATGGTTACAAACCTTATTAACCCACTCAATGTCTGCGCTTTCATTTAGAGCTTCCTCCGGCCCGTAGTCTGCAAGCACTTGATCGCCCTTCAAACTTTGCTTCCTTCCCAGCATCATGGTTGCAATCAATTTTAGAAAACTGTGCCTAATTGAATTTCTTCCGTTACTTTAGGTAATGCCGAGTAATGATTGGAGGAGTGTCTTGTTAGTTTTGAATGTTGGGCGATCCATGACAGTTATAGGCCTACAGGAAATGAATAATTTGTACATTTCCAGGTGAATAGGCATTCACTACTTTTCGCTAAAGGCATATTGGAGGAATTGTCTATTTTTTCATCCTGAAACATAATTAAAAATTTACTTTGGAATATTAATTTGATTGAGTGAATAAACGAATAAACCACTTATTTTTAACAGCTCAAATGGCCTATTAATCATGAAATATTCCTTCTTAAGACAAATGTATGATGTGTAGCGTTAATGTGAGTGTGATTTTATTTTCAAACGTAACGCCTATATAAATTAGATATTTACAACTGAATGATAATGTAATACTGTACCTGAATTAATCAATAACATGAGTGTTTGTAACTCAATGGTGACAGGCGCGGAACAGCTATGCTGAAAGTCGAAAAAAGGGAGCAGACGACAAAGCTAGAACCCTGCATAGAGTAATGTTTAGTTTCGGTTTTAAGCCGCGGGTATAAATTGAATATAAATTGAAATGTAAATTGAAAGAAGCCGCGACTGTCAGCTTAATGTGACCACAAAATTCGCAGCTGACACTGAGCTGACTCAGTCTGGATTGGTTAGTGACGTAAACTGTACTAGACGAGCATGAATCACCACGGCCACCTTTAACTACAGGCCGCGGCGGTAGAATTGGCAACGTTGCAGCTTCCACCATGGTTGTGGTATTGTTTAGTGATAGACGTCCCATAAGATAACATGGCAGACAGGTGACATCAGATCATTAATTTTCACTTTATTGATTTAAATTTATGAATATACATTTATTAAAATATTGAAAATAAAACTTACAGAATTGAAAACCGAAACAATATTAATTAAAAATCTATATCTGTGCATTTTAATAGGAGTCAATATTGTCATAGTCACGACCGCCTTTAACTCCAGGCCGCGGCCTTTGAAGTGGCAATGTCGCAAGTGGTGTTGTAACAGCTGTTTTGTTTTGTATTTGTGTATTTACGAAAGATTGGTTACTGGACTATGACAATATTGACTCCGATTAAAATAAACAGGATATATTTTTAATTCATATTGTTTCGGTTTTCAATTATGTATGTTTTATTTTCAATATTTTAATAAATGTATGTTCATAAATTTAAATTTAAATCAATAAAGTGAAAATTAATGAGCTGATGTCACCTGTCAGCCACGTTATCTTATGGGACGTCTGTCACTAAGCAACACCACTTGCAACGTTGCCAATTCTACCAGGCCGCGGCCTGTAGTTAAAGGTGGCCGTGGTCATAGTCCAGTAACCAATCTTTCGTAAATACACAAATACCCATGGTGAAAGGAAAAAAATGTTTTTCCCTTCCACCATGACAAATACTATTAGCTGCTTCCAAACAAAACAGCTGTTACAACATCACTTGCGACGCTGGCACTTCGAAGGCCGCGGCCTGGAGTTAAAGGCGATCGTGGAATCACCCGTATCACCAGTCATCAACATGTTGGCCGTGATCACCATTGAGTAAACCTTTTAGATTTTTCATTCTCATAAATCAGATAAGCATGGATTTAACATGCCTGAACACAATCTTCGATAACGCTTTAATGAACTCGTTATCGTAATTTTAAGTTGGACAATTTCTTACCCTTAGGCCTATTTATATGTTTATGTATTTATTTATTTAACAAAGGCAATACACCAATTTACTCAGATCATTGCTTGACAGCTAACAACAGAAAAATGCTTGTGTATTTTTTGAGTCTGAATCACCAATAATAAAAATGAAATGAATAATAATAACAAATAATAACTAATGAAATGATTAACAATAACAATTAAATAGTTAACAATAATAAATAATAATTATTATTGACATTATTATATTACCAATATTGTTATTGTTTTATTAATAATTGTTATTTTAATTTTACTATGTTTATTTATATTAATTAGTTAATTTATTTATTAAAACAGCAAGATCCTCAATTTACGATGTGGATACAAAGATGACTACAACACAACCTTTAATGATTGAGACATGATATTGCAATATATAGGTGTAAACAAATTATTGACTCTTTATGTTATAAACAGAGTGAATTGCACACTGTAAAATTGACTATAAAATAACATAATTTATTGCACTTCATACTTGTTGCCATCCAGTGGCGGATCCAGAGGGGGGGGCGAAGGGGGTGACCACCCCCCCCCCTCAGGCATACATATACATATTTTTTACTGCATGTAATACAGTAGTGCCCATACAAATTGCGTAAAATAATTTGTCACACCAACATTGGTCAAAGAAATTGTATAAAACTGCCATTTTGGAGACTTAGTCTACACAAATTTTTAAGGAGTTGCCCCCGAACCAACAAGACTCCCTGGTTCACCACACCCCCCCCCTTGTGGCTGTTCTAGATCCACCACTGTTGCCATCAATGGATTTATATTTATAATTTGTAAATATTTATATTGTATTTGTTACTGTTCACTATTCGTTACAACTCATTTGCTATTTATTTCTGTTTATTTCAAGTTGTACTCGTAAATGTATTTTCAATACAACGGCTATGCCACTTCAGCGTTGACTGATAAGAAAGTATTTATTGTGTTTATTGGCTAGGTTATTGTTATCCTAAGAGCATAATATTTATTTATTGTTACTCACTTTATTAATTGTTATTGTTATTTTATTTAGAGTATATTTATTTATTGTTATTCACTATTGTCACTCAGTCATTATTACATATTGTTATTTATTTAGAGTACATTGACTTGTTGAACAACTGTCCACATATATTTACTTTATTATTGGTTGCTTTGGATGTCAAGTATTCGTGAAAAAAACATGATTCAGGTTTAAAAAAAATCAAGGGGTATAAAATTGCCGTATATAAGGTCTTCATAGTGTTTGTAAACATGCATACAAAAGTAAACAGTTTTAAAAGATAGAAATAACCAGGATATAAAAACTAAACGCAGAGGATACGCGTCCGGTAACCGGACGTGGATTAGGCGTCCGGCAGTTACTGTCATAACCTAACCTAACCAACCAAACTTGCTGATAGTGAAAAAAATCAAATGAAGGTTCAATTCTCTTCATAACATAAAATTATAAATGCCCAAAATTCTAACAAAAGATGTACAGTTAAGAAGAAATTACATTCAAAGAAAAATCTGTGACAAAAAGTTAAAGTTACCGATGGGTTTCAAACCGGGGACCTCTCGCATATCAGTCAAGCACTCTATCCACTACACCACGAATACTGATGGCTGAACATCGTATCATTGTGGTAATGGCGTTCCGGGACCCCCTACCGGACGCCTAATCCACGTCTGGTTACCGGACGCCTAATCCACGTCTGGTTACCGGACGCGTATCCTCTGTGAAAACTAAAATTTTCATTGATGGAAACAATCCAACAACAAAACTGACTTTTGCCAGTTGATAAAAAACATATAACAGAATGTTTAAATTTTTTACTACATTATCTTCATCAAAGCAACTTTGAAAACAATACTCTATGGCCACTATTAAGATTTATCCGTTCCGTCCCTATTATTATTTATCTTCTTTACTTTCTCCTTCAAAAGTTGTTGTTATAGTGTTTCTTATCATTTCTTGCTTATCACTGTCCGTCCGTCTGCTGTTCGAACGTCACTGGAGTTAGGAGTAGCTGGTTATTTACCTACTGATAATAAACGTGTCTTCTTGAACTAATTTTTAATTTGCACCTATTAATGGCTTTGGCAATTAAAAGAATTTTGAAACCACTCATTAACAATAATGGTCACCTTTTTGTTGCTAACCTACAGAAAAATCGAAATCCTATGTGCAGAAACTGCTCTACTGCTGTCCAGAGTAAGTAAACAAAAATTACCTAACCTTTTAAGATGTAATTAGGCCCATTTATAATATTTTCAAAATTCAGTAAATTATATGATTAATTAATTGTACAAGCGAACACATGTTCGTTAAATTATTTTAATTGTTGAACCTTTTTTTCTCTAACTTTTTTAACACGTAACTTACTACTAAGCGTTATTAGACCGAGGTGAGGTATACTTTAGGCATGGTTCACACGAGCGACTTATCTAGCTGACTAGGTATAAGCAGGACTAGGTAGCCAACCACAGGATCAAAGCCTAGTGTCGCAAACCATTGTACGCCCCGCTTCCCAGCCAAGTGTCACGACTCATCGCAGCTAACTAGTCACCCGCTCTAGCCCTAGCGGTGTAGCAGTAGGCTACACGTAGCCATATGGGAGCGGCTGCAGCTCACATACTTCCTTTTGTTTTCATTGTGCGCTAGTGATGGATCCGAGTGGCTTTGATATCGATATTTTCATCGAATCTGTGTAGCAACGACCGTGTTTTTGAAACACTTTTCTTTCGGAATATCATGATAAAGTTAAGAAGACAAATGCGTGAGAGGAAGTTTGTTGTGTTTTGTACTCAGATTTTTAAAAATCTGTATTTAGTATTTTCTTTGGTTTCCGTTATTGTAAATTAGCGTTATTGATTGAAAGAAAATTAGCAATTTCTAAATTGCATACAACTTTTTGGTAATTGTATTACAAGTCCAACGATACGAATAAACAAAATATAAATTTATAACCGACTAAGAGGTTCTAAAATAATTTTATATTGGCCTGTATCCTCTTAACAATGATGTTTGTTCAACCATACTTTATAGCCTAATAGTTTAATTGATGGTTTGTTAGCACATGTGGAACTCAGAAGGCATATACTTAAAATGTTTTGTACATTAAAGCCTATTATTTTGTTGTAGGTCTATACTGTTTTTTAAGCATCATGTATCTTTTCAGGTTCAAAGGTCAAAATGAACATGTACCAGGCCATTACTAGTGCTCTGGACAACACACTGGAAGAAGATCCGTCTGCAGGTATATTTTGTATAAACTTAATAATAATTTTTATAATTGCAGTTATGGTAATTTAATTGTCTTTTCCCTCTGAGGACTTGAAATAGCCTACATTATCATCTCTTTGCACGTTGGTAACATGTAACCAGTAACGACTCCAGAGGGGATCATGCCACCTTTAATCAATAAATGTTACTGGAATATGCAATGGGGGTAGGTAGATGACTAGGTAGGTAGATGATTATCTGCCAGTTTGTTAACTTCCTTGTTTACATGCTGTTTGAAACCGGAATTACAATACTGAAGAAACTATAATTTTTAACAAATATTGCCATTACAAAGTTAGTACTAGTGGTGAATTGAGTAGCCACTTATTTTTATTTTTTAAGCTACTAACAGCATTGGATATGTAATACAGTTTTGAATGGAAGCATGCTTTAATGGAAGCCTTTAGGAAATAAAGTCTGTTAATATTTTATTGATTACACTTTGAATTTGTAAAAAGATAATTTTGTTTTGAATTTATATTTTTTTTTTTTTTTTTTTATTTACATTGGAACTGAATATGAACTCTGATGTAAATAAAACAATTCCCTCTGGATGGAAGAGGGCTGAGGTTGTTAGGAAAAAAGGCCTCAGTGCTGGGAAAATTGATGTTTACATCACATCACCGAGGGGTAAGGTTTTTCGTTCCAAAAAAGAGTTATCCAAGTACTTAGAAGACCACAAACTTAATTTAAAAATTGAAGATTTTAACTTTAGTTCCATTAAAATAAAATCCAAAAATGATTCCATTATGAATGAAAGTAGCATTGCTAGTTCCCAAGCCTCCATACTAGACAAAAGTTCTGATACGGATATGTTGTTAAATTTGGATAGAGATGGGTCCAATGCGGCAAGTACCACTCCCTCTAGTAATTTAAGCATTCTTAGTATTAGCGAGTCATGCGATGAAGAAAATAATATTACAGTCAGTGACCTTCAACCTGTTCAGAGTTTTAAGCCACAACTGCTTGAAAGGGAAAAAATTAGTTTATCCATTCTTCAGCGAGATTGGCTCACAGATGATGCTATTGAACACTACTTCCAGTTATTGTCCTCCAAAATAATCTCTGATGAAAATGTTTTTATCATGAAACCAATTATTTCTCAAGCCATAAAATGTCTGGAAGATATTAACTATTTGCTTCAAGATTCCGTTTTGACTGACAAATCTTATGTTTTGATACCAGTAAATGACTCGCCTGCTGTGGATAAGCCAGGAGGCTCAGGCTCTCACTGGAGTCTTTTGTTGTATATAAAGGATGTAAATAAATTTGTATATTTTGATTCACTAAAAGAGTACAACTATGCCCATGCACTGAAAATAGCAAACTCCTTACAGAAATACTTTGGAGTCCTTGAAAACTGTAATATCTCAGTGGTCAAAGTCCCGCAGCAGAGGAATAACTACGACTGTGGCGTTTATATGATTCTGTTTGCTGAGGTAATCATCCAGCTCATCCAAGGACCATCTCCGCTTGATTCATGGGAGAAGTTTTTCCCCGTTATTACTGAGTCCAATGTAATTGCTAAACGGGGTCAACTTGCGTTGTTATATAGTGATGTCAACCTATGTGTAACTGCAGATACACTAAGGGAGATGATGTTGAAACCATTTTTTGACTTAACTACTCCACCCCCATTAGAGCATAAGCCATTAGATGACCCATTAAGTGTGGATCAAGCTAAAGAAAATAGATCTAAACCTACTCACGATATTTTAACTACATGTGAACAGAATCCAAAAGGAGTTAACCATAATAACGAATGGAGTACTATAGTAAATAAAAAAAATCTGACTGTATCACCTAAGAACAAGAACAAGAATTCAAGCAAAAAGCTGACTCTTTTGCAGGAGAGCAAATTTGAGATTTGCCCCGTAAATATTCAAAATAAATTCAGAATTCTAGAAAATATGTCTGAAAATGTTGAACTGACATCAAATCTTAGTCCCATAACTGTAGAGGAAAATAAGGCTAATATAACTCCTATAAATAAGGCTCATCGAAGTGAAGAGAAGAAGACAACAAGAAGAAAAAGAAGAAGAAACTTTGGACATACTACCCCTAGGATGAAAATTACCCTGTGTGCAGATAGTCAAGGGAAGATGCTGGCTACACAAATCCATAACATTAGTGCTGGGAAAGTAGATGTGTTTGGTTACGTCAGACCTAACACGACTCTGATTCAAGTTATCGATTCATCTTCTATCGAAAACCTCAACACTCCTCTCTTAATATTAGGAGGGAGCAATGACAGCCTGAATAATGACTTCCACAGTATTTATTCTAAATTAGAAGGTAAACTCGCGACCCATAGTAAGAATAGACCAGTTTTTATCACAACAATCCCTATGAGATATGACAAGCCTTACAATAGTATTGAGAACCATCTGTTAACGCGAGTAAATAACTACATAGCTGAATTAGTCGCTAGATTAAACAATGTTTTTCTGATTGACCTGAAGTTTATGAATAGATCCCACTTCACAACACATGGCTTGCACATTAATAATAAAGGTAGGACTAAACTAGCTCATGTTATTATAAACACTATTTCACGAAGGTCAGCTCAAATTTCTGTAGCTAAGCAAACTAATTCTATCGCATATAAAGAGCATAAACAACCAACATCATTGACCTACAGCAAAAAGTATCCAGAACAGACTAAAGCTTCAAACCAATCTAAAATGCAGTTAACTGAAAAACCAATGTTTGATGTTATTAAAGATTACCAGCATGACCAATCCGTAGCGTTCGCACACAGTATTTCAGCTGATTTTAACCATCCACGCCACATGACAGCAGGAGTGGCAGTCGTCTTTAGGCGACACTTTGGCAGACCAGAATCGCACCACTGCATTTCATCACATTTAGCAGTGCAATCCACTTCGCATTGTGCTACCGTTTACAGTTTGGTTACAAAAGCCAACTATTATGGTAAACCGGACATATCTGATTACACAACAGCTTTCAAAGATTTGACAACAGACTTTAAAAACAAAGGGCTAAAACACCTCGTATGCTCTCCCATTGGATGCGTAAGAGATAAAGTAGCGTTACCCCATTTCTTCAATAACCTCAGACAATTTCAAGAATCAACAGGAGCAAGTATAACTATTGTTTCATACTACCAAGAATCCCTTAGACAACTAAGAAACGGCCTAACACACAGTGAATTTAACAATAGAATCCAGTCTTTTATCGATAACAACCTAAATACAACAATAGATTGTAGGAGCCAAGACCCGTCATCGACCTGTCCAGCACCGCCTGCCTCAATAACACCATTAGCAGCCCTGCCTACACCTTCACCGGAGGCTCCAACGTTGCCACCTACCCCACCATCACGACCTTCAGTGACAGCTGTGAATGAAAGTGTGACCAGAGTAGTGCCCGGCGACTTCACCTTCTGTGAGTTGTTAAAGCAGAGCAAAAGTGATAGGCCAAGGATGGAAGTGAATAAAACTGCTCATGTACCACAATTGTTAGATTTAGAAGTAGATTCTGTAAGCCAAAACGATACCTTTAATTTTTTAGTAGATCAAGCAACCCCCATTGTAAAAGTAACGTTAGAATAAGCAATTTATGTATTTTCCATCAAAACATTAGAGGGTTGCAATCATCAATCGAACCTTTAGAAGTAACTCTAACTGAACTAACACCTAGTATTGTTGTCTTGACAGAGCATAAAATGATAAGTTCTTCTCTGGAAAGACTAAATATTAATGGTTACAATGTTGCTGCCAGTTTTGGGCGGAAAAAATCTAGAGGTGGTGGCGTAATTATTTTAGCAAAACCATTTTTTACTTTTAAAGAAATTATAATACCTGAAATTCAAAATCTTGTCACTGAGCAAATTTTTGAGTGTTGTTTAGTAGAAGTAGATAAAATTATCCCCAGAAAAAAACTTATTATAATTGGTTTCTACAGGAATCCAATTAAGCAAAATGAATCTGAGTTTATCAAACGACTCGATACAATGCTTGAAATAATCAGTGTTAAATATAAATATGTTATTTTTATGGGAGATATTAATATTGATATGCTGAACTTAAATGACACCAGCAGGAAAAACTTACTGCATGTTGTAACAGCTAATGGCTTCCAGTCATTGGTTGATTTTCCTACAAGAATCACCGATACAACTAAAACTGCAATAGATAATGTTTTTACAAATTTAGATAGCGGCTGTTATAAAATTACGGGTATTAATACACAACTTTCGGACCATGATGGCCAAATAATTGAAGTTTTTACTAATACGAAAAATAGCCTGAATAATTCTTCTGTTTATTTTGAACATAAAAGAAATTTTAATGATAAAAACGTCGAACAATTTATATCTGCTTTACAACATGAGTCATGGCTTAATCTTTATTTATGTCCTGTGGAATGCAAGTATGATGTTTTTTATGAAATATTTATGCATTATTTTAATACATTCTTTCCATCAACTCTCTCAAGACAACATACTAACTGTAAGTGGATTCCTAATGAACTGAAGTTGGAAAGACAAAATATTATTAATCTTAACAAAGCGGCTAGAGAGTTAAACTGCAAAAAGTTGTTACATGAGGCTAGAGAAACTAATAAGCAGTTTAGAAAGAAATTGTTTTCTTCAAAAAAACAGTATTATAAAAGAAAAATTGGTAGTTCTGACAATGTTAATAAGGCAACTTGGAAGATTGTGAACTCTGAAGTAGGAGCCAAAACTATTATTAATCATAATATAAACCTAGTAGTAAATAATTATGTATGTTCTGACCCCTCCCTGGTCTGTGGCCAATTCATAAATTATTTTGCAGATGTTGTAAAAGAAACTGAAACTTTCAATAATATAAATACATTCCAAAAAAATGTTGATGACACTCTGCATACTGTACTTCCTTCAGATAAAAGGAGCTTTAAATTTAGCTTTGTTGATGAGAGCGACATTGATAAAATTATTAAAAGTCTAAAAAATTCCTATAGTGCTGGCTACGATGGTATTCCTGTGGTTCTTTTTAAAAAAGCGAAATCAGTCCTACTTAAACCAATAACTCATCTCATTAACTCCTCTTTGATATCAGGAATTTTCCCTAACAAACTCAAAATAACAAAATTAAAACCGCTATTCAAAAAAGGAAACAGACAAACAGTATCAAACTATAGACCGATTGCTTTGCTGCCTTCAATTTCAAAAATCTATGAAAAGGTTGTTTATAACCAACTGGTATGCTTCTTTGAAAATAATGGTACATTTGATGACTGCCAACATGGATTCCGAAGTGGCAGATCTGTCATAACAGCTGCCACAGCTTTCATTGAATCCATCGTTGATAGCTTAGAGAGTAAATCTAAAGTGGTAGGGTTGTTCATGGACCTCAGTAAAGCTTTTGATTCAATTTCTCATGAGTTGTTGCTTTCAAAGCTCAGTAGCAGTGGACTAAATAGTACTGCATTGAGCTGGTTCAAGTCATATCTTTTTGATAGAAAACAATACGTAGAACTTAGTCACTGTAATAACAAAAATTATAAAATTTCTTACAATTCTTGTACTCGGGAAGTAAAATATGGGGTGCCCCAAGGATCGATCCTAGGCCCTCTTTTATTCATCTTTTATTTGAGAAATTTTCCTCAACTCAGTGATTTTAGCAAGCTTTGCCTATATGCTGATGATGCAAATTTAAAAATAGCCGCAGGAACCTATGCTGAACTTGAAGCCAAGGCCAATTCTGATATATTATTACTTAACAGTTTTTTTAATTCGAATAATTTGCGTTTGAACACAGATAAAACTAATTTTATGTGTTTCCAAGCAGGAAAAACTAAACCGCAAAATCTGCCAAAAATTGTAGTTAATAACAACATAATTCAAAATAAAGACCACATCAAATTCTTGGGATTAGAAATTGATGTCAATTTGAATTGGAATCATCATATTGATCAGTTACTTTCTAAAATTTCATCTGGCCTTTATGCGCTAACAAGATTAAAACCCCTATGTGAAAAGGAAACTTTAAAAATTATATATTTTTCGTACATACATTCAATCATATCATTTGGAGTTTCACTTTATGGTGCAGCAAAAAAGAAAAAATTAAAATCAATTCTAAAAAAGCAAAAGAAAGCTATTAGAATTTTGTGCAATTTAAAACGCAGAACTTCAGTCAAAGAATATTTTAAAACTGAGAATATTATGACTGTTTATGGAATGTATGTCTATGAAACAGTATTATCAGTAAAAGACAGATTTAATGAATTACAACTTATTGGAGACTATCACAATTACTTCACTAGAAATCGAGAAAACCTGGCCACAAGCTCACATACTCTGCAACTTTTTACGAAGACACCTAAATATGCCGGTTCCAAATTTTATAATAAACTTCCTAAAGAAATCAAATTAGAAACTTCCAAAAATAAATTTAAATCAAAATTGAAAAAGTTTCTTATCAACAAGGCTATGTACTCCTTTGAAGAGTTTTAGTTCTATAAGTTATTAATTGCTCTGTTTCATATCAATTGAAACTTTTGGTTTTAAAATAATTTTATCTATATTTTTAATTTTGATATTTTCATGTATAAAGTTTTATATTGCACTGCTTGTTTTAATTTATTTGATCTGAAAAGCTATTAATATTGATGGTATGTTGTTATGCCATGCATGATAATGATGAGTATTTTAGTTAGTTAGTTAGTTTTATTAAATTGCTCTTGACGCCATTCCTGTATCTATATATTGTACTTTAATGAATAAAGTTATATGAAATGAAATGAAATGAAATGAAATTCTACATACCAGGCAATTCTCCCTCCTTAACTAAGTTCTGGAGCATCCCTGTGTGTATTACTAATTAAGTTATTCTTGTTTGATTTCAGTGCTGTTCGGTGAGGATGTGGCGTTTGGAGGTGTTTTCCGTTGCTCGTTGGGACTGAAAGACAAGTATGGCTCGGACCGAGTGTTCAACACTCCTTTGTGTGAGCAAGGCATCGTGGGCTTCGGCATCGGACTGGCAGTCACCGGCTCAACGGCTATTGCTGAGATACAGTTTGCTGACTATATATTCCCTGCCTTTGATCAGGTTTGAAAATAGTATGGTAAAATGGAATGCAGGTCAGAGTGAAGCGCACCAGTCAACCATACTAATAGTCTAATCCCTTGAGTCTATTGTGCATGTTTGAGTAGGAATTAATTGTTTTTAAAAGTCATTTTAGTTCCTAAACAGCTAACCATGTTTTTAAGCGTTTTACGCTATTTCATTTGTGGAGAAGGGCTTTTTCCTCGACGCCTGGAACAAAAATACAGGATTCTGGTTGGTCCCTTCTGCTAAATAAATTGTAGGAAAAATATAATATATAAACAGTCAATGTTTACTTTGATGAAATTTTTTTTAACTTCATAGGCAATTTGAATCAAATGTTTGAAATTTAATTCTAGAACATTACCTGAGCTAGCTCCAAAAGTATTTCATTCATGTACCGTAACTACAAATTACACCAAACATTGTACACTACATATAGTGTTTATTTTTAGATAGTCAATGAGGCAGCAAAGTACAGGTACCGCAGTGGGGGCCAGTTTGACTGCGGGGGCCTGACTATCAGAGCCCCGTGTGGAGCCGTGGGCCACGGGGCTCTGTACCACTCACAGAGTGTTGAAGGATACTTTGCCCACACACCTGGCCTCAAGGTATTCACATTGAAGTGTGATATAATGGTAAAACTAATACAGAAGAGCCTTAATCTGTTTCATCCTTGAAAAAATAGGATAAACGAGAAAATGATTTAAAAATGAACATTATTGTGTCAACAATTATAAAATTAATAACATTTCTTTATTGGCAAAAAATATTTGATGCTAAATTTTGTCTTCTGTTAAAAAATAATATTTTTTAAAAACCTAATCAATACAAAGAACATAACAAAAACAATCGACAAAGTAACACCACTTGTAGCCTAAAGGTAAAACTAAAAATATCAATTGAAGTGATCCTTCCACTCAGCCACAGGTCTTGGTTTGAACCATAACCAAGATGTGTGTATCAGAGAGATAAGTGGGTGTGAAGAGTTTGTTAAACTGTGTGATATGCAGCGTTCTAATTCATCACAGATAGTTACTTTTGTGATAAATCCAAAGGGAGGGTCAAATTGTGTGTCTTGCTCGCCTTTGTTAGCGTGGTAGTCCTGGCATATCAAACAAAATTAATAAACAAAAACCACTTTCCCTTAAAAAACCGTTGTAAATCTGTAACTGAAGATATCACTGGCGGAGATACCAAAAATGATATCATCAAGACTCCCCTGGCATATAATTGTAATAAGTCAATGATTGATCAACCTTAAAAGTCCAAATGGTTATTCTTGCCAGGTGGTTGTCGCCAGTGGAGCCCTTAATGCCAAAGGATTGTTGATCTCCTGCATAAAAGACAAGGATCCTTGCGTTTTCTTTGAACCGAAGATTCTATACCGATCTTCCATAGAGGAAGTTCCCTCCGATTCCTTCACCATTCCTCTCAGCAAAGCCCATATTGTTCAAACAGGTAATCATTTTTCATGCACAACATAGAAGTAGATTGATATTTAATTAATTGTTCACTCAGTAGGCCTACGTAATGATGGAACAGATTTTATTTTATATTTTTCTCATTTTACAACGTTTTAGTACTTCTTGCGTTCCTTTCAAACTACACCGTTACCACTGCCCGGTTGAAAACAGAACTATTTTACATTGTTTCTATGTTTCTTTCATATTACACAGTTACTTTCATATTACACAGTACTGTATGGCGAATAAAATGTTTTTACAATGTCACAATGAATAAACGTAAACAGTGTCCATTTGACGTGTCAGATTGTAAATATTGTAAATGTTGTAAATATTGAATATCAGATTGTAAACAGCTGATCTATTTGCACTAGCTGGTGGGCTCTGGTTTGATTGAAACCCGGGTAGTATGAAAGCTTGCATTTAACTGCGCTACTGACGCAGGGCCACGGCACGAACATTGTATGGTTCAGTGGCAGTGGACGGCTGCAAGAAGGTACGGTTTTCTGCCACCGCCGTAACCGTTTAGTGTGAAAGCTCTCAGGCTCTTCCTTACACTACTAAAAAATAATTAACCAGTACGAAAACCATATAGTGTGAAAAGGAGCGTTAAGTAAGCTTTACTCTGTAGCCAAGAAAAACCACTCTAACATTTACTAAATATTGCGTTGGCTTTCTCACAAGGCAAACATATTGGCTATGGTATAGCTACAAAATTAATTTATCCCCCTCACCATACCTATTTCAAAGTGGGATGAACAATTTGTAAAAGCAAGAGATTTAAATAAACTGATCTTTTGCCTGAAATCAGTTACAATTTTTAATTACTAATGATTTAAACTATCTCAAGGAAACTGCTTATAATTATTGGTAAAATATCAATTTTCTGTCAGGTTCAGACGTAACATTAATCGGATGGGGCAACCAAGTCCATGTTTTAAAAGAGGTTGCAGATTTGGCGAAAAAGCAACTTCAAGTCAACTGTGAAGTCATAGACCTCCTGACAATACTGCCATGGGACGTGGACACTGTTTGTAAGGTAAGGTTTTTGGATAATATCTTTTTAATTAAATATAATACGTCAAACTATTATACCGAGTGTTATCTGTTGTTTTTAACAAACTAGTGATTTGTTAATCTAGCTAAATCAATTGTCATCATTTAGCTCACATGATTAAATTAATGATCTTATAACCTTGCCCTACTCACGGAGAAGTAATGTACAGTGTCCCATATAAAGCTTATACATGGGACTAGCTGTAACCTGCGGGCTTTGCCCCGTTTAACTTCTTAATTTTCAAGATGATCTCGTTCGCATGGCTCAATCACGTCCTGGTTGAAGTTCGTTCGCTACGCTCACTCACCTTTAGGTTGGAGCTCGTTCGCTACGCTCACTCACCTTTAGGTTGGAGCTCGTTCGCTGCGCTCACTTGCCTTCAGGTTAGCTCGTTCACGACGCTAACTCGCCTGCAGGTTGAAGTTCGTTCGCTATGCTCACTCACCTTTTGGTTGCAAATTAGCTGTTGTCATAAATGTAAAAGAAATAATAGTGCTGCAACCTGTTGGTAATCCTTGTAACTTTAATGCTATTGAACATCATAGAACAGAACCAACTTGTTTAATTGAAACAGCTGTTAAGATTCATTAATTCCATTTCTCATAAGGTTAACATGGGAAACTCCAGAGCCACTGGGGCGGAGCCGATTGGACGGATCACGAAATTGATGGTGTATAAACCTATTCCATGAAATTCTACACGTATGTACCAAGTTTCGTGGCAATCGGTTCAGCGGTGTCTGAGTTTATCACTGCCAAATATACAAACATCCTCTTTTATACTTATAGATGACTGTGCATTTTCAGCTTTAATATGCTGTGCGTGCGCTTAGGTACATGCTAGGGAAAATATACTTGTGACAAGCAAGGAAAGCACTGTGCAGTTATCATCACACAGGGCCTTGCTCCAGTGTGAGTGTTATAGTACGTGACGGCGAGGGGGAAAGGGGGGGGGGGGTAGGAGAAGCAGCTAGTGCTAGACACCACCCTGTACCCCCTTCTCTGTGCTCTACTTGAATTTCTATTCTGTTAGTAAAGTTTATTAGAACAAAACATATTTTTTTACCAGAAATTAGATTAGGTGCCTTAAAGACCCAAATAGTCAAGTTATAATTTAAATTTATGTATGAGCAACATGACAGATCTCAGCTTAGTTGACCATGCATTTTGTATTATATTTGTGGCTTCCAACACATTTTATTTATTTTCGATGAAAATCTAAAAGGTGTTTTATTATAGTCAGTGAAGAAGACAGGACGCGTGATAATCTCCCACGAAGCTCCTTTGACAGCTGGGTTTGGAGCAGAAATGGCAGCAACAATACAGGTAATAAGTATAGTCCAATACAAGTAGATAGCTGGCTAGCTTAGTGGTTATAGTGCTCGCCTGACAACAATCAAAATGTGCCCAACGGATCGTGAACAAAGTCAAAAACTTTTCCAATTGAGTTAGGAACACAACTTTAGGCCCACGGTTCCTTACTCCCGGAGGAATTTTTTCCTTGCACTCTCAACAAAAGAACAAACCATTTACTAAAGCGGCCCTGCACAACTTAGTGTATTTTAACCCAATAAGAGTGAAGGGTGTGTGTAGAATGGTGTGAAGTCCTTGTACAGTTTTGAAAGACCAGCTGTTTATTTAGTCATTACCATTTATTAAAAGCCCAATGCTCAATGACAGCTAATATAGGCTCAGTTTCGATCCATCAAAAAGTTACAGGCTTATCCCAAGATCAAATTTTTAACCTAGTTTGATTGTCAGGAAAGCTACATCTAATGTTCTAATTGTGTACACTGTTATGTTATGTGCCACAACTTAAAGTTTGTTGGCCTTGTTTGTTTATTTAGTTGTAATAATTATTGTTGTATCATTGTATATTTAATTTCATCTGTGTTAATTGTGCCGTAATTGTGAAAAATAAATAAATAATCAGATATACCGTAGTCTGCATGATGGAACCTGTCTTGTGACCCTCAGTCTTCTTGTGACTGTCCTACCAGTGGTCAGTCTCCAGGTGGACGGAGGGTCAGAAGACAGGTTCCATCACACAGAGTATAGTAAAACTAAATTGTGGTGAGTCGGTGGCTCAGTTGGTAGCGTCAAACCTTGGGCCCAAGACAGCGATGTCGTGGGTTCGGATCCTAATCACTGCCGCAAACATTTTATCAGTACAGTTCACCTTTATGCTGTACTGGCTCACCCCTTGCTTTGCTGGATACGTTCCACGCACAGATCTTTAGTGTCTATATGGACGGGCAAATACAAGGTTAAAAGAGGCCGTCAACCTCTTTAAAAAAAGGAAAAAAATTAAAGAGGAAATAGTGCTCCTGATTAATAGCATTATACTGTTTCCTGTTTGCTTCACAGGAGGCGTGCTTCTTACACCTGGAGGCTCCTATACAGAGAGTGACTGGCTTTGACACACCCTTCCCTCACGTGTTTGAACCCTTCTACCTGCCTACCAAGTGGCGGTGCTTAGAGGCCATCAAACAAGTTATCAACTACTAGAATACTCTTTAAGTACCTAACCTTCAAGGCTGAAAGTATCTTTTTAAATTTGGTCTTAACCTTAACATTGGCGTAAAAGTTCGAGGGAGGGATAATGCTCTGGGTGCCAGCCTACAGAGAATCAAAAAAAAGTTAAAAGGTATAAGTTAAATTTAGATTAACGTACATAAATATAGCTGGGTAGGAAATTGGTTGTAGTGCTCGCCTAGTAATAAGAAGGTTGTCCGAAGAAAATTCATTATCTATTTGGTGTAGTTTGACTCTAGATCCAGCCGTACTTAATTTTGTGCTTTAAATGAATGATCCTGCCTAAAAACCAGCTGGTCTTAGGTCAACATTTTATTCATTCATTTGTTCACTCATCCTAGCCTTCAAATACCCACCCTCTGGTGTGTTGGAATTCCGTTAAAAATGTAATAATGTAATCAAATCTAATCTATAGGGTGGAAACTTAAAACTAGGATTAAAATTATTACGTGTTAAGGCTTATAAATAACCAACATTTTGTTGGGTAGGACTTCTGGCCCCTCTCCAGTCTTTTATCATTATCATTACCAAATTGAGATGGGGACGCCACCTGTATGCATAAACCCAAATATGAGTGAAGGATGAGGTAGAATGTTGTGAAATGGTCTGTGTAGCTTTGTTACTGACTAAGATCAGCTGTTCCATTGGTCAGAAATTTTTATTTAAAGCCCAATGATGAGGGGAAGCTGGGTCCATTTTCAAACCATATAAAAGCTACTGACTTTTCTCAGGATCGATCTGGCAACCTTTTGATTGCTAGGAGAGCACTATTACCACTCAACTACCTATAGCCTCTGAGGTATGCCATAACTTCCATTGATACCCTTAGGTAGAGCCCTCACTGACCCGCCGAATAACATCTGCTCCGAGTGCCAAGAGAACTTGCTACGTCCAGGCCCGTTTTTTACTTTTTCTTTATGTTTCTCTTAAAACAATTTCTCAAGTCACAGATACTAAAACTCAATTAACATTTTATCATTCATATTTTTCAACTTTACTGTCATTCGGAATACTTGTGTGGGGAAATTCTTGCCATGGTAAAAAGATTTTTAGGCTTCAAAAGAAGGCACTTAGAACTATAGCTAATGTATCCCGAAGAGGTCCATGCAAAATCATCTTTCAGACATTTCACATTTTGAAATTTTACGACTTGTATATTTTAGAAGCATTATTTTGGGTATTTAACAATTTGTCAATTTTCAGGGAGGGTCAAACAAACCATAGGTATAGCACTAGACATAAGAACCTAATTAAGCCCATACTAGCCATAGATTATCACTATTTGAATCATCACCTCAATATATTGGACCAAAAATTGTGTACCTTTATTCCTGATAATTTTAAAAAACAATGCAAATCCAAAAAAAATCAAACAAAAATGTAAAGACTGGTTACCGGTACTGACAAAACATGTTATTCATTAAACGAGTTTTTAAGTGGAAATTGTAAGGGTTAAGTGTTAAAATTATTTTATTTGGATTTTTTTACTATTTAGATTTAAGTATTATAATGCATTGACTGACAAGTCCTGTCATTTTATGATGTAATGGCATTCTGTAAATAAATAAATAAATTACCCGGTCAGCGCCCTAGGCACAACTAATAGCAGCGCCCCTTTGTATTGCCAAAATATATATATGATGTACCAATTATTTGACTAAACATCATATTATTATTCCTTGCATACTATCATTTTAATTTAAATAATTAATTATTAATGAATTTTATTTCAGTTTAAAATATCATAATTTCATTAAAACGGGACGAAAATTAGCACTCTCAAGTTCTTGATTTACACAAATTCAATTTGGTGATGCTTTTTACACTAAATATGGTACAGTACAAATAGAAAATATAAAGTCATGTTATTTGAAATATATTTTCTACTTTCAATAGGTTTTTTGTAAAGTTCAAAAATCGTGCAATGCTTTAGATATCATGTAATTTTATTGTTATTTAGTGTTTAGTTTAATGTATTTTAGTTATTGTTTTACAAGTTTATATAAAAATAAATAAATAAACAAAAGTTTATAAATGTTAAATTATTATCTTTTACATTTTTTTTGTAAGTTCATCACTTATTAACAGTTAAATTCCCAACCCAGATGTTGGCACCACATTTAACAAATATTTCTTGTCAATAAGTGGGTTTGGTGAGTCGGTGAATCAGTCGGTAGCACCATGGACTTTGGGCTTAAGGCAGCAATGTCGTAGGTTCGGATCCACGACCATTGTACTGTCCTTCCAAAAACACAACATTATACTACCACATTATACAACATTGTACTGTACCGGCTCACCCTTGCTTTGCTGGATACGTTCCACGCACAGGCCTCAGTGGCCTATCTGGATAGGCAAATGCAAAGTAAAAGCGGCCGCCAACCAAGGAACAAAACCATATTTCTTAATTTAGAATTCCCTCTGAAGCCAGTTAACACCTCCAGTAAAATCCGGCTTTGGTAGTTCTAGTGTATGCAAAATCAGTTTATCCATCGACAAGTATGAAAAATGTATTAAGAAATAAAGTGGCATTGGTTTTTTGGTCCAAGCTTAGTATTTATAATATGCTAGCGACCAGTATATTTATTATCAGAGGTTCTGTATATTGAGGAATAATAATAATATAGGTACATACTTTAGAAATTGGAATCAACATATTAGTATTTGGTTCATGTTTAGTATTTTGATAGCAATCAGTATATTTCTGTCAGCTTCTCTACATTGAAAAATAAGGAAAATACACACAGAAATTTACCTTTGTTTCTGGCCCGAGAGTTAGCTAGCCATAGCTAGCGACTTTGACTATTGATACAACTAGACCTTCCATCCCCATGTTAAAGTTGTCACCTGTTCTTTAATCAAAATCGTTGTAGTTCATATCATACCTATGCTCAACGTTTTCATTACATAATTTTCCAAAATTTCCTTCTATGGTACCATTAAAAGTGTTTTAAAAATTATTGTTAGATTCAGAACAGTCACTACTCCCAATTCATTAAAAATTGGCTTACACGATGAGCATTTGCACCATGGAGAACATGGTGCAAATGCCATTATTCTTTAAAAATTTCAAAAAAATTAAATCAATGTTTGATGCAAAGCCCCAGAATTCAATTCCATATTGAAGAATTGAATGCATAATATAATATCAAACGAGTTTTTAAGTCAATTGTGTTATATAAACGTATCATTTGATAACAAACCGAATTCAGTCTACTAATTAAATTTTTAATGCTATTTGTTCCAATTAAAATTTGAATCTACGTACAAACTGTGAAATTTTGCATCATCGTCAACAATCTAATATAAATGTTGGTCTATAAACTCTTTTGCCTGAGCAGTACAAAACTTTACCAATTGGGTTTTATCTTGATTAATTTTTAGACCATTAATGTTGAACCACTGTTCCAATTCCGCTAGGGCTTGTTTAACTTTGAACTATCGCTCAAACTTTGAGCGATAGTTCTGAATAATTTTTACATTTTACAACTGCACTTGTATCATTGGCATATAAAATAAGGTTGTTAGAGACATTTTTAGGCAAGTCATTTTATACAAAATAATGAGTAAAGGTCCATGAATCGAGCCTTGAGGAACACTAACTGTAATCTTTTCCCATTCTGATATTGATTTTGCATTATTTTAAAAAATTATTGTTCTTTGAAAACGGTTTGTCAAGTATAAAGTCAACCATAAGACAGGTTTTTTTTTAAAGTTTTAAATCTGTATCAGTATCTGTATTGTGTCCAACTATCCCAGTATCAAAAGTTAAAGTAAACAAAAAAAAAAACACTAGCGCAATCTGTGACTAACTACAGTATGTTCTTTTTATATACAAAATCTGTAACAGTTGGTCCATATAGATGGGATGTCTACTTCAGTATCCAATAGCCACAGATGAGAAGTATGTAAGATAGAAAAAGAAGTATAAGATTATATAAAATAAGTAAATAAGGAAAATATCTTCTATATAATAGGCAAGCATGTTTCTTTAAACCCTTAATTTGAAAAAAAATTAACATGGGTCTTATAGATTGCCATGCTGGTGACCAAATAACAACGAAAATATTAATAGGCAAGCATGTTTCTTTAAAACCTTTTTTCTCAGCTCCAGCTTGTGTGCATTGCAGGGAAAATCTATGCATACTGTTAGAAAGATATTTTCCTGTAGGTGTGAACCCCTTTAAAAACTGAAAAAACCCTGTAAAGGCTAAAAAATAAGCACAACAAATTAATTTTAAATTTTGAAAAAAGTTAACATGGGTCTTATGGGTTGCCATGCTGGTAACGGAATAACAACAAAAAAATAAACAGAAACACAAAACAAATGAAAGAAATTCCAATCACATGTTTTATTTACAGCGTAGGGTGAAAGTAGAGAAGTCTGTTACATTACATATTTTTGGTTGAGTTTTTGACCACTGGACGACCTCTAGTATAGTATACATATAAATTGTCAATTTTTTTTGTCTGATTTTATTAGTTTGATAGCGGCTAGTTTATTTCTTGTCATGTAGGCCTATATTGAAAAATAATAATAAGGAAATTACACATAAATTTAAATTAATTTTTTGTCCGAGTTTAGCAGTATCCTGCGGCCAGTCTATTTCTCACCTGGTAAATCAACTAATAACTGTAGCAGCAGCCCAAGGCCAGGCCGAGACTTGGACCGTTTGTGACCGGCTCCAGTTCTCCTTGACAAGGCAGACCACTTTTTGTTGTCTAAATTATGTTTCTTTTGCCAAGTGCAGTTGCGAGTGGACTGTTTAAACGGTATTTCAAAACTGGGCGTGTTGCACTGCCCGACTGCTTTGTTACTGTCTTTACTAAATCCATGTCTTTGTACTTGTTTCTTTGTTAAATTTTAGTTTATTGAAATTAGATCAACACATATTTGGTTGCGGATGATTTTGACATGTGTACCTTACATGAAGAGTATTTTGTGTTTAAAATGTGATCTAATATTAGGGAGACATCATTTTGATCGCTATACAGATCAAGTAGGGTACATGACAAAAAATATAGCTGAGTGGCAGTGGTTGCTTGCTTAACAATCAAAGGTTGCCATTTCGATTCTTAAATAAGTCAGGAACCTTCTGATTGTTTAAAGTGTATAGCTTATTTGACTTTCAGTAAATGGTCTTGGCTAAAGTAACAGTATCCCCCATCTCAGTTGGTAAATATAATGGTAATTGTGCAAATAGCTCGGCCCTTAGGTGATAGACCCATATCATACGTCGCGTTGATGCCTCTCCAACCCGGCAATGGGGTTCTTATGGAGCTAGTCATACGGACACTAATGCCAATGAGGACGGTTGCGTAAGTTGCGTTAGCGATGCGATAGTGAACAAAACTGAATGATGAACCGGGGGACCCTATCATGCGGAACGCTAGCGGCTAGCGTCAGCAGGGCGCATTTGCTACCCCACTACTGGCAGAACAACTGGAAAACCATTTTGGAGTGATCATCATCACTGTGTCTTTCTTTCTAATTTTCTCACACACTGCACTAAGGAGTTCCTCAAAAGAATCAAATGACATTCTACCAAACCCAAAGAAAGCACAGGATGGGTTTCCCATCGTCTTGGATTCTCCCGATAATACTCCTCGATAATATGCAAAAAGCTTGCACAACCTAACTGGATGTTGTCCATCTTCGAAATAAAATAAGTGCCGCGACTGAAAATGCGCCCAGAAAAAGCATGACATGGACTTTTTCGGGCATTATCTTGATGGAATATGCCGACGGCAATAGCGCTCGTATTATATTATGAGCCAACTGGTTCTTTATTAGTTTTTGACTAAGCACACTTTTCTATTAACAGGCCTTTAATAGATGGTAAATAGGAAAAAAAATTATTTTGGACCATTTTCTAACAAAAAGCTTTCATCAAACCACTTTCTAGCAAAGAAATTCAAAAAGCTAGTCATGCTCACTTAAACTATATGTCGAGTTTAATTAAAAAACTGGCGACAAATTTTACATTGGGATGGAATGTCAATAGTCCATCAATAGTCAAAGATCCAATATTCTACTACTGTAATAAAGTTAGATCTAAAAACGTCAACACTCTTGAATATGTCGACCATCAAAGTATACGAGTTCAATCATCTGACAAGCAAAATTAAAAGCATAACAAATTTGACATAAACTATGAATATATTTGCACACAATCGCTTGTATGTTGTATGTTTTGCTAATGTTGTGAACACACAATTGAGGCTAACTAGAGACTTGTGGTTCGACATTGTGTAGCAAATGTATGAAATAGTGGTGATAGCAAGGTCGGAGTAATGACAGCATCCTCGCAAACATCTGGACAAGGTCACAACACTCATTCAAACACTCATCAGTCCACACTCATCATGAGGCAGGAAGTGACAGAGATGAATCCAGCTCATCAGACACTAGCAGTTCTATAATAAAATAGAGAAGTATATTGAATATGAGATAGAAATAAGGAAAATTTGTGTACAAAGTGTTCCAATTTGCTGTTGTTTACTACTTTTCATTTTGCCAACACTATTCAGGTAATGCTATTGCTTCGTATGAAATATTAACATGAATAGTCATGGACACACGCACAAAAATACATTTAATAAGTACGCATATGCGAGATGATGTGGCCACCGCTACGACGTTACCGACCGTTTGTTGTATTTTTGTGCGTAAATTTGTGTGTGTTATGGCTACGTCCAAATTCACCAATATTTTTGGGGTCGTTTCTAATGTCCAAATTCACCAACTTTTTACCTGGAGCAGGTACGATATTTCTCCCGGCGGGCGGGGAAGGAATTCCGAATAGTTTGCCCTCGCCTGCTCCGTCTCGTCTCGGCGAGAGTGTACTGCTTAGCCCTAATAGTACTGTTTAAGCTGTGATTGTTTCAGGCAGCTTTAGGTTAGGTTAGGTTAGGTTAGGCTAGGTTTGGTTAGGTTAGGTTTGGTTAGGTTA